ACGGTAGCATTGTTGGCCAAGTCGCACTGCACCAATGTCACATCTATCTCCACCAGGATTCACAGCTGTGTTATTCAGAAAACAGAAACACATCGGAGGAGGTTATGTTCAGGTTCACACATGTTAGAGAGTCTGAGTTAGTGATTGATGGTTAACAACATTTTTGTCATCAATATTCAGGTTTCTCTCTGCGGCTGTGAAATAATCGATTCCCGACTTGGCAAACCAGCCATTGACTGAAAACACACACCATCGGAGCAAGATGACATCCCATCAACCAAGTCACATACTACTCGAATCAACCCATGTTGAGAAACAGGTACACCGGAATGGTTGAACTCAAACAGAGCATTATGCATATGGGGATCAATTGGTCAGACAGTGACTTTGCTAATTGCATTACGTCTTTCCCGGCTCCTTGGCCTCTTTTCAATCTATTTTGATTTTTGATTAGAGGTTCAGTCAACGATTCTATCATCACCAAATATTTATATTTAAAAAACTAATTATATTATGTTTGCAGCCTGTTTATGCATGACGTTTTACAATCTTCACGTCTTCATGATTTACGCATGCATCCTGTGTACCAACCAACATTTTACTCTCATCCAGTGTTCCAAATGAAATGGATGATGAAGGCATTCTGAGTATCAACAGACACGTTAACCATCATCAAATGTTCCAATTGAAATTGATAACGAAGGTACTCTGAGTATCAACAGACACGTTAACCATCATCAAATGTTCCAATTGAAATTGATAACGAAGGCATTCTGAGTATCAACAGACACGTTAACCATCATCAAATGTTCCAATTGAAACTGATAACGAAGGCATTCTGAGTATCAACAGACACGTTAACCATCATCAAATGTTCCAACTGGAACTGATAACTCAAGGCATTCTGAGTATCAACCGACAAGTTAACCATTATCAAATGTTCCAACTGGAACTCATAACGAAGGCATTCTGAATATCAACCGACAAGTTAACCATCATCAAATGTTCCAACTGGAACTGATAACGAAGGCATTCTGAATATCAACCGACAAGTTAACCATCATCAAATGTTCAAACTGGAACTTATAACGAAGGCATTCTGAGTATCAACAGACACGTTTACAATCTTCAAGTGTTCCAACTGGAACTGATAACGAAGGCATTCTGAGTATCAACAGACACGTTAACCATTATCAAATGTTCCAACTGGAACTGATAACGAAGGCATTCTGAGTATCAACCGACAAGTTAACCATCATCAAATGTTCCAACTGGAACTGATAACGAAGGCATTCTGAATATCAACCGACAAGTTAACCATCATCAAGTGTTCCAACTGGAACTGATAACGAAGGCATTCTGAATATCAACCGACAAGTTAACCATCATCAAATGTTCCAACTGGAACTGATAACGAAGGCATTCTGAATATCAACCGACAAGTTAACCATCATCAAATGTTCAAACTGGAACTTATAACGAAGGCATTCTGAGTATCAACAGACACGTTTACAATCTTCAAGTGTTCCAACTGGAACTGATAACGAAGGCATTCTGAGTATCAACAGACACGTTAACCATTATCAAATGTTCCAACTGGAACTGATAACGAAGGCATTCTGAGTATCAACCGACAAGTTAACCATCATCAAATGTTCCAACTGGAACTGATAACGAAGGCATTCTGAATATCAACCGACAAGTTAACCATCATCAAGTGTTCCAACTGGAACTGATAACGAAGGCATTCTGAATATCAACCAACAAGTTAACCATCATCAAATGTTCCAACTGGAACTGATAACGAAGGCATTCTGAATATCAACCGACAAGTTAACCATCATCAAATGTTCCAACTGGAACTGATAACGAAGGCATTCTGAATATCAACCGACAAGTTAACCATCATCAAGTGTTCCAACTTGAACTTATTACGAAGGCATTCTGAGTATCAACAGAAACGTTTACCATCTTCAAGTGTTCCAACTGGAACTGATAACGAAGGCATTCTGAGTATCAACAGACACGTTTACCATCTTCAAGTGTTCAAATTGAAACTGATGATGTATACCAAATTATAAATAAATTACCTGTTGTCAAAACGTATCCCCACTGTGATATTGCTTAAATATTGATAAAAGCGGCCTAAAACCACACTTAGTGACTGGAATCAAGTCATATGTGATATCTCGTCAGTGACCATTCACCATTCATTTTCTGAAGTATATTTATCTCAAATACGTACAAAATAAATATTTATACTACAATAGAGAAGTATTATCACAATTACCGTTTTGGAAGTAAGCGAGCCATACCACTAACGCAGTAACACGATAAGAATCGTTACAGATTGACTTCATTGTCCTTCTCCCCACTGCTTCTTGTGGATATATTTGAAAACGAGCATGCCTTATAATATATTCACATGTTTGTGATTGAACGTTTCTGCATGACCAGTAACATTATTATTTCTTTTGGGATGAATGTGTAGGTTCCCAGGATATCAACTGTACTTTGCATAATAGTGTGTGCTGATGACCATGAGATAAGGTGATGTTCTTTAGAAATCTTGGCAATGCATTGTTTCATACTTGTAATTACATTTGTAGCCAGTGAGGCTATGAAGAATAAAATAACGTGTGGGATTATCATCTTTTTCGTTTTTTCTTACTATTAATTCCGCTGTTCAGTAATAAAACTCTGATTTTCAGAGATGTGTATAACAAATAAACGTACAAGGGTAGGGCGTGGAGCTATTGAGCATATCGTTAGTTGTAAATAATGTATTTCCAGGAATTGTGTGGCAATTGTGTAGTTTTGGTAGTGAATCAACCCCTCGTCTTTGGAACAACCCCGCCCCTCCCGGCCCCTTCCCCTATTTCATTTACATATACACCAAGTATGTTGAAATCGTACGTTACATTAGTAGAGGCACATTTATTCCTCAGCCGTGTGAAACAAAACCTATAACGCTACTTCCTTTCAGAAAATGCATCTTCTGAGAAATCCTAAATCTTTTCGATATAGAACAATATGTAAATGTTTTGTAGCATATTGTAAACTGCAATAACGGTAATTACAACAAAAATGACATATTCCATGGTAATAGCTCATATTAGGGGTAGGATTTTACTAATATGAACCAATCCTACCTCACTCGTAGAACATCACGTGGGCGGATAGGCCTTAACAATACATTTTAGTCGATGTCACTGGCGTCGTAGCAAATAGCAACACGAAAGATATGAGCATGACTATGATGTGAACATTTGGCGTCATCATCTTGAAAACTGTTCCATGCTATTTTGCAATGTAAATGCCAATATCCTTTTTGCTACCGTATCTAATAGTATACAATTTGTTGCCGTATATAATAATCTTCAATATATGTGTTTAAGGTATGCATTTATTCCTTGATAATCTTACAAGTTTAATTTATATGCCTTTGTCGGATCTGTATAATATGACGTCATGTCTCGGTTTCTCACTGGCGTTACTTGTAAACGTTTGTCCACACCACAGCGACGACGACAAGTGCGGTCGTTACAGTTACCGCCCTTGGTTTTGTTAAATTGCATTGGGACTGGGAATCTGAAAATAAGAGTATGGTTTTCTTCATATTATATCAAGGCAGTACTTGTATCAAGAAAATGTAAAGTAAACAAAGGCCTAAAGATCATTCCACTGCTTGCACGGTGTAACCCGCAACCATTACTTTTATTCCGGATGATAGCTTCACGATGAACGGGGTTTCAGAGTATAGATACATGCCGTTGCACTTTGTGATGTTCAATATGTGTCTGCCCTTGAGTGAGTTAGTGAGTTGAAACAGAAAACAAATCGTTGGCAGTATTTCAGCCTGAATGTAAATATTTAATACATGTTAATATTAAGATTTGTTTATTTGTTTGTTGTTTAACGCCGCATTCATCAATAATACAGCTCTATGAAGGCGGTCTGTAAATAATTGAGTCTGGACCAGTCAGGAATATCGATCTACGCAATCGGAATGCAATGAAATGCATCAACCAGTCAGCAAGCCTCCCGATCCCGTTAGTCGCTTCTTAAGACCAGCATGGGTTGCTGAAGACCAGTTCTAGCCCGGATCTTCGCGGGTATGTAAACAGGGGTAAAAGAACTGTCGACAAAGGACAGTCAAATAACCAGTAACATTTTCAAACTAGAACGAGAACATCCAGAGAAGGAAACAAACAGCGACATATAATAATATATTCGGGCTTATATTACAATCAGCCGTTTCTATTGGTCCCATGCAATTGAAATCGAGAACCAGTGGCTGTTGTTGAACCCTATAACAATTGATTAGAAAGTCACAAGCTGAAAAATATTTGTATCAATATTGTAATTGAATTCGAGCGACTGAAGACTGCACTTCCCATGTGGCTGTTCGAGAGAAGGTTACCACATGGATACATGTTTCTATAAGGAGTGTTTCACGCGTGATGAAATGGATAAAGACTTGGACGTGCAGATGTTTGCGTCCACTTCGCAGACTCGTGCCTTTATTCTCAAAAAACTAGCATTAAAAATTAGCTTTATTGTGGGCAATGTGGACTGGTCTAATTGATTTGGCTGTCAATCTTGGGTCAGATAATTGGTTTAAATGACAACCAGTTCCACATGAAAAGATATTGACCGAGAATGCATTCAGAAAAGATCTACACAAGAAATTCGAAACATCAACGCAAGAGAATTATCAGTCTCGATTATATGGGCGTAACAAAATAGACAAAAATAGTGATGAAAATAGATCACTGAAACTCGGTGATGCCACTAGGTGTTCACATGATTCAAGACTTACAATCACGTTTCACAGCCTCGGTGATATTTTGTTCCCGTAGACAACTAGTGTTTATATGCACACACACACACCCCGCCCCCAGCCCCCTCCAACCCCTAAACAAAGGTTGGTTAAACTTTTTGCCGTCCCCAAACTAACCGACACACGTTCAATAGTTCATCAATATTTATATACATACACGAGTCATTACGATCGAGACGTTCGCTCATTTTCTGGTGAATGTCAACGGTGGTATCTGTCGAAGTCATCATCATCATCTTCATCACTTTTTCTTCGTCGACGCCTCCTATACCGCTTCCTCCGTGTTCAACGCTGCTGTTGTCTGTCATGGGCAGAGTATTCTTGTACACCTCCTGTGTCGTCGATGGTGCTGCTTTGTTGGTGGTGGTGATGTAGAGTGGAGACCCCACAGTCGTGTACGGAGCGGTTGCTTTTTATGAAAGAATTCGAAATAGTTAACAGCTTTATAATGAAAAGGCTGATCACGTTTACTAAAAATCACGTGCTGTGAACATAACAGGAGGCACGAGTACTAGGATTTCCCGATAGATGAAATTTATATTACATTATCATATCATATTGTATGAACAATTGGCTTGGAGTAGTTAGGATGATAATTAAACGCTTGATAAACAAAGTTAGTCAAACTGTGACAAATCAAACAGACAAACAAAGCTGGTTTTGGAATTGTCCCTTTAATACATTACACAAGTTTCCATGCGGCTTTACCAACTTTATTTGAGCGATTCAAAATATCACCCACAATCTGTCCAAACAATGTTACTGACCTGTTGACACACTCTTGATTTTTGTCTTACCCTGATTCGTTGTTTCTTTTTTGGTACACTTCGGTAAACATTCTAAAAAAATACAGATCAGTCAACTACAGCCATTATGATACAAAGGAACTATGTTGATTCTTTCTATCATCTTATTAGAACATACGTGCGCACTGAAGGCATGTATGCGTATACGATTCTGAAACAATGACAGATTCTGTTATTCTGTAAAACGCTTTACCTTGTTACACATTATATACAAATGGCGTGATGGGCATCTTCGGGTGATACAATGCTACAATTAAAAATATGATAACTGATTCAATACGATTTTCCCATTATTCATTTTATGTACATTTTGATCTATCGTACTGTTCATTTCAATGTAAAATACGATCAAGTACAATACACGCTTACGCGTGTAAAAATCAGCAGGATCAACTTCAAGTGTACCTTTCATTTCACATAAATAACGATTTTTCGAATTACAAAACCGGTCATTCCACCCTAAACGCCTGTACTCTACACAGTCCTCCATGCCCCCTGTGTTGCTAGGTTCAGAAGGATTCCAGAATGTCACCGACAACTTTGGGCTTCCAACCGTGTGGCGAAATGTTCCCAACATCTTCTTGACATCAGTCCAAATACGGTGGAGTTCTACAAGAAGAGGTGAAGAGAGGTGAGGTGAGGTGAGGTGAGGTGAGGTGAGGTGAGGTGAGGTGAGGTGAGGTGAAATAGGGTCTAACGTCGCGTTCAAGATTATTGCATTCATATGACGTGCATGTATGTGTGTTTGGTGTGTGTTTGGTGTGTGTGTGTTTGGTGTGTGTGTGTGTGTCTGTTTGGTGTGTGTGTGCGTGTGTGTGTGTGTGTGTGTTTGGTGTGTGTGTGTTTGTTTGGTGTGTGTGTTTGGTGTGTGTGTTTGGTGTGTGTGTGTGTGTGTGTGTGTGTGTGTGTGTGTGTGTGTGTGTGTGTGTGTGTGTCTGTGTGTCTGTGTGTCTGTGTCTGTGTGTGTGTCAGTCTGTTTCTAATGCTGGACTAAGTCCGGACTAATGCTGATTTTATTGTGCTAGGCCACTGAGATACCTTGACTCCGAACCGAACTGTCCTTGTTTTAGCCCCTGAATGCCGAGCGCCAGGCAGGGTATGACGCAGCCGGGCATCGAACCCAAACTTTCCGCTCTCCGGGCAGACGCTCTACCACTAGGCCACGGAGGCGATAACCTGAGTAAGGGGCAAGTTGTACGCACTGAACCTGGTTCGAAAGGCAGGCATTTTTAGATTTGGATCATAGTTCTGTCCTCAGTTGTTTGGGAGCCACATGGTTACAAAATGAAAATGAGATTACCTTTCCTTCCTTTTAAATACTTGGTTACAGCCATGTGTTCTTCCACGGTATCCACGCGGAGCAAGTCCATGCTCTTTCGTTGGCAGGAAGCACGTGCGCCTTTCCATGTTCTGGGAACAGTCTCGAGAATGTAGCATGCTCGACCCAACTTCAGCACTCCATCTTGACATGGTGACACACTGGCTTCAATCGCTGTAGTGGTAATAAAATATGGGGGACCAAGTACTGTAAGGAGGCTACAGTGAGGAGACAAACTCACACAAATGAAGCATACATGGTAAAACGCGGAAGAACGTTTAAAGAAATCACAAACGCTGTTATGTGAACCATTATTCATATACTTTAAGAAAGAATTTAACACGTTATCATGGTAGACATTGCGCATACAAAATGTCATCAGATGTAAAAAAAGGTGTGTTTGGGGAAGGAGCGACCCCCAGACACCCCTCCCCCCCCCTCTGGATCCCCCACTTTTATTTTATGTCAATAAGGATGTCTGTTTGGGACATTTTAACTATAAGTTGGTATTGCACTTGTTACAAGCACAATTAAAACTATAATAGAGTAAATAACATCTATTAACATGATGTCAAAGCCTTCTACATCCACCATTTTCTTTGTTCTATATATTTTAGTTAGTTCAGGTTGTATGTATTGTTATTGTCTGATAACGCTTTCGGAATCGATACACGTGTTTGTCTGAAAGACTTATTTGGAATAAAAAAACCTAAGTGTTATATAGCCAACAAGTAAAGAAGGTATGTCTGTTTATTGGCTGTTTAACGATGACTGTATGACCCCAGTGTAATATTCCTGTAACTGAAAGGAATCGTCACGATAAAGAAACTTTCATGGAAGTATCACCGAACATGGTTAAAACAAAGTCACATATTTCATGTTTGTAATATCCCCCTCAATGGCTAAAGTTGAGTGCAGATGCTGCTGTCTGAAGAAACATATTAATGTTAGCATAAACACAAATATTTCAGGTCACTCTGGTGTTCTTAAACGTTTTCTGTTTTTTTTTTTAAAAATTTGAGAAATAAAAACCTTTTTTTCTGATATTAATCCTATGATTAACTGTAAATAACATTGTAGGACTATCGGCTCTCTGATTTAAGAACATCTTTGTTTCTGAGAATATGATTCTCTTGTAACGTTTTCCACAACAGAAGGATACTTTCCCAATAAAACGTGTGTGTGTGGGGGGGTGGGGGGTGGGGGGTGGGGGGTTGGGGGGGTGGGGCGGGGGTGGGGGTGGGGGTGGGGGGGGAACCTATGATTGTGGGTTCGAATCCCGGTTCGCCCCGATTATGTTTCTAGGTTTGTCAGCACCATACCCGTGCACGTGGGTTTCACCGAAGTGGTAAACGTCTTAGACCTGCATCACTTCGGGCTTTCCTTCTACATTAAGCTGACACGCCATGATATAACTGGAATAATGTTCAAAGCGGCGTTAAACCCAACTCACTCACTCACTCATCAATATAACTGAGGAAAATATACACATTTCCAGTTCCATGCCAAGAACACATCACATTATGGTCCTACACTTGTAGGCCTTGACGTTTCTGAGAACATTGATTCCAAAATAATTTCCAAGCTTGAACTTTCACCAAAGGTTTTTCATCTGCTTGAGGAGAGGCTTTGTGGATTCCATGAAGAAGAAAACTCAATTTCAACAAAAAGGTTTTCTTCATGTTTGGACTTAATTTTAACGCTAAGAACAAACTTGAACACAGTATGGTTCTAGACATCCTCTGAACGGTTCAGACTCATCTCACACATGTGCATGCACGCCGCTATATTAGTGCAATATTCTTGAACGCGACGTTAAACCATCTCCAACCGGATTCACAGCTGTGTTTATTCAGAAAACAGAAACACATCGGAGGAGATGATGTTCAGGTTAGTGATTGATGGTTAACAACATTTTTGTCATCAATATTCAGGTTTGTCTCTGGGGCTGTGCAATAATCGATTCCCGACTGGGCAAACCAACCATTGACTGAAAACACGCACCATCGGAGCAAGATGACATCCCATCAGCCAAGTCACAGATCACTCGAATCAACCCATCAATCAAGTCGTAGACCACTCGAATCAACCCATCAACCAAGTCGTAGACCACTCGAATCAACCCATCAACCAAGTCGTAGACCACTCGAATCAACCCTACAACCAACTCGTAGACCACTAGACCACTGAAATATTGCAAAAAACAGCGTAAATCCATACCCACTGACTGTAATCAAGACATCAACGATATCTCGACAAATGTCCATTCAGTTTTTTAATTAATAGATTAATCTTAGCTATTATAAAAATCAATATTTCTACCACAATATAAAAGTATTCACACTCGAATGTAAGATCAAATGTAACTTTCATGAAGTCCTACCTTCTCCGTTATGGAAGTAAGCGAGCCATACCACTGACACAGTAACAAGGGAAGAGTGGTTCCAGATTGACTTCATTGTCCTTCTCCCCGCTGCTTCTTGTGGATATATTTGAAAACGAACATGCCTTATAATATATTCACATGTTTGTGATTGAACGTTTCTGCATGACCAATAACATTATTATTTCTTTTGGGATGAATTTATAGGTTCCCAGGGTATCAACTGTGCTTTGCATTATAGTGTGTGCTGATGACCATGAGATAAGGTGATGTTCTTTTGAAATCTTGGCAATATATCGTGTCATAAACGTAATTACATTTGTAGAAAGTGAGAATATGCATTACAAATAAGCATTAAACAAACAAGGGTACGAGGTGGAACTATTGCATATCTTCATTTGTAAAAAATGTATTTCCAGTAATTGTTATGTGCCAATTGTGAAATTTGGTACTGAATCGAATCCTGGTGAAAATGCATTTGAGGAGAAATGTGTTCCGGGAACTATTCGATGTAAAACGATATATCAAGGAAAAGCATATTGTACAATGTAATGACGGTTATTACAACAAAGATGATGAATTCTCTGGTATTAGCTTATATTAGGGGTAGTATTTTTGTAAATCGAACCAATCCGATCTCACTTGTGGAACGCAATTATAAAAATACATTTTAGTCGGTGTCACTGGCGTCGTTTGACAGGAACCGGACATGAAGGTGTACCCATGCAGGACAGGTGAGGCGAAATGGGGTTTCAAGCGTCCAAGGTTATTGCACTTATTTTGCAACGTGCATGCACACGTGTGTGTGTGTGTGTGTGTGTGTGTGTGCGTGCGTGCGTGCGTGCGTGCGTATTTATACTAGTCCGGACCAATGTCGACTTCATAGTGCTAGCCATCTGATATATCATGCCGCAGTTTAACATGAAGACCCCACTCTGATATTATACTGACTTCGGGCCGCCCAGTCCTTGTTTAAGCCTTCATGCATAACAAGCCCAAACGATACTGTTAGGAAGTTCATACGTCCTTGGACATGGCTATAGGACTTTCTTCAGAGTATTTAATCTGAACGTCATCCAATATTCATTAGTGGAGCTGAAGTATTGGGTATATACAAATTTGATGTATTAGAAAAGGGTCACTTATATGCTTTTAGTGGATTCTTGGTGTTCAGAAAAATATACAAATGCTAGGGTAAATTGTGAACGTGGCAGGCATCTTACATTTATCATATAATGGGTGGGTTTCTCGGCAGGATAAAGCCAACGGATAGAAGCGATATCCGGTGGGGTCATATGCGGATAGAGATGCAAATATCAAAGGTCAAGTTGGGACTACTTTGAGTGTTTATAAACAAACATGAAGTCGCCCTTGGCAATCTGTCAAAATTTACAATCGCACATGTGGACACATTACTGGAATAATAGATCACAGTTCATTTTTCGTTCTGATCGATGGGACTTATTACGAAGGACGACTTGACGATACCATCACCAAAACCACGTCCGATAATGCCTATCTCCGAGCAGACGAATTCAAGGTTTCGTTTAGTTCTAAATGAAGATATTGATAAATTCATAGAGACGAATGAAAACAAAAAACACTGCCAAAAAGACTTTGTACACTATGAACCTTGTGGAATATAGCTGGAATATTGACAAGTGCGACGTTAAACAACAAACAAACCAACAAACACACGTTCATTGTTCACATGTACTGAAGTTTGAACTGTTTGTTGACATGTAGATGTGGGTGTGAGGTGTCACGTGCAATCACATTGTAGCCATCGCGTGAGCAGATAACTTCCTGTTCATGCCGATGACCTGATGTGGTTTTGGTGAAAATCATGTTTCTTTTCTGTCTTTCACCTTATAGATGGTGACACGTCTTCGAACATCAAAACATTCTCTTCTGCTACAAGTGCGTTGTTTTAAAATCAATTCAGTATTTGTTTTCAGGCTTGGCATTTAGAGGTGATTATCTTTGGATATAGAACAAAGACCCGGCATATGTCCATATCGACCCGTGAAGATTCGGGGAAGAATAGGTCTTCAGCAACCCATGCTTGCCGTAAAAGGCGACTATGCTTGTCGTAAGAGGCGACTAACGGGATCAGGTGGTCAGGCTCGCTGATTTGGTTGAAGCATGTCATCGATCCCAATTGTGTGGATCGATGCTCATGGTATTAATCACTGGATTGTCTGGTACAGACTCGATTATTTACAGACCGCCGTCATATAGCTGGAATATTGCTGAGTGCGGCGTTAAACAACCAGTATCCCGCTGAATATCATAGACTTCCCCTTTAACTTCTATTCGCAGATTAATAAATCGTTTGCTTTCGGGAGTGTCAACAATTAACCCAGGCCTTGTATATATTGAACGTTCTTCGAGTACTCAATGGATTTGAGATGCCCAGGTTTCTATTACGTTGTGCAGCTTCCGATCACAAACATGTTTCCTTCCTCTGCTGTGAAACTGGTATGGAATAAGATTTTCATCCTTCGTGGGTTTTGGGGTTTGAGGTTCCATCGTTTCCACTTATACTCACTGCCTTGTTATCGGAAACTATATCAGGTGTTAAGTTGGTGACTGACGGTTGGTATTACTTTTATCGAAAACTACATTAGGGTGTTTCGTTGGTGACTGACGGTTGGTATTACTTTTATCGGACACTACATTAGAATGTTTTGTTGGTGACTGACGGTTGGTATTACTTTTATCGGACACTACATTAGGGTGTTTTGTTGGTGACTGACGGTTGGTATTACTTTTATCGGAAACTACATTAGGGTGTTTCGTTGGTGACTGACGGTTGGTATTACTTTTATCGGACACTACATTAGGGTGTTTCGTTGGTGACTGACGGTTGGTGTTAATTTTATCGGAAACTACATTAGGGTGTTTCGTTGGTGACTGACGGTTGGTATTACTTTTATCGGAAACTACATTAAGGTGTTTCGTTGGTGACTGACGGTTGGTGTTAATTTTATCGGAAACTACATTAGGGTGTTTCGTTGGTGACTGATGGTTGGTATTACTTTTATCGGAAACTACATTAGGGTGTTTCGTTGGTGACTGACGGTTGGTATTACTTTTATCGGAAACTACATTAGGGTGTTTCGTTGGTGACTGACGGTTGGTATTACTTTTATCGGAAACTACATTAGGGTGTTTCGTTGGTGACTGACGGTTGGTATTACATTTATCGGAAACTACATTAAGGTGTTTCGTTGGTGACTGACGGTTGGTGTTAATTTTATCGTAAACTACATTAGGGTGTTTCGTTGGTGACTGACGGTTGGTATTACATTTATCGGAAACTACATTAGGGTGTTTCGTTGGTGACTGATGGTTGGTATTAATTTTATTGGAAACTACATTAGGGTGTTTCGTTGGTGACTGACGGTTGGTATCAATTTTATTGGAAACTGCATGAGAGGTTTTGGTTGGTGACTGACGGTTGTATCAATGTTATCGTAAACTACATATGGGTATATCGTTGGTGATTAATGGTTCCACGTATTCCACGTGTAATTCGTTGTCAATATTCTTTGGTTCGCTTCATATGTCAAAAATTCTGTTCGAATGGAGCCTGGAGAAGTGGATAGCCGATCTCCATATAAGATGCACACACATCCATCGGTTGACCCCTGAGGACATGGCGACACTGATCAATTGATGCACAGCTCTTCAAGCAAAATTGAGAACTAAGTCCATACTTTGACGAGAACCTTTCCTCTTTTATCACAGAGTGTGTCAATAGCCTCACGATTTTCAGTTTGAACTTAACATCAACGTGTGGGCAAGTGTTGGTTATGATAAGGTAAATAGATACAATTTGAACAGTTCCATGTTAAGAGGCGTTACCCTACTTATGCCCAGTGTCAAAGTGTGGCGAATGTACAGTCTCTTCAAAGTCAGCCCTTTTATAGAATGATACTCTCCTGTTTCTGTGATGCAGTAAACACAACTGCGACAGTAAACATCGATGTCTCCGTGAGAAGAGGGTGAACACTGACAGGATGTTTGTTTGGGGTCCTATCACCGCGACCAATCTATTCACGTTAATAAATGTATTTTCTTGAGAGTGTGATCTTGAATTTTTGCAGATTTGTCAATTGTCCAGTAGTTGTGAATATCTTTTTAGAACTTAACATGGCTATTTCGTAGTACGACACATGTATTTTTTCATCAAACCATTGAACCTCATCTGAAATGTGGAAGATATATTGATAATTGGTGGCCATATTGGTTTATGCAAATTAGACATATTTCCCAAACTAGGATTGCTTGGGACTTTTAGTATGTTGATTTTGGAACCTTGTAGAAATGCATTGTGGGGAAATAAGTTCTGTTGCAATTTGGTCCAAGTGGAGTGACAAAATGGCCTAGATTGCCTGGACCAACAGCCATCTTTGTTAACATCAACCTTATCACAATTGTGTGTGCGAGACTGCAATGCTCCTTTATATTGCCAAATTATGTTTTTCGATAATTTCTTTGAACAAGTTATTTTAAAAAGAAATATCCCACGACCTGTCGGTTAGGCCCGGTGACTTGGTTGATTGCATTCTATCGTACCCCGACGGCATTAACGGCGTTTCTCTTAATATCAGTCACTGGATTATCTGGTCCAGGCTCGATTTACAGACCACCATCACATAGATGGAGCATTGTGAGTGCGGCGTTAAACAACAAACAAAGCACACTGGAACCAATATCTTTGTTTCTCCAACCTTTGACTCATTTGACCTGTCAGCCAAAGACAATACAAATATATGGATATCATATATGCCAGTAAAACAAATACTGACACAGAAGAAAGTAAAGCCGCAAACATTATCTTAATAATGAGTATTTTAATACATAAATCAGACTTCAGGAACACTTAGTTTATAAACATTAAGACATTTCACGATTGTAAACTACATACATGTATACAATGCATTCATTTTCGCAAACACCTGGTATCATCACTATTTGATAGTGATTCATATACACATGCTAATGATATAGTCGGAATCGTTCAATCGACCTAGTTTTTGCAGAGATTTCTTATGAATATGGAAAGGGTTTTGTCGCCTTTATTTGCAACAAAATGCGCACTTGAAATAATAATTATCCTATAAAATCTGATATTTAGTCCCCATCTAACATTTAGTCGACTACGTGCATTAGATCTTTGTCAATTTTTAATATGGTGCCTGTTTACAATAATGATTTGATATTTGTAACATGCAATACAATTTTCCCCACGCCCCTATTAATATATCGTTTACATCTTCTGCGCTTTATATAACCTGTCGTCTCCAGAAGTACTTATATAATTACATTCCACGAGGGTAGCATCTTATGTATGTTCATAAGTATATGGTGCTACAGGACCATCATCTTTAGGTAGAATCCTAAATGTTCTGTTTCTCAAAATGGGTAGATTGGTCGAGTTTCAATACGTGTTTTCAATATATACTAGTATTTTCAATTCAAAGCACCAACCTAATAATTTATGATTAATTATACCACATAAAATGTCGGGCAAAAGAAAGTATACACTTATATTTGACCAACACATAAATATTAGAAACGTTACCAATACGTTACATGACTTAAAACAGTCACCGAAACACTGCAAACTTAAGGTCCAAAGCCAACTATGCTTACTGAGATTATATTTATGGCATGGCATTTCGGCATGGCATGTCGTTAGGATAAGTTGCATCAAAATATGCAACTTCGGAATGAAAACAAACAACCACTAAAATGCGCAGCTGGAACTAAATGAAAGCATGCTGGGAATGAATAGTTAGGTTCGGTTTTATTTATAGTCAGTCAGTGTGGCCTTAACTTAATTTGTGGTTGCGATTTGAGTTGTCTATCGGTGCACATTATTATCAAACACAATGTCAGTATGGTCATATCGTTTTGTAAGAATCTTCCAAATCTGAACGGAACATATTGTACCCTGGTCCATGTGTTTTGTGCTAAAACGTCAAGGCCAGAGAATCGATTATCTGTGAGATGTATTTTGATATCCATGTGTAAGTTTAACACTTTGAAGTAAGCGTGCCCCAATGAGAGTGGGGAGGTTGTACGCGTCATGGGTAGCATGTCAGTCAGTTCTCTCACTGTCCGAAGTATCCTGTTACCTTAATGGGGCAGAAAACGCAAGTGTGACACGGCGTGTCAGCGTGATGTGGGAGAAAGGTCAGAAGTAATGCAGGTGTTTACCACTTTGGTGAAACCCACTAGCACGGGTGTGGTGCTGACGACCCTTTGATCATAATGATCATAAAATCCTGGCACACATAGGGGACACAACTCAGCACAGCCAGTTTCGTGCACTTGTGTCACCACAGGTTTGCACCACAAGTTGCATACGCCGTGTTTTAGCCATTTTTTTCTATATTTCTGAGTGCGGCGTTAAAAAGCAAACAAACAAACAAATGCATCTCCCGCCGAGATCCGACGTTACCTATTGTTATATGACGCCATTATGTTACAATCTGACATCATTCTGAATGTTTGGTTCAAATTGTCATGTTTTAGATTAATTCACACTTTCCATCTCAAAAACACCTCACCACTTCAAGAAATAGTTCGTTTGGGTAAATCTATTTGAGGTGGACTTGAGGTGTGTGAGATAGAAATGCTCCAAATAAGTATGAACACAAACATCTCCCCTCGGTCCATACGCCTATGGCAAAGTATTCAGCAGTCAGAGACGTAGAAATGCCGAGCATCACCTCTGAAGTATCGCTGTCATTGCCCCACTGCTATCTATGACTAGAACTAAGTGAGGCACGCTTCTCTTAGTGCCTGCCTGTGGTGACAGCCATGTGTCTGGACCTTCTTCTCCTGTAGACTACAATACCAGCTACGATGGCAAGCAAGGCAAGCACGCCAAACACAACACCGAAAACAACACCAACATAAATAGTTTTGGACGTCTTTGACCGGGCTGAAAGAAGAAATGAAGCGTTCAATATTTGAGGGCTTATGTTTAAAGTAACATTTCATATTTTAAGTGTTAGTCTGAAGACGCATTCGAGATTTAAGATTTAATGTTGAAAGTGTAAAATAAAGATTTTATTTTGCAAACTGGGGAATAAACAAAAATAATTGCAAGCGAAGTCTGCAAGATCTTACGGTTTACTGGTTTTGGACGAGCTGAGTATGATAGTCTAAATCCAGAACCGGAAGTGACGTTATCGCTGTGAAAGGCAAGTGTCAGGAATATCCCAGAACTTTGGAAGGAAGGGTGTTCAACTCCACACCATCGGCTAAGAACTTTTGAATTTCTTCTCAAACCTGGATAAAATAATTTATAATCATTATGTCACAAAGAGAAAAGCAGCACATAATGTCAATTGAAGTATGCCAGCGTCTTCGTATATGTAATCATCGATGTGATGTTTAATATTTACTGGCGTGAAAAAAACCATAATAAAATGTCAGGATAAAACATGTGTTAATAACAGTGATAAATGTCACGTTACAAAATAAATAAGCGTCACGAAAAAACAATATAGATCTAACAAATGTTAATCAGGGTACATTGTATACGTGTAAGTTGTCATGCATCGGTACCAAGTTGCGTCTTGTCGACACTTTTTGAGTTTGGTATTGGAAGATTTGTCATACAGTTTATACAGTTCTTAATCATGTCTGGTACGGGAGTGACAAATGTGGTACCATCAAACGCCTCTACATAGTCCTTGCTGCATTCCGTCGACGTCTCCATTGACGACTCTTCCACCTCCACAAACACGACGTGGCCTTGGGGCGCAGTCAGGTCCCACACACAGTCAACGTTTCTTGAAAATAAGGTTTCAAATAACCTCCTCATATGTTTCATATTTAGATCGAAGATTTAGAGTGACAAAAACTATCCACATCGCAAAAGGGACGACTTCAACTTTTCTAATAGTCAACTTTCTCTTTGTGTCGAGCAATATTCATGCAGCCTCAGCCTTTGATGTCTACATGTCACAACCTTTTTGGAATAACGGGCATGCTCTTTCTACGAAGACTCTGCTCGAAAGTTGTTTGATCAAGGTTACAACATTCTCAGTAAAACTTTCAAAAAGTCTTATGGTGGACATTTTCAAATTTGACGATTCAGTGATCAAAATAGCGCCTATTTTTCAGGTGGACACATGACTTGCTATTGCATGTGTTTGCAACGGGTGCCACGGTCTCAATTCCATTACGTGAAAGGCAACGTCACCAATGGCTCGAGGCGTACCAGGAACCTACCATTCGTCACCACTCGCCCCTTTCCGTAACCTGCAAGAAGACTCGACCCCCTATCGATGAAAGTTATGTGCGAAAATACGACAAACCAATCAGAATGCGCGTATAATTTCAAGTTCTTCATCAAAGAATCCCTCAGAAAATTTTTTTGATTTTACATATGTCATGCGTCTAGAAATATACCCGAGACACAGTTAAGTGTGTTCAATCACACTGTATAATTCCGCACGTCCCGATGTGCTTTAAATTGCATCTGAAATATATATAATATATGGGAAAATATATGTGAAACATTACGCAACGAGTTGACAATTGTTTTAGGTATGCCCGTTTGCGCTTAGACGGAACCCGGTCGCACAAAATGGCCATGAGAGGGGCACGAGTCGCTATTCGGCTTGTCCCGGAATAACACGAGTTGGTCACGAATGAGGAACCTACATCAGGGGGTGCTCTGTTCTCTACCAGTACTCACGGTGGGTAGTTCTGTGGATACAGTGGAGATGTAATGGTCAACCTTGTGTCCAGTGGAGACAGATACTGTTTCGCACATGTTTCTAGGAGGATAAGAAGGAGAAAAATATAAGTAAGGTGTACAAATATCACACTTATACATAAACTGCACTTAGCTCTCGTATTAATGTATATACATTCTTACGGAGATAAATGTATTTATCATAAAATGGGTAGGTTTCTCGACAGGATAAAGCCAACGGATATAAAACGATATCTGTTGGGGGTCACATGCGGATAGAGATGCAAATATCCAAGGTCAAGTAGGGACTACTTTCACTGTTTACAAGCAAACATGGCGTCACCCTTGTCATTCGGCGATCGAGTCAGAATTAACCATCGGGAATCTAGAGAAACTACTGGAATAATTGCTTTCATTATCAAAAGAACAGCCTAATATACTGAAAATCAGTGTCTAACTGTGACGTAGCTAAGGCATTTTATAACATTTGGCAACTTTGGAGACATAAACTGCGAAACAATTTTGCGAGGGCACTAGTCCTAGCCAAGCGGGATCAGTAGCCATATCTGTGCTCGTAGACCTCTGCGCCTTAGAACCTTTTCCAGAAATTAAAATAGTTGGATTTTGCCGAAATATGTTTGAATTGTTACCTTGTTTCGTTTTGTCGCTGTGTGTACATCTGACTGCACTTCGTAACGTTATGACAGGACAGGCCGGCTGTCAACAACGTTTAACTGTGGCCGTGACGTCTTATAGACTAGGGTTAGAGTAGTTTCCCTTTGACAAAGGGCAGTTACTCTAGCGGACAGACCGATGGATTGCCGTGAAAGGCATGTAAAACAATTTGTGTAGGCAATTGTTGTTTTGCATATATGTAGTTACGTCACTGTATAAGAAACAGGTTTCTGTTGGAACTATATTGGTTACTGTCACTGTCCGACTGACAAATCACTTACCCTCTGACGTAATATATATTAATGCGCACATTCCAGGAAAAATTGCAATGTCTAGGTAATGTTTGTGAGAGATGGAAAGCGAATTTCGAGCACAGAATTAAAGAATGACATTATATGAAAAAGAGGTTATCATGCTTGTGTGTTTGGGGATGGTAAATATCCTGTATTAGGAATAAACGCCAAGGCTCGCTAAATTCAATGTTTATTCTTTATGCAGGATATTTACCATCCCCATACACACTCGCGTGATAACCTCTATTTTTAATATAAATCTTTACGGAGATAAATGTACATACACACAATTGATGCAATTTTGATTCAATACGAAGATGGGCTGTGGGGTAGCCTAGTGGTTAAAGCGTTTGCTGGTCACGCCGAAGACCAGGGTTCGATTCCCCGCATGGGTACAATGTGTGAAGTCCATTTCTGGTGTCATTCAATTTTGTCAATTACGCATCTACATTGCAGAATGCAAAGGTATCCATGTCATTTTTTAAGGCGTGTTTTCTATACATTTGCTTAATGCTTCAGCCTTTCCCCGCTAAACCGCCTCCGTGGTCTAGAGGTAGAGCGTCCGCCAGGAGAGCGGAAGGTCCGGGGTTCGATCCCCGGGCGCGTCATACCAAAAGACGTTAAAAGATGGTACTTGTTCATACCCTGTCTGGCACTCGGCATTGAGGGTCTAAAACAAGGACTGGTCGGCTCAGAGTCAGTAGACTGTGTCTGAGTGGGGTATTCATGTTAAACTGCGGACCAGTACAAGCAGCCACACGTCGCTATATAAGTGCAATAATCTTGGAAGCGTTAAACCCAATTTCATCTCACTTCACCTCACCTTCCCCACTATAAACATGAACTGTCCATGCAAGGAGAGTTCTACTAATCCAACATACAAATCGAGGCCTTTGTCAAAGGGGAATATCTGGCAACCATAACTTATTTCTCGTGGAATTATATGTGTGACCATATCAATTCCAGCTTTGTATTGGATTCCCAAGCTTCAAAATAATTCACATAAAGAAACATTTTGCAGGGACCAGTAAATGTACCACCAAATCCTTGTCAAAACTACGAACAATAATTTTGACAACAATTACGAAGGTCTACTCAAATACCGAAAGAGAATATATGAGACTAGTTGAGTTAATGACATGTGGTTATTGAAACATCCTTGAAATAAATACATTCTCAAACCTGAAACCTGAACACAAGTCAAAACTTAAACACCATTGATCTTTCAACCTTTTAAATAAAGATAAATTACATTCTCATTTCAGTACGGCTTTTGTTTCCAAGAAATGGGCCCGGACATTTAATTTTACTGCGAGCATTAATCGATATGATCAATTTGTTAAAACTGACAGTAACTCCACTCGAATATTCTGAGACACACATATGTGAGTTGCTTTCCTGATTGACAATATCGTACAAAATAATAGTAGGTATCCCCATGGGTATTAACAGTGGCCCCCTCCCCGAGCTTATCTGGATCTCCTTGCATCCGAGTTTCTTCCTACTTTAGGTGTCCCCCGTCGTGATATTGCTGGAATATTGCTAAAAGCGGCGTAAAACCATACTCACTCACTCACTCCTACTTTATTTACACCAAACCTCGCGAAAACCTCGTGTTATCACCAATTTTCAGTGATCCATTCATATCATTTCCATCAATATTATGCCTTTTACGCACAATAAAATCTCTTTCGACATATATTCGAAACTGATTAATTTCAGTCAAAGACGTTTTGAATAAATATGTTATAATTAGAATACTTTTGTATTCTCCAAGCAATTCTCCCATTAACTATTGTCAAACGTAAACTTGTTTGTACATTTCTGTTTTTTTTATTTCACCAGATCGACAAGTTCCTTTTAAATCATAACATGTTATGACATTTTATATTGCGATCCCACGGTTTTGAAAATACGTAAAGTAAAAAAGGTGGTCTAATTACGGACAAGGATCCAACTAGCGGGTACATTGCGCTGACATTTACGTCACTTGTAATACACAAGACACGTATTAAGTCAGTCACCCGCGGCAATTACACTCACTCGCATGACGAAACTATTTTGCCCCCCTACAAGGTTGAAGGTTGAAAGATAAAAAGTGACATTTGGTGAATGAAGGACGAGGTAGAATAAGTGCCCTATTTCGAAAAACTCAAATGATAAAGTTTGAAATATCGGTATCATAATTTTCAGATATTCATTCAAGGCTTTTGTAAAGCTTTTAAAATTGGTATGGTAGACATATGGATGCCATTCCAAATATGACACATCAGTAGCAAAAATGATTTTTGATACAATTCCTTATTTTATCTTGTGTTATGTGCTTCTGTGTTTGTTCATGTGAACACATGACTTGCCTTTTCATGTGTTTGTGATGGAAGCCATCGGTGGGGCAAGACATACAAAAGACATTGGGTGTCATCACTAATTTATAGTTATTAACACATGCTCATAAGATAGTCGACTCGTACAATGGACTGGTTTTAGCAGATATTTCTTATGGGTATTGAAAGGGTCTTGTTGCTTATATTTGCCATAAGTTTGTTATTTTTACATCTTCATCTTCTTTTTGACACAGTTTAGCCTTGCCTATGCATTTAGTGTTGTTTTAAGTCCCAGACTTACACAAGCTGAATCAAAGAGCGTCTACTATTGATAGTGCTGATAGATCTCATCATGATTTTCATCATTCTTATAATATGCTTGTTTGGGTTGCTGAAGACCTATGCTTGCCGTTTAGGCGACTATGCTTGTCGTAAAAGGCGACTAACGGATCTATTTGGCCAAAGAGCCCTTCTCATATATTGTTCTTTAAAACCCTTCAACGCACACGTGTAATACGGAAACATGGCTGCAAACGTACACGTGTAATACGGAAACGTACACGTGTAATACGGAAACATGGCTGCAAACGTACACGTTTCATAACATTTGCAAGATGATGATAAGTAAACTACCAACCAGACCATAAATGTCCGCACATCACCATGTTGCAAGGAACCGCAAGGACAACATAAATGGTAATTGCAACATCGCTACATATGTCTGAATAACTCCCATGTATTGTGTATTTGTAGCTTTAATAACTCGCTCCTACATGTAAGAAGACAACTAACGTCTGGACACATGCAGCAACTACACATTCGTACACTGCCATTAATAGGGGTGCATACCATTAGGCTTGACGGCTCTGAAGTTCCACCTGAAACCTCCTCCAGCACCACTCTCATCTGTGTGGAAGACGATGGTCAGGAAGCGGCCAGTGCTGGTGTACACGATGAAGTCGTCGCCACAGACTTTGTTTGCAACGCTGCTGTTAGCGTCTGGACCTGAACGCATAAAAGGTAGTCATCGAACAGTCATTTCACACTCGGCTTCGACATTTTGTCTGTTTGTCGTTTTACACCGCACATATTGTTTATATATGTATTCCAATAAAGAGAGTAATGTTAAAATGAAAAAAACCAACAAAACAAATCAAATCGAGTCTGGACCAGAAAATCCAGTGATTGATATCATGAGCATCGATTTACGCAGTTGGGTTACAATGACACCAAGTCACCAAGTCAGCGAGCATGACCACCTGATCCCGTTACTTACCTCTTAAGACAAGCATGGGTTACCACTTGTAACCAATTGTAACCAGGATGCATTGTAAGTAACGGGCACGTTGAAACAGAACAGGGTAACAGCAATAGCATCTTTTAAGGTATTTTGGTACGACGCGACCAAAGGACGCTCTATCCACTACACGGTCAAAATAATTTTCATTTTCTGTAACTTACAGCGAGGGGCCGTTCGGGTCTATGTATCCTGTATTTCCAATACGCAGTTCATCAAGGAATATGACAAAGAATAGTTTCAAAAGAGAATGTGAAAACCCATTTGTGGAAGCAGCTTCCGACGGAGAACCTCCAGGTTGCAGTGTATATACAGGAATTGGTATAAGCAGTTGCGGTCTCTCACCATTCCCCGTAGGATCCCGGGATACAGCCCCAGTGCCTTAGGCTTGTTTGACCCGACTTATGACCCGACCTTTCACACGATCGTGTCACGATGGCGTGGATCGATGCTCATGCCCATACTAGATTATTTCCAGCACGTGGTGACATAACTGGAATACTGCAGGCACCTGACATTGGCGTAAAACAACACTCACTCTCCCTTTCACTCACCATCAGCAATAAGGACATAATCTTTGCGACAGAACAACGAGTCTTCAAGTGCCATAGATCCGTCCCTGGCTGTAACTAACACTCGGTGGTCTTCAGGGGCTTCTATGCGATACACGCAGTCTAAATTCCTTGAAAAAAGACAAACGGTCAACTTAGATTTGTCTGCAAATCGAAGCATTTGCAAAGGAAGAGAGGTAGGGTCTTGATTATTGGATACTGTGTGTTTGTTTGTGTGTGTGTGTGTGAGAGAGAGAGAGAGAGAGAGAGAGAGAGAGAGAGAGAGAGAGAGAGGAGAGGGGGGGGGGGTGTAGTTGGAGTGGAGTGGGGGAAGGGATGGGTTCTCAGGATCAATATTCAATGATCGGTGACAAACGTGGTCTTCAGTTACTTTTAACAGGATAATGGGGTTTGGAGACATCACTCCAGGACTTTACTAACTTGACATTGTCGCAAGCACACTTACCCGTCATAATCTTGGGTGTAATAGCCTAGCGACAGAAGGGACTGAAATGAGTCATCCGCTGTGAGGTTTCTTCCACACGGGTAGGGTTCTGAAATGGAATCAGATTATGTTTGGAAAACCACGCGTTGAACATTTTGTTAGTTATAGCAGGGTGTGTCAGCTTGATATTGGTGAAAAAATTCAAGGAACGAAGCTTGTAGACGTTTGTCGCTTGGGTAAGTGAGTTGGGTTTAAGGCCTCATTGAACAGTATTCCAGTTATTTTACGGCGTGTCAGTTTAATGTTGGAGGACAGCCCGATGATGCAGGTCACAGGCGTTTACTACTTTTGTGAAACCCACGACCACGCTGACAAACCTAGAAACAATCGAGGGGAACCGTGATTTGAATCCACGATGATAGGTTTCTGGCGTGCCCAAAGGGTCGCAACTGTGCACAGCGAATTGCGGCGCCTTAGACGACTGGGCCACTCTTGCCTCCGTCACTTGGCTGAAATCCGAGGGCATGGGCAAACAAAGCATCATTATGTAGGCGAATTATGGGGTCGAATCCATTGGAATAAACTGATCCTGGCGCAAATTAGGTACGCAACTCTACTTAAAGAATTACGTCGTTTCAGACCATGTACCTAACAGGATAAAATGGCACGTACCGTTTGTTACAAAGTACCGAATCCTGACATCTTTCGGATTGAAAGATCCGTCATATCGGAGATAAACCGTCATATTTTGCTCATTTCCCTGAAATTCTGGTCCACGAATTGAACAGTGCTGATTTGGTATCCGTGTGGTGTTGTCACGTTGACCTGAAAAATGATACACTGAAAAATTCTTAAAATTGCTTGTAACTAAATGATTGAAGCATGAGAAGATCAGGCAAAATTTATCTCCTTAAGACATTTTTAAAATATAAATCTTATGTTTCATTTAGCATTTCTTTCAAAAGTTTATTCTTGGTGTTTATCTTTGCGTAAGCATAGTCCAATAAAGAAGGTTCCTTCATCGAGTATAAAAAATGTCAGCTTCAAATTACCATCATAAACCTCCAGTAAGTCACCGCTGCAGAACCTCTCCCTCTCAGGGTAGAAAACTGTTATGCGGATCATATACTCTTTTTCCATTCTTGGTTTTCGTACTGTCCAAATGAAGTCCATGCTTCTACGATTAGAAGAAATAAATTGCCCTCTGTTCAGTTTTATCATTATATTCATTAGAATTTCTACGGCCTCTTTATTCTACTGGATATAGTGTTTTCCATGAGAGCGGAGGGTCGGCGGTTTGGTCTATCCTTTGACATATTCCTTGATAAACTTGGATATATAGGACACGTGCAACCCAGATAAGCTCCTCGGTATAAGTAACAAAAATAAGTGGAAGTGGACCGCCTCCATGACGTTGTGGAAAGAGCGAGTGTCCGGAGAGCGGCAGGTCAGCCGTTCCATCCCCCGGCCGCGTCATCTCCTTAGATATAGTGAGTGGGTGAATGAGTTGGGTTTTACGCCGCTTTTAACAGTATTCCAGTTATGCAGGTCTCAGACGTTTACCTCTTCGGTGAAACCCACGCGCACGGGTATGGTGCTGACAAACCTAGTAACATAATCGGGGCGAACCGGGATTCGAACCCACAATCATAGGTTTCTGGCGTGCCCAAGGGACGCAACTCTGCACAGCGACGAGGCGTCTTAGACGACTGGGCCACCCGTGCCCCCCCTTAGATATAGTATTTTTTGTTACCCTGCCTGGTGCTCGGCACTAAGGATAGGACAAGGAGTGGTCGGCTTGGAATCAGTATACTGTGTCCGTGTGGGGTATCCATGTTAAACCTCGGCAAGTATGGGTCCTCGCACTAAACACAGGCATAGGCTAGACTAGTACATGCAGCATTAGATTGTCATGCTTTACTAACACTAAATGATATAATTTCTTAAAGTGTCTGTTATTACATCCAGCACCAGCACCTGCACCATCAACTCTATCAAAAGTTCTTGAATGCACAATGGACATAAAAGTGAGTGAAATGAACTACTGACACACTCCGTACCAATGTATAGTTGTGTTTGTCAGAAATATTAAGTTAAGGTATTGGTTCCATAGATATGTAATGACAAAGTAAATCTGAAATGATTAGAATAATGTTACGATGATGTTATCTGTGTTGTACATGCGGAGTGTGTTTTCTATTGTTGTACGTACTGGTTGGGAGAAAGCTCGATGGCATCTGGTACATGCAGGTTCTTGTAGGCGACCCCCGCGACAGCGTTATCAGTACCTGCTACAGGTGCAGTGTTGTCGCCTGAAATGAAAATAGAAACATAAGATAAGGGTTGAGATACTTCCAACAACCCCTTGGTCTCGAGTGTATATCCAACACGTTTCGAACACATTAAACTTGATGGGAACTAAGCAATTTATTGAGGACCCAAAACACATTATTCTTCAAAACATCCATCTCGAACGATTATATAATGAAGAGCCCGGTGACCAAAACACATTTCTTCCAAAACATCCATCACGAACGACTATATTATGAAGAGCCCGTGACCAAAACACATTATTCTTCAAAACATCCATCACGAACGACTATATTATGAAGAGCCCGGTGACCAAAACACATTATCCTTCAAAACATCCATCACGACCGACTATATTATGAAGAGCCCGGTGACCAAGACACATTATCCTTCAAAACATCCATCACGAACGACTATATTATGAAGAGCCCGGTGACCAAAACACATTATACTTCAAAACATCCATCACGAACGACTATATTATGAAGAGCCCGTGACCAAAACACATTATACTTCAAAACATCCATCACGAACGACTATATCATGAAGAGCCCGTGACCAAAACACATTATACTTCAAAACATCCATCTCGAACGACTATATAATGAAGAGCCCGTGACCAAAACACATTATCCTTCAAAACATCCATCACGAACGACTATATTATGAAGAGCCCGTGACCAAAACACATTATCCTTCAAAACATCCATCACGAACGACTATATCATGAAGAGCCCGTGACCAAAACACATTATACTTCAAAACATCCATCACGAACGACTATATTATGAAGAGCCCGTGAGCAAAACACATTATCCTTCAAAACATCCATCACGAACGACTATATTATGAAGAGCCCGGTGACCAAGACACATTATCCTTCAAAACATCCATCACGAACGACTAAATTATGGAGAATCCGGTTTTTTTTTCCAGAATTGTTTAAACTGATTACTATTTTCAGAAGACCTCCCAACTCGACAACATCTTTAGAGCATTTAAACGTATGCTGTTTTTTGTTTTGTTTGTTTGTTTAACGACGCACTCAGCAATATTCCAGCTGTATTCTGTAAATAATCGTGTCTGGACCAGACAATCCAGTGATTGATATATTGAACATCGATGTACATATTTGGGATACGATTACATCAACCAAGCTAGCGAACCTGACCACCAGATCCCGTTAGTCGCCTTTTACGGCAAGCATGAGTTGCTGAAGACCTATTCTACCCAGGATCTTCCACGTATGCAGTTGCACCCGAGCTTTAGTGCATCACGCTTGTAGAGCTGCGTCCGTTGGGCACGCCAGAAACCTATGATTGTGGGTTCGAATCCTGGTTCGCCCCAATTATGTTTCTAGGTTTGTCAGCACCATACCCGTGCTCGTTGGTTTCACCGAAGTGGTAAACGTCTGAGACCTGCATCACTTCGGGCTTTCCTCCCACATTAAGCTGACATGCCGTGATATAACTGAAATACTGTTAAAAGCAGCGTTAAAACAAACTCACTCACTCACTCACACAGGTTAAGGCATCAGGATGGGAGGAGGTTATTAATTGGCAGTTAGGTTTGGATGGTAAAAGGTATGATTTAAAACTTATTGGTTTCCTAGTATGCTCTGCCTCAGGTGAGAGGAATAGTATGACTTAAAATTCAGGTTCTCTGTTCTGTATTCTGATATATACAGGGAGGTTGTATCACATCAAAATTATAATTTGACTCTGACAGCAAACTGTTATTATGTTACTCATCTCAACTTACCTTTGACTGCCCTGTATCGAAGTCTGAAGCCAACTGCTAGGTAGAATGGACTTTTATGGCTTGTCTTGAAATGGAGAGTCACTGTATTATTCGTTGTCTGGATAACGGGGCCATTGCTGCCAAAGTATCTCCCGAGATTCAATTCACCTAAGAAGAAGTCAATGTGTATATAACAATCTCAGTACAAGCATATATCTTAGAAGCAAACGATTCGTTAAAATTGTAAAGGGCTCAAATTACCTTGCCACGTCCAGACAAGATGTTTCAACAATAAATAATATTTTCTTTCCGATGTTTTTGTTTTGTTTGTTGTTTAACGCCGCACTCGGCAATATTCCAGCTATATGACGGCGGTCTGTAAATCGAGTCTGGACCAGACAATCCAGTGAATAATATCATGAGCATCGATCCAGGGCAATTGGGATCGATGACATGGATCAACTAAGTCAGCGAGCCTGACCACCCGATCTTACCGATGTAACTCTAGTACCATAGAAACGCCAGTGTAGTAATAAGCTACAGATGAACGAGGGGCGTAGGGAGTGGCGTATAAACCAACAACGGGTTTGTGTGCTTGACTGCCGTCCTTGAATCATTCTACGGAAACCTGTTAAGGACATCATCGCCGGCGTTGCGAAATAGTAGCAATGTACTGCTCAACTTTTACTGTCAGACACGCACTGTCATAAATAGCTACGATTCCGCCTTCATAACATTTGACTAAATTCCGAAGCTAAATCTGCACCTGCCTTCACACGCTCAGAGTGATCGTTATAGAATATAGCTGAATTTGTTACGCCCCCTTGTTCGGGTAGCCTAGTGGTTAAAGCGTTCGCTCGTCACGCCGAAGACCCGGGTTCGATTCCCGACATGGGTACAATGTGTGAAGCCCATTTCTGGTGTCCCCCGCCGTGATATTTCTTGAATATTGCTAAAAGCGGCGTAAAACCATACTCACTCACTCACTCACAAATGAACGATAGAAAGGATTACATACCTTGTGCTACTGAAAGATAATCGTTCACCTGTTTGGAGTCATTACGAAACAGATTGAAGCTTTCTGATTCCAGTAGGATGTGGTCATCTTGAATTGCGGTTGTAATCACATACCTTCTATCGGTATCACTGGAATAATGGAATAAAGTGACAAAACCCTGTCTAAATACAATAGAATTATCTGCATAAAGCAGAGACGAGTGTACGATTCCGACTGTGTCATAAGCTCGGTTTATGAATCACTATCAAATAGTGATGATACCAGGTGTTCGCGAAAACTTGAGCGTAACCTCCCCCACCGGTGGCACTCATCACAAACACATGCAAAGGCAAGTCAATTGTTCGCCTGAAAAAAACAACCCACGGGAACACACGGTACACGAAGAAAAAGTAACATTTGCTCAATTGGAAAGAACATGGAAAGACTGCCTTCATGCTTTTGAATACATTCTTTCCAAGGTTTGGAAATCACATATTTCAGTTAGTGGAAAGTTAACAGATGTTTGGAAAGATAGCTATATCTTCCAGTGAGAGTTGACCGCCTCCGTGGTCTTGTGGTAGAGCGTCCGCCCGGAAAGCGGAAGGTCCGGGGTTCGATCCCCGGCCGCGTCATACCAAAAGACGTTAAAATATGGTACTTGTTGTTACCCTGTCTGGCGCTCGGCATTAAGGGGCTAAAACAAGGACTGGTCGGCTCGGGGTCAGTATACTGTGTCTGAGTGGGGTATTCATGTTAAACTGCGGCATGGTATCTCAGTGTGCTAGCACTATAAATCGGCATCAGTCCGGACTAGTACAAGCAGCCACACACACACACGTGCATGCACGTCGCTATATACGTGCAATAATCTTGGACGCGACGTTAAACCCAATTTCACCTCACCTCCAGTGAGAGTTAACAGTCCACTGAAGAAACTCTTAAACGTTGTGTGAATAGTTTTTCTGTAACATCACGACATGCCAGCTTATTATGTGAATATAGATTGCAGGCCGTTTGACGTTTACCACTTGGTGAAATTGGCGACAAAGGTTAAGACAAACATAAAGTCATGAAGAGTGTATATATAGCACCGAACCCAAGATCAGCGGATCCTGGTTCGAGCAAGGGACTCAATTCTGCACGACTGCAGTGCCATTCCTGACCCCTCCAAAACTGTATACTTTTGTGAAAAGTTATATATTTAGTCTTGACCAGAAAATCCAGTGATTGACATAATGAGCATCGATCTACACATTTGGGATACATCAACCAAATCAGCGAGCCTGACCACCCGATCCCGTTGGTCGCTATTACGATAAGCATGGTCGCCTTTTATCGCAAACATGAGTTACTGAAGACCTATTTCTGCCCCGGATCTTCACGGGTCCAGTACGACGTTTTATATTTTCAACTGATCCATCAGTATTGATTGATTGGTGCGCTCAAACGCACATGTGCAGATATCAGAAAGTTTTAACACTCGATCTATCAACCCGTTTTGGTAACATTAAGCATATTCTTACTTGTAGTAGAAGTTCGGGAAACCCGGTGACTCGAGCACTGATTCGGCGGTAGTTGCAAGGAGCTGGATACTCCCGGATTGTACTGCAACGATAACAAACGCACCAATGGTACAAGTAGCTCCAATTTCATATTGTTTGCTTGCTCTTAACGCTGCTGACAGAAATATTTAAAAATAATGAATAGTTATCATTATTATGAATGATTATGCTTTATGTTTTTTTAGGGGAGTAGTCAGCAATTTTCAGTTATGTTATTGCGACATGTGCCTGTGTGAGAGAGAGAGGGGGGGGGGGGGGGTAGAGAGAGAGAGAGGTAGAGAGGGAGAGAGAGAGCGAGAGCGAGAGAGGTAGAGGTAGAGAGAGAGGGGGCGGGTAAAGAGAGAGGTAGAGGAAGAGAGAGAGAGAGCGAGAGAGGTAGAGGTAGAGAGAGAGAGAGGTAAGGAGAGAGTGAGAGAGAGAGTGAGTGAGAGAGAGAGTGAGAGGATAGAGAGAGCGAGAGAGGTAGAGGTAGAGAGAGAGAGAGGTAAAGAGAGAGGTAGAGAAAGAGAGAGAGAGGGAGGTAAAGAGAGAGGTAGAGAAAGAGAGTGAGAGAGAGAGAGAGAGAGAGAGAGAGAGAGAGAGAGAGAGAGAGAGGTTAAAAAGGTGAGAGGTTAAAACGATTCTAGGTGCATAGTTAGGTCACCAGTAATGTGAGACCCTTTCATTAATATGTACCCTTTTCCTGGTAAAATTTGAAGACAAATTCTGCGTAGTACGTCGGATCAGCTGTCATGTAAAAAGCTCCATTTTCTGAGTAGAGTAGACGTTTCTCCCCGTCTCCACACCAGCTCCGCACAGGGGTCGTCATTGCGGGTCCTATATCACCAACAGCTATCAGGGCGTTTATTGAAATAGGAACCTACATACACAATACAACTCCGGATATTCCCGCACACGCAATGGGATATATAAATCAAAAAGGACATTGAAACTAAACCTTCCCAATTAAAACAATGGTTATACTGACAACGATTTGTCACCTTTTGTTTGGAAACATGCGTAACCAAGTCGTCTAAGACGCCGTAATTCGCTTTGGGCACGCCAGAAACCTATCATCGTGGGATCGAATCCCGGTTCGTCCCAATTATGTTTCTAAGTTTTGTCAACACCATACCCGTGCTCGTGGGGTTCACCAAAGTCGTAAACGTCAGAGACCAGCATCACTTCGGACTTTCCTCCCACATTTAAGCTTACACGACGTTATATAACTGGAATAATGTTCAAGCGGCGTTAAACTTAACTCACTCACCCACTCGAATTTCAGAGTCGCGGTGATTATGTTTCTAGGTTTGTCAGCTCCATATTCCGTGCGTGTGTGTTTCACACAAATGGTAAACGTCTAAGACCTGCATTCCTTTCCATGAACATCAAGATAACAATCCGTGATAGAATTGACCCATGTTCATAGAAGCGCTGAACCGCACTCACGCGCTCGCTCAGACAATCGCAAGATGTTATTACATCCAAATAGCCGGCGGGTGGTTGAGAACCCCCATCAATAAAGATCTATGTTTTTCCACAGTATCTTTTATTTTGTCCTTGGATTATGCGTTCTGTGTTTGATCAATAAAATAATCACGAGATCTTAGTTTCGTTTTATTTGTTTGTTTTTCGTTGCACTCAGCAATCTCCCACCTATATGACGACGGTTTGTAAATATTCGAGTCTGGACCAGACAACCTAGTAATCGACATCAAGAGCATCGATTTACGCAATTTGGATACGACAAAATACAATATAATGAACCAAGTCATTGAGAATGACCATCTGATATATTTTGTCGCCTTTCACGACAAGCCGAGGTTGCTGGGGACCTATATTCTTACACGAAATCTCTTTCCTTAAATTATATATACAATAATATTCAATTTAAAAACAAATAATTATTGTTCTTCTGTCAAAAAGGTGAATTGTAATTTGCCAAAGATATTTTCACTGTTCCTTCCATTAATCTAAATAAATATGTCAATAATATTTTACTGTGAAATTTTGAGACAGGTCTATAATATTTTCCATTCAGATATTATCAACCTTCTTTTGAGATGTTTTTCCTTCCTGGAGAAGATTTTGCCCCCAGACCTATATCATGTAGTGGTAAGACTCCATTAGAAACAGTGAATGGTCCAAAGCAACCTGTTTGCTGTTTTTGTTTGTTTGTTTGTTTGTTGTTTAACGCCGCACTCAGCAATATTCCAGCTGTCTGATGGCGGACTGTAAATAAACAAGTCTGGACCAGACAATCCAGTGATTGACATCATGAGCATCGATGTATCAACCGAGTCATCGTATCTCACCACCCAATCTCGTTAGTCGCCTCTTACGACAAGCATAAACCAAGTCTAACCCGGATCTTCACGGGTGACCCTGACCTTGTAAGATGCCACCTGACTTGGTTGAAAGATGCCAAGGTACTCCGACAGCATGGAGCGTTGCTCATAACAATAATCACTGGATTGTCTGGTCCAGACTCGCATATTTTCAGGCCGCCGTCATATAGTTGAGTGCGGCCTTAACGACAAACAATTGTGTATTGTACAATAGAATCAGTGTTATGGAATCAATACAAACCGTTAAAAACGCTGACTTTTGCCTCTCCGCAGTTTCTTTGCTTTTTCACCCTTAGGGCCAAAGTGTCAAGGACGACTCGGTTGTCGGGGTCAGTCGCCTGTATCTGCCACCAGCAGTTGGCATCTCTGATAAAACATGACGGTTATAGCGTATTGTACCTTGTGCGAATTGTATTTCAAGTAAATGAAAATTGCCATGTCGCATCGTAAGTCCCTTCGGGTAACATAACTTAAAAAAATGAACCATAGAATAAACGACAGATCATGACAGATCAACTCACTCACTCATTATGGGACCCGTGAAGATCCGGGGTAGAATAGGTCTTCAGCAACACATGCTTGCCGTAAAAGGCCACAATGCTGGTCGTAAGAGCCAACTAACGGGATCGGGTGGTCAGGCTCGCTGACTTGGTTGATGCATGACATTGATCCCAATTGCGTGGATCGATGCTCCTGATGTCAATCACTGGATTGTCTGATTCAGACTCGATTATTTACACAGACCGCCGTCATATAGCTGGAATAATGCCGAGTGTGGCGTTAAACAACAAACAAACAAACAACACTCATTATGTTTTTAACATAAGTTAATTGTTTTTACAGAACCATCTTCCCGATTCAAATGAGTTATAAACGTTAATAAAAACACACACATCCACACCAGCATCCACATCCACACCAACGCCCACATCCACACCAACGTCCACAACCACACCCACGACCACACGATGTGATACATACCCTGTATTGTTTGTGTTCGGTTGAAACAGAAGACGGGGAGTCGTGCCTGCTTGTAGAGTGATGTTGCAGTCACGAACGGTATCTGTCATAAAACGTATATGAAAAGGAGACATCTTCGATTATCCGGTGTATTATACCTCATATAATTTCTCCATTGCATTTAATTTAGTTTAATACCTAGGACCCGCCCACTACCATAGATTCGTTTTGAGCTCGATTCGAACAGCACGACGTTGTAAATAGGCGTCCAATGGTTCGATGTCAGAGATATGGGCGATAGGGATGGTGACGTCACTTCTGTGACGAAGCAAAGGTCGCGAATGGGTCCAGGGTAATTAACATAACAAAATGCTGAAATAATGCACTGGATAGCCAAATACACAAAATAGACTATAAAATACGCAAGATAAACTGTTTGGCCGTGTTCTTATAAAAGTTTAATCATTGCCAATTGAAAGTAATCATGGCGATATGGACTGTATGGTGTCACGTTTGTTGCCGTTAAATTGATGTCGTTTAATACAAACAAAGACATGCCTAACATGTCCTTTCAAATGGAAAACTGGTGTATATCGGTTCCTGGGTATTAAGTAATAAAACCAAAGGCACCAAAAACTTCAGTAAAATCGCAATTAATAGCTAAATTTTTAATGTCTGAATTTCAGCCAAAAAAACAGGAAATTTAAATGTTAGTCGTAGAAATGAAATCGACAAACATACAGTCATCTGCATGCCCCATTGTTGTGTTGTAACACAAACATATGATAAACAAATAACATCGCAAATTTCCGGTTTTCGAAACAAACATTCTGTACGAAACCAAAAATATTCATTAATTCACAAAATTGTTAAGTCATAACTCGTCTGTTATGTATAGATACTTATATTTTACCTGACGATCTGTAGCACATTTGACACAAATATTTTCTGTGTCCCAAATACTTCTGAATCATAAACAATTTAAAAAATTAAAATTTATAAGAATAAATCTCTTCTAGCCCCCGTCAATGAATTATAGCAATTTATTTAAATACGGATTAGAATGCACATGTACTGTATCGTTTGTACATAATACAGTATTTATTTGACTCTGTGCTAGAACATTATTCAGTTTTCAATTTAATATCATAATATTTTATTTACACACACAAATAGTTTATGGGCAGCTGTGAAAAGGCAAATGCATCTGTCATGACGAAATGAAATCTTACCGAACTTTTGGTATTTTGATTGAAAATCGGCAAATATTAAGAAAACAAATAAATAAGGACGTAAAACACTTCATCTTGTTCAGTGCCTCTTTGAGGCGTATTCTTATAATATTTTAGCTGCTGAGATTTTAATGATGGAAGCCACATTTCCCTCCAAATAATCATAAGAAATTCCTTCTAATAGCAGACTTCATTGTACGATTCCGACTATGTCGTGAGCATGTGTTCATAACTCACTATCAAATAGTGATGATACCAGGTGTTTTCGAAAAGGTGAGCGTATCCATGTTTTATAGTAATATGATCTACAACTGCAAATGTTGCTTGGCTACCGGGGGCCTGAATCGCTTAACTATCATTCACACAATATTTCAACATTCTACATCACCACAGTACACACGATATTAACCTCGCTAGTGTGGACCTCGTTACTCTGGAGTACTGTTGGGAACGGGAACGCGTAGGTGTTCCACATGTATGTCATCCATCTAATCCCATATTTTTAATTCCAAAATTATTATATTTACCATACTGCTTTTCTGTTCTTGTCCTTTTTGTCGACAGGTATTTAACAGCTATTAATGATTAAGTTCTTTTCTACGGAAGTGAGTTTAAGTGCCACATTCGAAAAAATATATATAATTCAGTAGATGATACTTTCATTTACGTGGCTGGTATATAAGTCAGATACTTACATCAACGGAGATGAGACTTTAATGGCTGATACATAATTTCGCTAACATTTTGCTTAACGACTTATGGTTTAACTTGCACAAAAAGCACATTCGGAATGGCCTGTAAATTCCTGGCTCAGAATCAAAATTGTTTGATTTCATATAGTTAAATACATTGCAACGACTTTTGACAAGTCAACTTTGTACTCCTCTCTCTTTATCACGGCTATTAGAGGGTGCGGCGTGCGTCATGCTTCTTGTAGTCTTACAGCCGCCCTAACACCCCCCCCCCCCCCAACACACACACACACACACACGTGTTGATTCTCGGATGTTCCCCTCATCAAGTATTAATTGTTTTAAATTAATGTGGATCTTTTAAGTCCTTCCTAAATTTGGAGGCCCAGTGAGAAAATCAGCCAGTCAGAACACATTTAGTCGATCAAACCAGTCTAAGCAGGTGCGAGGTCTGAGACCTCGATACATTCAAGTGAACAGTTACTTTATGTAATGTGTTAGATAGTACCTCAATAAAGACATGGTAAGTTTGAAAGTCAAACAAATCGGTCATTATTAACTATATGACTGGCCCAAAACTATTGTCAGTTATTCGAGAAAACATGGTTACCCAATCGATAAATGGATGCTATATGATACTATATTCTACGTACATCTAACATCATATCCGAAGATGAAAGTATCTTCTTCGTAGATATTTAAGAAAATGGTACAAATACGCTTCCATAGTTTCAGTTGCGATATGGCTCCAACATTTCCGGGGCGATGTACCTTTGAACTCACACACTTACTCGACCTTACTCTATACTAATGATTCGAGTATCCCATATGTTTCAAATCCGGACACTCATACTGGGAGTATCTATTTTTCTATGAACAGTAAACTGCGGTTATAACGAACTCAAAGGGACTACTAATTTTATTTCGTTATAACCGTAGATCGTTATACGCATATATACAGCTGAGCTACAGCAAATAGTCGGGACCAAAAAAGTAAGTTCGTTATATCCGTCAGTTCGTTATATAAGCGTGTTCGTTATAACCGTAGTTTACTGTATTCCCTATTTTGTGATAACCAAAGAAATTGTTACATATTATCTATTTATCTCACGAATGTGATTTTTAGACCACAATAAATGAATTTACATCTTAACATTAATTTCGTGACATCGTAGAATGTATTTTATGATATAAAAATCGAAATCACGATATCTAAGAATCTGAACTATTTTTCTCTATCACAATTTCGATTTTGGGATATCAATAATTCAGTTTGTGATATATTTTAATGCAAGTAGGAAACACGTGTCTAATAAAAAGAATTGGAATGTTGTATTCCAAAATGTTCTCTCAAATTTAATTAACCTATTGCTACTGTCGACGTACAGCTATGATGTAACTGGATTCATACTGATTAAAATAACATCCATTTATTCACTTACCGTAACCTTGGTAACAGGATATTGTAGACACAGAAGCTACGATTACGAAGCTCCGTATTATTAAGCGGTATTCCATTTCCCAGGTATTGCTGTACCAACAGATTTAGATCCCTTCAGCGTTAGTGTGTCACCTCGACTTTGCCTGTTTACTCGTTCCAGATCGGGCCCGACTAAAGTGTATTAAATATTGTGTGGTGTAGTTGTAAGCTAACACACTCCTCACCAGTGTGTTTATGTCACTGCGCATCAACATCTGCTACGCACTGTCTCGCTATTTCCTAATAGAATGTATGTGTGTGTTGTTGTCGGAAGACGCTCGTATCCTATATTTGGCGGTCCGGGTTAAGAAGAGGCAATGCCTCGTTATAACGCACCCCTCGTTATAGTGCGATGTTGACAACTAAGGTCATCTTTCCACAAAGAGAAATAAGCGCCACGACCGTCGTATTGCTTTTACTGTAATACAGACTAACGATAGTCGTAACACTAAGTCGAGGCCCTGATCTATTGAGCGCCAGGGGCGATGGGATAGCCCAGTGGTTAAAGCGTTCGCCAGTCAGGCCGAAGACCGGGGTTCGATTCTTAACATGGTGTCCCACGCCCTGAACTGGCTGGAGTATTGTTAAAACGGCGTAAACCCACACTCACTCACTATTGAGCGCCAACGCCCATTGACAAATTAATATTGCCATGCCTTGTGTGAAATTTCCATGAATATTCATTACGTCAACAATGATATATCAACTGTTTTTCGGCTTTGAAGGGGTTATACGTTTTCTAACATCTGTTATCGGACACTCCATTTCGACGAAGCCAACATTTAATTATACACTTGACCACCCTGATCTAATTGAAGACTCTGGCGTACCCTAGTGTTTAAAGTGCCTGTCCCAGAGGGCACCTGAGTGAACGAGTGTGTATGTTTTCCAGCAATATAACGGCGGGGGACACCAGAAATGGGCTTCACACTTAGTACCCATGAGGGAATCGAACCCGGGCCTTGGACGTGACGCGCGAACGCTTTAACCACTAGCCTACCCCTCCGCCCCATACCAATATTAAGTTAGGCGTAATGTGATTTCAGATTTCAGGACATTTAATTTGGAACGGACACGGTGTTAGCCGGTAAGTTTCAAAAGTTAAGGTGTAGTCGTTAACATTTTTGGAACACCTGAAAATACATAATACTTATCAACATTGTTAAATACTACAGCGATGAGTACCTCGGTAACATTCTGTCTCCGTGAGAATGTCTGGAATGCTATGACGTCAGCGATAGTCACTGCAGGTGACGTCATATGCTTCCATGGCCCCTAAACAAAATCCAATAAAGATGAAATTTAATATGTAATAAGCGCCATTTCACTATGTCGACTTCCGTGTGTTTACAGGCTATCCAATTCAGGGTTTGAGAAAAGGGATATTTATCACAAAAATTAGGCCTATTTATAGGCTGGCGCACATGTATTCGCATTTATTGATAACTGATACCTTGGTGCGTAGCATAAAAGTTTCAGAAGGAAACAAGACAATCTTGAATTAAATCCTTTTATTCAGAACCATAAAACACTTTGTTTTTTTGTTGTTTAACGCCGCACTCAGCAATATTCCAGCTATATGACGTCGGTCTGTAAATAATCGAGTCTGGACCAGACAATCCAGTGATTGACATCATGAGCATCGGTCCACGCAATTGGGATATGATGACATGCATCTACTAAGTCCGCGACCCTGACCACCCGATCCCGTTAGTCGCCTCTTAGGACATGCATAGTCGCCTTTTACGGCAAGCATGGGTTGCTTTTAAACATTTAAAGACATTACTGAAAGCTCTAAAGAACATATCTTTTATATGAGATAGCCTATTAATAATATCTAATTAAACGTAGATATTATACACATATTCACAAATGTTAATTTAAAAGAATAACATGACAATTATTTGTATAAGAAATGGGCGTTGCTGTGCACAATTACAGCTCTTATTATACCAGAACCATGTGAAACCCAATCTCGAATGTCCCAAGACGGGACTATTTCCTAAAAACGTCGTAAAATCATACCAAACGCAACTCTTCTGATGCAGAAACGCTATCCCGTTCAACCTGTTGTCAGGCACACATCGGGCAGTGTTATACCGTCCGACCTTGGTGAGAAGACGGTAGTAACTGAGTACACACAGGTAGGTCATATCCGCATTGCCGGTCACCAGTTCATACTGTGTTAAACATGTATTCGTATTCGAGCTGGCTGTTCGTCCATTTACTGTCTATTGCTAAACAGGCGTACTGCGTGTCTCTTTCGGTTTCAGGGAAATCCGTATATAATTAAACCAGTTCGTGGAATGACGTACCAATGTTTATGACACGACATGGAAATTCCCCCATGAGAGAGCTTTATTTCAATAAAGGGCCCACCGGCCCATTATACAATACATAGTATCCTTATTGGACAATTTCAGCGCCAACGAAAGCGTTATTACGCAAGAAATATAAATATATAATTATATAATAACTATAGCATTAATTATGCATGGGGTTTTAGATGTACAGAGTGTGTACAAATTTATCAAAGGTTACATTTGTGTAAAAATGATAATGAAGAACCTTACGTCTCAAACTGTTATAATATGGACAGAGTAAACAAAAATGATATTCAAATTCCACTTAAGGTCTTACACAAAATGGACATGGTCTCTTAGCTCTAGGTATATTGTATTTCCTTCCATTTTAAATTAGCAAAGTATGACCAGAACATTTAACTTTCCTCAAAGCAATACAATAGGCACTTACTGAAATACATTCTAGATAATTTTCAAATACATTACATTGCTCAATACAAGAATAAAAAGAAAGTTTTGAGTAAGTTCTACTACTAGACCACAGTTTGTCTAAGTATATCAATACATCTTATTTCAAAGTTATCAATAAAACCAATAAAATCATGGAAAATTACAGACTGAGTACTATTCTTGAAGCATTTGTTATATACAACACGTTAGACAACAAACTGTAAGGTGATAAGATGTCTCTTTGTGGTGCTCATATGAGAATAATGATAACAATAATTATTCGATCCAGTAATGCTGTTCACTTGACTCTTCGGTTGACTCTTTAACTAGCTGTAAAACTGTCAGGGGATAGCTTCATTTTTATTGATATGCATACAGGGGCGGTAGGGTAGCCAGGTGGTTAAAGCGTTCGCTCGTCACGCCGAAGACCCAGGTTCGATTTCCTACACGGGTACATTGTGTGAAGCCCATTTCTGGTGTCCCCTGACGTGATATTGCTGGAATATTGCTAAAAGTGGGGTAAAACAATACTCACTCATACATCCCTTGTAGCGCTCTTTGGAAAAAGAGGAATGCAATTTTGATTTGACAATATGCGTTCAGAAATGATGTAATTAGTTTCAACATATATTCACCAAGGTGTCAAAGTTAAATATAGTTTAAGTTTTAGTATACACGATCACCCATGAAATGTTCGAATGTATAAATATTTAGTATGTTCGTGTGTGTCATAACCACCTGGGTGCCGTTGTACAAAGCAATCTTAGCGCTAAGGTGATCGTAACTCCCATACCTTAACATCGACTTACGACAGTCCTAGCGCTGAGGTTGTTTTGTACAACGGCACCCTGAACTGACTTACGCTTCGTCAAACAAATGTAACCCTACCTACATAATGTTGAGGTTAAGCTTCGAAATCACAATAAAATAATTTCTGACGTGATCGTGACCTTATAGGGCTTACCTACATCCGACACAATGGTGTGGTCAACTCGGAACCACGGTGCTTGTATATAGGGGGACTTGGAAACATTCAACGCAGAGTTGCGTCCCAAGGACACGCGGCGTAAAACCATACTCACTCACTCACTCACTCACTTTAAAACCAACAGGCCGTACCCCAAAACTGACATCACATTGTTGGGATACGATGGTTTTGATATGCCCCGTTTTGCCCAAATCCACTGTCTAATTATAGTAACAAATTCGACCCCTTCGTCATTTTAGACTCATAACTTTTATTTTTTAAAAATTCCGAAGGAAAGATTTGAGTGTATAAATGGTATAGTGAGTGAGTGAGTATGGTTTAACGCCGCTTTTAGCAATATTCCAGCAATATCACGGCGGGGGACACCAGAAATGGGCTTCACACATTGTACCCATGTCGGGAATCGAACCCGGGTCTTCGGCGTGACGAGCGAACGCTTTAACCACTAGGCTACCCGAACAAGGAGGCGTAACAAATTCAGCTATATTCTATAACGATCACTCTGAGCTTGTGAAGGCAGGTGCAGATTTAGCTTCGGAATTTAGTCAAATGTTATGAAGGCGGAATCGTAGCTATTTATGACAGTGCGTGTCTGACAGTAAAAGTTGAGCAGTACATTGCTACTATTTCGCAACGCCGGCGATGATGTCCTTAACAGGTTTCCGTAGAATGATTCAAGGACGGCAGTCAAGCACTCAGACCCGTTGTTGGTTTATACGCCACTCCCTACGTTTACGACATACACACATATTGAGCAAGAGTATGACAGCATCATCACTGCGCTGAAACTTAAGTGACTTCACAACAAACAACGACTAGGTATGATCGCAACTGTCAGAGGCACATGCGTCTCTGTTCTATACATATGGTTCACGCTCTATCACGGGGAATCAGGTGAGTTCTGTTCATGTGATGATATATTATATGTTAACACAGGGCCATGTAACTGATAATAATAACAAACAAACTAGCAGACGAGGCCGTAGCTAGGAAGTGCGAGGAAGTTGATTTTTCATTATGTTCCGATATTGGTAAGTATAAAATTCTAAAGTAACGAGGTAGTGAAAACATGGGGTCCGTAGAGACTGACTATTCACCCTGTGCCCATAATGTATCATTATTTAACACGTTCTTGTCCCCTAAACGTTTGCTGCTTGAAACGTTTGCCTGTTATATTCATAAAGTCACATAATCTCCAGCTCACCTCACGTGCCGTGAAAAAAAACCCACAATAGGTCGAATTGAATTCACGATTATGAGATGCCCCCTTCCAACGTGGCCGCCATCATCAGTGTTTACCGAAGACAACAGAAATCTAAAGTACAAACGATAATTACTTCTTGTAAATTACTTCTTGTAATTGTGAAATCGTGACGCTTTGATAAACAATAACACCAGCTACGGTGAATTGTCGTCATTTCAGAAACGAACTGAAAACCGCAACTACGACGAGATATGTAGGCCAGGCATGACCCAGCTTAATGTATGATGAGCGAGACGGGCTATAATTCCGTAGCCTGGCGCGTAACTGAGGACTTTGCGTCATTGATTCATCAGCCCTTTTCCAAATGCTTGTCGGGCTGGTAGTCGTCCCGCTGAAGTTCGTGGGTTCAGAGATACGTTGTTGAAATGTTCCCCGTATTGTCTTGAGGTGGTGTTTTTGGATTAACAGGGTCTGGAATAACGAGGTTTACTGAACATCCTTGATACATCTACCTGATGGTTAAAGCCTTCGCTCTTCACGCCTAAGGTACAGGTTCGATTCTTGATATGGGCACAATGTATGAAACACATTTTCGGTGTTCTCCCTGATATTACTGGATTATTAATATTAGTAGCGTTAAACCATACTCACGCACTGTTTATTTCTTATTCCGATAAAAAAAAGTTTATTTCAACTGAACAGTAATAAATTCAGAAAAGTGATACATGACTGTGTTTCAGACCCGCGGAGATCCGGGTTAGGAGTGGCCTTTAGCAACCCATGTTTGTCGTGAGAGGCGACTAGTGAGTGAGTGAGTATGGTTTTACGCCGCTTTTAGCAATATTCCAGCAATATCACGGCGGAGGACACCAGAAATGGGCTTCACACATTGTACCCATGTCGGGAATCGAACCCGGGTCTTCGGCGTGACGAGCGAACGCTTTAACCACTAGGCTACCCGACCGCCCCTAAGAGGCGACTAACGGGATCGGGTGGTCAGGATCGCTGACTTGGTTGATGCATGACATTGATCCCAATTACGTAGATCGATGCTCATTGTGTCAATCACTGGATTGTCTGGCCTAGACTCGATTATTTACTGACCGCTGTCATATAGCTAGAATATTACTGAGTGCGGCGTTAAATTCTTGGGGTAACTGCAGTAACACTGCTGCGATGCTCTTTGGGGATTGTTCGAAACGCTTTAAAGGTATTGAACACATTTCAGGTTACTATGCAAATAAGTGTATTTGATCTAGATGATTTTCCTTGAACAGGCGCTTAATGTTTCGTAAATTGCAATGAATAACTACTATATTTAGAAGACACTTTCTATTAGTATTACAGGATGTCCGTCCACCTATATTTCTTAAAAGGCAGAAGGATAATCTTAATGTTAAAAAGAATATCCTTCTTTGAAGTTGCTCGAGGTCCACTTGGTTTTACTGGATATTTATCTAACTATGCTTTTAATAATTTTACGAAAATGTTTTTTTCGCAGCGGGCACGGATTGTAACAACCCCATAAGCATCCGTGCTACACACTCTCACCAGTACTTGACCTCCCCAGGCTATCCGCATGGCTATGAAAGGTAGGTTTGGTTGTTTGTTGTTTACCACCGCACTCCGCAATTTCCCAGCTATATGACGGTGTTCTGTAAATAATCGAGTCTGGACCAGACAATCCAGTGATTGACATCATGAGCATCTGTCTACTCATTTGGGATACCTTGTCATGCATCAACAAAGTCAGCGAGCCTGACCACCCATATAGTCGCCTTTTACGGCAAGCATGGGTTGCTGAAGACCAATTCTACCCCGGATATTCACGGGTGGATAGATGGGTAATGGGTTCATGAACAGTTTGTTAAATGATACAATATACTTAAGAGAGATCGCGATATATAAGCATTTAATGAAACTGTAACATTGGCACCCGTCAAGGATGTGTTTTAAGTCCACAAATATTTATTATATTTATAAACAAGTTATCTCACCTTACGGAAAGAGAGGGAGGTCAAGGTATAACTGTTACCTCGTCTCTAAATGATTTGTGCTCCCTCACGTTTGCTGATGATGTCTCAGCAATGCCCGACACCTGTTCACAACTGTATAGAAGTGAGTGAGTGAGGTTGGTTTAACGCCGCTTTTAACAGTTTTCCAGTTATATCACGGCGTGTCAGCTTAATGTGGGAGGAAAGCCCGAAGTGATGCAGGTCTCAGACGTTTACCACTTCGGTGAAACCAACGTCACGGGTATGGTGCTGACAAACCTAGAAACATAATCGGGGCGAACCGGGATTCGAACCCACAATCATAGGTTTCTGGCGTGCCCAAGGGACGCAACTCTGCACAGCGAATCGCGGGGCCTTAGACGACTGGGCCACCCGTGCCCCCAACTGCATAGAAAGATAACTGTACCAGAAAGTGTTTGTGAACATACTGGCATGAAAGTGAATGTGAATAAAACTAAGATAATTATGTGGTGGTCCCTTAAGGTCGTTTGAAAAATGGTTATGTGATGGTACATCTATAGAAACAGTATCATTATATGTATACCTGGGACTTGTATTCACCCCTACATTAATCTGGAGCAAAGACCTGTCTTTTATCCCAAGCAAATAAGGCAATATTTTAAGTAAATAATTACCAAAGGAAACTTGTTAATATTAGTTGTCCAGATCTATTTATGATATCTATTGTATGCTAACATATATTCTATGTTATGGTCCTGAAATGTGGGGCACCACATATTGTAATATTATTGAATCTGTACATATTATTTTTTGTAAATCCAGTTCAAAGGTTGGTAAATCAACTTGTAATAACATGGTTCTTGGGGAATGTGGAAGAGAGCCTTTGCAGTTTATATATATGACAAAGGCAGTTAAGTATTGGTGCAGAATATTACATTTAGCAAACAATAGGTTGCCAAAACAATGTTATACAGTAAACTACGGTTATAACGAACTCAAAGGGACTACTCCTTTTAGTTCGTTATAACCGTAATTCGTTATAAGCATATATACAGCATAACTACAGCAAATAGTGGGGACTAAAAAGTTAGTTCGTTATATCCGTTAGTTCGTTATAACCGTTGTTTACTGTATTATGTTAACATCCCTAGCTGATGTAGGCCGTTATACATGGGCAACACAAATAAGACATGTTTTCACTGTTTAAATTTGAATTTGGCGTTGTCCGGATTTTTCAGGAAATAGGAAACCATGTAGCCTTGATTGCACTTTTTAAGCAAAGATTACATGATAATCTCTCTTAGTCATCGCAAGCATCCTAGCATGCAAATCATACGTGTGTTTACTATAACCAGTTTAAATCACTTTTAAATATTGAAAAGTATTTTAGCATAGTGATCTTCAACATTTGAGAACATCCTATTCTAGATTTAGATGTTGCAATTTCAAACTTGCTATTGAAACTGGCAGATATGAAAATACAATTTATAATAAAAGATATTGTGAGAAAGTATTTTGCTGTTGAAGATGAATTGCACATTTAATAATGTATGTCACTCCTACTCTGAATTGCGAAACAAGTTTATTGTAAAATATTTGAGTAAATATCCAACAATTAACAATTTTATTTCTATCATGTAGAGTAAGAACGTTGTTGTTATCAGAAGTGTCTGTATGTTCCTGTATCATGTAACTAAAAAAAGAAACACACAATTGAAAAATTATATAAAATGCGAATGCATGGTCATGCTTTTGTATGTATTTTGGGCCAGAGGCCTTATACTGAATAAAACTGTCTGTCTGTTATGAAATCGTACATGATTGAGTACTTACTTTCCCATCCACTATATCATCCACTATATCAAAGGTAGTCTATGGCGTCGCAATTCGCTGTGCAGAGTTGCGTCCCTTGGGCACGCCAGAAACCTATGATTGTGGGTTCGAATCCTTGTTCGCTTCGATTATGTTTCCAGGTTTATCAGCTCCATACTCGTGCTCATGGATGTCACCAAAGTGGTAAACCTTAAAGATCTGCATCACTTCGGGCTTTCCTCACTCACTAAGCGTTAAAGGAAACTCACTCAGTCACTTGATCAAACCTGGTCATGTAAACCTTCTGATGGCAATCCTCGAAAAGTACAAGTAAATATTTACTATTATGATTACATGATGATTTGAAGATTACCTTTTAAAATATGTAACGCTTTGAATTAATTTTTGATATTTCCCTACAGGAACATTGCATGTCGGTGGACTATTACAGCACTTTCAGGTGAAACTGTACAAGTTGCTGTTACAGACATAGATTTGGATGTGTCCGATTGTCCACGATGTACACGTGCCTCCTGGCATCGAATTGAAGTGACAGATGGTGAGACTTTTACTGTTATCATGTTACTGTTATGGTCAAATACACGAGAATCGTTTCGTCTCATATATATAAGAAATCGTGTCCCCAGTCTTTACTGCAAAAAAATACCCCCCAAAATATTCATGATACCTAACCAATTTTTTGTTCAATGTATATGAGTATAATGTATATAAACAAGAACGACCTGTTCACAATTATATTTATATGTTGATATCTTACCCTGAAATGTTTCATCACAGTAATCTTGGCTTAACTTACCACTGTGGTTCTACGTGGAGATCTCATGTTGGTTTTTATTTGAACGTCGGAGCAAAAGAAACTCTACATCTCAGATGATTTTATCATATGTTTTGATTTTTCAATTGAAATGATGATGTTTATCGCCAGCAAAAGGGTGTTCTTAAAAAGCGCACTTTGAATTTTTTGTCAATTATGTAAGTATTCCGTATCGGCGGAATGGCTTGTTTTCTTCGTTAATTAATAATCGCGATAGTTCGTGATGTTATTGCAAGTGGCGAGGACTATTATGCTTGGTGGTCAGACTCGGTCACCTGGTTGATGGTTGATGGTTGATGTATTTGTCGTACCCGACGGCGTGGCTCGTATTCGTTGCTCATAACAACTCTGGATAGCCTGGTCCAGACTCTACTATCTTCAAGCCGCCGTAAATAGCCGGAAACTTTCTGAGTCTTAACCAATAAACAAACAGATAAACAGTTTTGTAAAGATGCAATACAATGCATCATTCCCAGACGGTTGTGATTAACATGTGTCTGTTTGGTTTACAGGTACAAGCGTCTGGCCTAATGACAAGTTAGGGTTGTTTTCCAATTATAACAATAAGACACTAACCAGCAGAAGAAGTTCTCTCACTATGTCATTCACACCCCGTATCGATGGAAGTGGAGGCCGAGGATTCAAACTCAAGTACTACTCGGGTAGGAAATAATACTGTTCATGATGCTAATACATGTTTGCGTACATTTGCACGAGTCTTTATTACTATTAATGCCATCGTGAAAGGGGCGGTGGTGTAGCCTTGTGGTTAAAGCATCCGCTCGTCACGCCGAAGGACCGGGTTCGTATCCCTACATGAGTACTAAGTGTGAAACCCATTTCTGGTGCCCCCCATCTTCCCGAGGCAAAGGCGTTAAGCGACTATAAAAGTGGAAACTGGACTTTTATAGTAAACTTATATTCCTGGAATATTGCTAAAAAGCGGCGTAAAACCCGTCTCACCTACTCACAAACTTACAGTATATGTGTATAACAGTCTGTGTACTGAAACAGGTTGAAAAGGATACTATCATTTATTGACATTTATTTCATTCCCAGGTGTGTTTTACGACGATTCCTTTGCTATAGTCGAGTTAGAGGCACGCAGCGGGAATGAAGTGTTTGTACCACCGACGCTTCCGCCAAACTACCCAAAGTGAGTAATTATTATATACCCTGTTGCTAATACACAACTGTTATGTACTTACTACTTGTTGTATATACTAAAATATCTTTTGGGATGCGTGTATTCTCTCTACAGTGAAAAATGGATCCTACAAAACCATGATTAAATTAAGTAACGCTCATGTTTAAACCAAGAATTTTGTGCATGCGAGATATCAAATCACAAAAACCATCTGGGCCCCGTTCCACAAAGTGATCTTAGCGCTAAGTCGATCGTAACTCCCATTCTTTAACACTGACTTACGACAAGCGTAGCGCTGAGATCGCTTTGTGGAACCGGGCCCTGATTGAAACAGCCGATTTAACGACCGCATCGGAAGCTAATATTTATTCACAGTCATTATTGGAACACATTTTGAAATAATTATATGAACATTATAGGTTACTGCAATATTGACAGTATGTCTGACAATGTATTTCGGCCGGGGTGATTTGAATCCTCTGTTTGACCGGTCAGAAACAAGTAATTTCCAAATTCATTGTAGAATAGTGCTTTAGGTACTCGGGAAACGTTTATGCCATCTTGATATTCTATGTGATATGTTTATCATATAATATCAATTATTATTAACACTACGGCCACCACCACCACAAATAATATTGTTTTTTATATTAAGTGAGGAAATTGCTTGTGATAACGTCTTGCCTGTTGTAGTCGGTTCCAAATGAGCTGGAGGATAACTAAAACAAGAGCAAACGGGAGGATGTACATTAAGGTTCTGTCTTCATCTCTTACTGGTGATTGTGAGCGCAATTACATGGAAGCGAAAAACGGTTAGTTGAATCCGCTATGTTTTCCTTCACTAATTTTCATTTTAGAAACAAAGACACGTATATGATTCGTTTAATGTCCTCATATCTAAAAGTAAGCATTTTTGGCATATTTCTGTATAAAAAATTCATACAGTGGTAATGCAACATCATCAGTTTACACCAAAGCTTAAATTAATGTGAAAACTCCAGACAAATTAATTCCTTTGTTTTCCATGGACAAGAGGAACGGCCAAGGGGTCAAGTGGGCAGAATAATATAAAAACAAATCTGTTGAAACCTCCGGCTCTCGTCCCGGTTTCAAATGAATATTTTGGTCTTCAAATTCAAACAATACGCCTACAGTTAAAACAATGTTATGTAAAATTTATTCCAATACTTATTTACTTCCGTATTTACTTGTTACTTGAATGACAAGCATCATGGTCCGTATGTACAGGTTACGGCCGCACCTCCCCTTCACTTGGTCGGTGGTGTGGACAGGAGACGCCTGAGAAATATGCTACTGGTATCTACATGTTCATCCTGTTAACCTGCGACAGCCCTGTGGGTAAAGGTTTTGGCTTCACCATTGAATACGGGACTTTTGCATTGCAACCTACAACTCCTGCAAGTGACGGTAACAATGAGGGTGAGTTTGGTTAAATTCCACTTATGACAGTATTTCAGTCATTTGTCGTTGTTGAGGACAGTCTAAGTGACGAAGTAGTTCACTTTGGTGAACCCCAGGGACACGATTGTGATGCTGACAAGGATCAATGAAAGTGAATGTGTGAATTGAAACCGCAATCAGCGGATCCTGGTACGGTTTGGGGACACAACCCTGCGCTCGCGGTACAAAAGACCACGCGGTGAAACAAGCGTCCATGTGGCGCGGATGACCACGTGATGGACCTTATTTACGAGGGATCAGTGAGTGAATATTGTTTAATGGTCCATGCTGTTGTTGCAGGTGATTAAGGGGCATTCACACGGTACAACTAGTTATATACAACTAGTTGTACCGTGTGAATGCCCCTTTAGGCATCATCGGGTGGTCAGGATCTATGACATATTTGATTGCTTGTCATTGTAGGCCGATGGCAGGGATTGTAGAGTATGCTTTCAGATTCTTTTTTTGTCTGCAAAAAAATATATGCAGGTCGCCATGATGTAATTTGAATTTGAGACTGCATAAAAGATCATTCACAAGCTCTCTGTGAGCTCGGCTTATGTGAAACTGCTAATGTTACTCTCCAGAGTTTTCACTTTCATGTACAATACCGGGCACCGCATATCATAACGTCATGTGTTTTGCTTTACAGTATCAAAAAGCGGTGCATCGATCGAGGTCATAGCAGGAAGCTTCGTTGGAATCATTGCATTTTGCGGCGTGACATACCTAGTGTCTAGAATAGTATGTGACAGGATGGAAATGAGAGACATCGAATCTGAGCATTCAGAGGAACACCTCTCGCTGGAAAACCCCAACAGGCAGTTACCAAGCCCTGTGGTGACACCATCAGCACCTTCATTGTCTGACCGTGACAGGGTCAACCCGTCCGTCCTGCCACCGGCCTACGATGACGTGATGAAGAATAACGCCTTTTACAGTCCCGTTATGAATACATAATTACAACACATGTAAAAGTAATGAACAAATACAATTCTGAGCTGACCTATAAGTAATCGAGCCTGGACCAGTCAACCCAGTGATTGATATTATGAGCAACGATCCTTGTCTTCGGGGTACGCTGCCACGGATTCAACCAAGTCATCGATCCTGGTCATCGATCTATTATAGGTTGCCTCTTACTGGCAATAAAAGCTGGGAACCGATTTTAACCAGGAATCCCCACACTATGGCATTGGTACTTATAGGTGAAAAGTATCTTGTAACTAAGTCAGCAATATTCCAGTAATGTGACCAGGGCCTGTCACTCGATTCTCAGTCAGGCCAACCAGTTGGACACAGCACCGCTCCACGATGTCGGGGCACGGTGACACTCTGTGAGATCAGACATTGTTCCACCCGATTCCAATTCTTCGGCTCCTACGACAAGCACTGGCTCATGGAATCTATTCTGTAACGGGATCACGAAGGGATACACTGAAAAAACAAAACAAGTTTATTTATCTTAAGATACTGAACTTCACAGTTCTTGTATCGGTCTTGTTACTGTGTTAATCATTTGATCTCATGTCTAGCGTTTCTGAAAACTTACAACATTATATTTTGCAATATACTCATCGTATCACCAGAACAGTTATTTATTGATAATCGGGTCATCTGAGTGAATGGTTATTCATGGCAATATGCTCTCTGAAATGTATAATTTTTATGTTCAATATTATATTTAAAATAAAGTTTTATATTCTTTGAAACAGATTTGCTCTTGTATTCCCCCCGTTGCAAAGGAATACCGCTATGTTGGTGCCTTTATGAGCATAATGGGGGCATGTCGATCTTACTTCTCACCATCGGGTTAGACAGCCATAGGTATGAAGGTTATTGTATGGTTAATGATTTGACAAATAGATGGACATGTAATGAGTGAGTGAGTATGGTTTTACGCCGCTTTTAGCAATATTCCAGCAATATCACGGCGGGGGACACCAGAAATGGGCTTCACGCATTGTACCCATGTGGGGAATCGAGCCCGGGTTTTCGGCGTGACGAGCGAACGCTTTAACCACTAGGCTACCCGACCGCCCCGGACATGTTATGAAACTAACAATTGACTGAACAAGTGCAGTTTGGTTTTAGAATATGTCCAATGCTAAGTCAAATGTGTTTATAATGCAATGGTGCCATTGCACAGTAGGGCCAGTTATTGCAAGTTACTGTCCAGAGTAACGTCCCTTGAACGAGCCAGAATCCTATAGTATTGGGTTCGAATCCCAGATTCGCTCTGACTGCGGTGGTATCTCCCTCAAACGGTTATCTACTGCCTTAGGCTAGCATCTGTAATATTACTCAAATCATGTTACTACGACGTTAAAAACGTCCTTGGTGAAGAACGTAACGTCAGTTAATTGATGGAGGGTTAACAAACAATGGATGCATTGCGAATGTTCATGTCTTCAGAGAAGTACATACACCTCAACTTATCAATAGGTGACGTCTGTAGCACTTGGGGAGGGTGGGGGGGGGGGGGGGGGGGGGGGGGGCATTTAGGCATTCCCATGGGCATCAATTGTGCATCAAAGGTCACTCGTGGTGTGGAAGACGTCAATATTTCCGAAAAAGTTCAATCGTGTTATGATAAAGAAGTATACGTTGATGTTGATGAGTAATTCTCGCCCGATTGGTTGGGTCATGGTCAGCTCTGCTCGTGCGATATTTGCTCTTTTCATTTGCAAAACTATGGGAAAAGAAATTTAAAAATAATGACACAAAGCATAAATCAACCACTAATGTCATATTTTCAATATTGCTTTAACACGGCCGTGCTTGAGAAGACAATGCGGTAAAAAAGAGAGAGTAGTCCGAAAATGAAAAGTATGCCATAGCATGGAGACTATACAAAGATGTCTATTGTAGACTCGCTGGTTATGACGATAGTGGGAGGACGGCTGGCAGTCGTCTGAGGTTCTACTGCACCAACATCAGAATTAGACTTCAGTGCAGATTAAATCATCTAGCAGCTGTGATTGGATGATTTTATGTAAGATTTTGTACATCCATTTTATGTTATGTACGTCCTTCAGTAATTAAAACTGACCATGTTTTTTTGAATACTTAGTGCTGTCTTTCTTAATTTGATTACATAGGCTGAATGTGACCACATATATTTTCAAGCATGTGACGTGTGGCAGAACTGGGGCTGGTGTACATGTGTTTAGCTTCCTGCCCTCGGAAAAGGAGCTGGCGAAGCTGGTCTATTATTTTGTTTTTATTGCTGCTTTAAGGCCAGACTGTGTACAAATATACATGCGATAGCTGTTGAATGCTCAGTTGTATATAAACAAATATATCGTTATTATAGAAGCCTATTGGAAAACACTCGTGAAGATTCCGGGGTAGAATAGGTCTTCAGAACCCATGCTTGCCGTAAAAGGTGACTATGCTTGTCGTAAAAGGCGACTAACGGGATCGGGTGGTCAGGCTCGCTGACTTGGTTGATGCATGTCATCGATCCCGATTGCGTGGATCGATGCTCATGATATTAATTACTGAATTTTCTGGTCCAGACTCGATTATTTACAGACCGCTGTCATATAGCTGGAATATTGCTGAGTGCGGCCAACCAACCAACAACCAACCTATGGGAAAACATTTGGTTGTGTGTACCTCTGATACGGTGAGATTCTGCACATGACACGGCTTGACATTACTGAAACACTGTTCAAAGCGGGGAACATAGGTCTTAAAGTTTTCCTTAACTTATAGGCAGCAGAATCTCTGCAGGTGAACACAGCAAACATGATTAATGTTAAATTAATGTTATAGTATCGTTTTAGTCAGTAAATACGATTTCGTGTGACTTGCTTTCAGGTCCATCTCTTGGTTGTCTGGTTTGTTTACAGGCCATGGCTGCATGGCTGGGGTACAGCCGACCCTGGTTCCTTACATGGGCACAATGTGTGAAGCCCATTTCATGTGTTCCCCGTCCTGATATTGCTGGAATTGGTAAAAGCGGTGTAAAACCCGACTCTTGCTGCTGCTACTGCTGCTTCTGCTTCTGCTGCTCCTACTCCTGACACCGCCTCCGTGGTCTAGTGGTAGAGTGTCCGCCCGGAGAGCGGAAGGTTCGGGGTAAAAGATGGTACTTGTTGTTACCCTGCCGTGCGCTCGACATTAAAGGGCTAAAACAAGGACTGGTCGGCTCGGAGTCAGTATACTGTGTCTGAGTGGGGTATTCATGTTAAACTGCGGCATGGTATCTTAGTGTGCTCGCACTATAAATAGGCATCAGTCCGGACTAGTACAAGCAGCCACACACACACGTGCATGCACGTCGCTATATAAGTGCAATAATCTTGGACGCGGCGTTAAACCCAATTTCACCTCACCTCATCTCACCTCCTACTCCTGACAAATAACCAACCAACAACATTTGTATGATTCTGTTAACAAAATAGTGATATTCATGACAATAAATGTGCATTTTTTTGTGAATGCTAAGCATCTAGTATAAATGTGGGAAGGAAGGGTATATACCTAGCCGGCTATATTAATCTGTTGAATAACACCAGAGTGAGTGAGTGAGTGAGTTGTGTTTAACGCCGCTTTTAACAGATATTCCAGTCATATCGCGGCGTGTCAGCTTAATGTGGGAGGAAAGACCGAAGTGATGCAGGTCTCAGACGTTTACCACTTCGGTGAAACCCACGAGCACGGGTATGGTGCTGACAAAGCTAGAAACATAATCGGGGCGAATCGGCATTCGAACCCACAATCATAGGTTTCTGGCGTGTCCAAGGGACGCAACTCTGCACAGCGAATCGCGGCGCCTTAGACGACAGGGCCACCCGTGCCCCCTGAATAACATCAGACCAAAATAGGGTGCATCTAGGTCTACACAACAAGATGCAAACAACTAAACTATAAGAATAACAGCAAGTATAACATCCACACACAACATAAACAACAAATGACAACATTTGCCATGAACAAGAACACTCCAACATTTCCAATAGTAGGTGCTTTATTTGCTACTTAATGTAAACTGAATGTATTGCTAACACAAAATATATTGCTTTTAAAAAATGTAGGGCGGACCCGTCAGAGCTCAGATATATAAAACTTTCCTTTGCTGAGACGTTATGTGGACACAATCAACACTGCGTTAACATTTCTCAATACCGGATATATATCCACCGAAGCATATCATGACACAGCAAACTTGATCCCTACATTTAGCAGCATGCTGTCGTGAAGCGGGTTATAGGCGGTACACGCGTGGCCGTCAGAGTGACTGGCCAAACAGTCAGATCAAGTGTAGAAGTTGTGTTCTGCAGTTACGATGTCTCCAGAGAGGAGTATTCGTGCACAGGTGTACCTACTGCTTGCCGCGTCAGGTCGGTCTCCATGTCAGTCTTTACTCTACGCTATTGATTACCTTGATGTGTTCAATACTCGCTCTATCGTCCATTCGATATACGCGCCCTACTTCCGCGTTGTATCAACGTTGATTAAGTCATGTAATATTGAACATTGAACATGTTATAGTAAGTGCTTGGACGTCTTTAGCTGGTTTTGGTTCAGTAATTGATATGCTCTAAATCACAAGCTATTTGTAAACGCTTGCGTCAGTCTGTATAGGTCTCGTGATAACTGGTTTCATGCAAGATAATATCTACGGCAGTATTTGTTTACGCTCCACTTGCCCCAAGCCTTTGTATGCACTATTCTTGAAGTAACATGCTGTGTTTGATTTGACACATGACACTCTCTCTCCCCTCTTTCTATATGTCTCTATCTTTCTCTCCCTCGTCATTTCCCCGGTCCTCACATGTCACCCATCTCTTCCCTTTCGTTCTTTCTGTGTGTGTGTGTGTGTGTGTGTGTGTGTGTGTGTGTGTGTGTGTGTGTGTGTGTGTGTGTGTGTGTGTGTGTCTCTTTCTCTCCCCTCTTTCTCTGCTCCATATCATCTGTCTTCCCATATTTTCCCCCTCCTCTTCCCCCTCTCTCTCTCTCTCTTCCTCTCCCCTTCTCATATTTTCTTCGGTCCTTCCTATCAAGTCACTCACCTCTTTTCCCCCTCTCTCTTTCTCTCTCGCTCCCTCTCATTCTTTCTCTACTCTTCATTTGTCTCCACATCTTTCCCCTCAACTCTCCCCTATCTTTCTGTGTGTCTCTCGCTCCTCCTCATATTTTCTCTGCTCCTTATCTGTCACCCCATCTTTTCCCTCAATTCTTTCCTATCTCTCTCTCATTCTCTCTCGCTCCCCCTCCTCTCCACATCTTATCTCCGCTCCTCATTTGTCTCCACATCTTTCCCCGTCACTCTCCCTATCTCCCTCTCCCTTCCCCTCCTCATCTTTTCTCTGCTCCTTCCTATCTGTCACCCCATTTTGTCCCTCCACTCTTCCCTATCCCTCTCTCCTTTCCTCTACCCTCCTCATCTTTTCTCCACTCCTCATCTGTCACCCATCTCTTTCCCTCCTCTCTTCCTTTCTGTGTATGTGTCTCTCTCCCTTTCCCCTCCCCATCTTTTCTCTGTTCCTTCTTATCTGTCACCCCACATCTTCCCTCCACTCTCCCTATCTCTCTCTTTTCCACTACCCTCCTCATTTTTTCTCCCCCCCCTCTCTCTGTTTCACTCTCTCTCCCCTCATCCTTTCTCTGCTCCTCATCAATCACCCCATCTCCTCCCCTCCCCCTCTCTGTGTGTCTTTCTCTTTCTCTCCCCTCATCCTATCTCTGCTCCTCATCAATCACCCCATCTCTTCCCCTCCCCTCTCTGTGTGTCGCTCTCATTCTCTCCCCTCATCCTATCTCTGCTCCTCATCAATCACCCCATCTCTTCCCCTCCCCTCTCTCTGTGTCGCTTTCATTCTCTCCCTCATCCTATCTCTGCTCCTCATCAATCACCCCATCTCTTCCCCTCCCCTCTCTGTGTGTCGCTCTCATTCTCTCCCCTCATCCTATCTCCACTCCTCACCAATCATCCCCATCTGTTCCCCTCTCCCCTGTCTGTGTGTCACTCTCATTCTCTCCCCTCATCCTATCTCTGCTCCTCATCAATCACCCATCTCTTTCCCTCCCCCTCTCTCTGTGTCGCTCTCATTCTCTCCCTCATCCTATCTCTGCTCCTCATCAATCACCCCATCTCTTCCCCTCCCCTCTCTGTGTGTCGCTCTCATTCTCTCCCCTCATCCTATCTCTGCTCTTCACCATTCACCCGATCTCTTCCCCTCCCCCTCTCTCTGTGTCTCTGTGTGTCTCTCTCTCCTCTCCTTCTCTTTTCACTGTTCCTTCTCATATGTCACTCCCATCTCTCTTCCCCTCTGTGAGTCTCTGTGTCTGTCTCTGCCTATGTCTGTCTGTCTGTCTGTCTGTCTGTCTGTCTCTCTCTTTCTTTCTCTCCCTACTCAATGACTATTGGTTGTTGACATATTTCAGGTATGGTCCAGACCCTTCAATGCAGGAACGATTCCGGCATCATCGCTGGCCCCACGGTCCTGAAATTTACCTCTCCGCATGTATACCCTAGCAACAAATTGTAGGTAGAGGCAGCTTTAGAGCCGCATCAATACCCCCTTAAACAAGACTATGTTCCACGATCTGGCGCAGATGTTGTAAAGAGAGTCACGTTGTAAAGTGAAACATTCTCTCTGTCTAATCGTGTCATTAAGCACTAGACTCATATAAATGATAAAATGCCAGATTTCAGAGTTAGGAGTGAGTGAATTAGGCTAAATGCCGCTTTAAACAACATTGCGGTTATATCACGGCGTATCGCTAGAAGTATGAAGAAACCCGGAGTTATGCAGGTCTTAGACCTTCACCACTTTGGTACCCACGAGCGCGGGTATGGTGCTCTGACAAACATAGAAACGAAGAGGCGAACCGGGATTTGAACTCGATCATAGGTTTCTGGCGTATCCAAGGGACGCAACTCTGTTCAGCGAATTACGGGTCCTCAGACGACTTGGTCATCCGTGCTCCACATAGTTGAAAGGGTGTTTTAGGATGTAAATCAAATATACTAGAACTAACCTTTTGTCTGGGGCAAGTGCGTCTTTAAGACGTTTGTATTATGATATGTGTAAAAGGTGTGTCCCGCAGCTGTGTCATAATTGTCGCAGTGTTCCTTTAAAAGCAGGAAGTAAAGACAGGCACTGTTAAGTACTGTCATGCAAAGATACCACTCTCAATGTTCAGCCTGCTCGCACTTCTTTACTCAGAGCAAACGAAACGGTGATCTTACAAATGAATTGGTCACAAAGAAGAATAGTAGTTATTTGCCTCTGATTCATCTCAATATGGTGATGGTAAACAAGAATATGATCACAGTTATTTTATCCACACGTATTTTATCGACACGTATTGAGACTTTGATCTTCAGCAATCCATGCTTGTCGTAATAGGCGACTAACGGGATCGTGTGGTCAGACTCAGTGACTTTGTTGATTCATGCCATCGGATTCCAATTGCGTAGATCTTTGCTCATGATGTTAATCACCGGATTGTCTGGTCCTGACTAGATCATTTAAAGACTGCCGTCATATAGCTGGAAAAGTGCTAAGTGCAGCGTTAAACAACAAACAAACAAACAAATGGGTTTTTTTTGCAGTTACCATCCACACACTCTTGAAAGGATCCCATGTTGAGAAGTAAATGTATTATTCTTTCAGTGATGTGTCTTGTTGGTGGAGAATAACAGCGTTTGGTCCGGACAATATTGTTTGCCTTCTTGTTCAGTTCCCTGAGATGACCAACATTCGAAACTGTATGATGACATATCTCGACGTCTATGATGGTGAGTTGTAGACCAAGAATGACAGCGGTGACACTGGTGAGATCATTTTTCACTGTATGCCTCTATATTTTGCGAGATACTTTTCGTTTCAAATTGGCATACCAGGCGTGACCAGAATTACTTCCTGATCAGTGCCCCGGCAATCGACAGGTTGGAGATTGTAACCGTAAGATTGAGCTTTGATTCTGAAGTAGGTATCACCTTCTTGATGAGCCATTAGCAGAGAATTAGATCTCACCATTGGAAGTATCAGCGGCGGTCGCCAGATAAAATATAGAGGCATACAGTGAAAAATGATCTCACCAGTGGCGGGTATGGGCCACCGTACTTTTCTGTAGGCTTAAATATATTGTCATATAATCTTATATTTACATCATGTCAGTAAGGTCTAGTTTTCACCTCCCTGGTTAAAATGCCACGCTGGTCATATTGTCACGTTTTCCGCATGACGAAAGGTGACATAACGAGGGAGGACTGTAGACATTGCAAATGTTTATCAATGAAAACAACTCGCGGGGAAGGTTGTGTATGCTTTTAAACCGCTTCGAGTCTCTATTGTGATAGAGAGGTATAGTTAATTTAAAACGTCAATCAATAAATACAATTAGTAATGGAAAATTAAAAGAGAATCGTACCCTAGATCCCTAAAGACTGAGATACGTCGTGATTTTGTTTCTTGGTTGTCAACATCATACCTGTGTCTAAGATCTGCATCACTGTGAGCTTTCCTCCCACGTCACGTTGACATGCAGTGATATGACTGAGACACTGTAGAAAGCGGCGTTATTATAAGTTGTTGGTTTGTTTGTTGTTTAACACGGCACTCAGCAGTATTCCAGCTATATGACGGAGGTTCAGGGATTGACATCATGAACATCGATCCACGCAATTGGGATCGATGACATGCATCAACCAAGTCAGCGAGAGTTACCACCCGATCCAGTTAGTCGCCTCTTACGACAAGCATAGTCACCTTTTACGGCAAGCATGGGTTGCTAAAGACTTATTCTACCCCGGATCTTCACGGGTCTAATATAAGTTGTAGCAGGATCACGAGGGTACATAAAACCCCATGGATCCCTCGCGATCCTGCTACAACGACGAATTTATCTTACCGACATGTTTCAATATGACGTAAAATATTTCAAATATATTCCAAATTTATAGAAAACAGCTGCTCGATGGAGATGAGGTTTGCTTGCGCTATGTCACGTGACATTGGCTCGGAAAAAGCGTGTGGCTTTTTGCTTTGAAGCGGGGTATAAAGGAATTATTCTGTCGCAGAAATGCACGTGTAGCCTGTTGTGCTTCATCTTCCCGAGGCAAGAGAGTAAACTGACTATAAAAGTCCAGTTTCCACCCTTGCCTAACTAGGCTGGTATTATGGAGTTACATTTTGGCTGGACTAACGAGTCTATGCATAGTCCAATCGAAATCGCGCACCGAAACCGAAATCCGGTTCGTAAACTGTCGTGCAGATTTCGGTCGATTGCAGGATTTGCAAAGCATGTGCACCGCCAACTCGTTGTCAGCAAATATTTTCCAAATCGTTTCATGTTATTAATCAAGGTGCTCACGTGATCTGATGTAAGACCCGTTTTATCACAATATAGATCTTGATTATCGATCAGATCGTCCTGATTGGGTCCCACCATTTTGTGTGAAGCAAACGAAAGTGATATACGAGAGCTTGAATCTAATTGGTCCATAGGAGAGGCTTAGAAGGGACATAACTGGTAAAAGCCACTGGTGGCGCTACGATCGATCCCAGTAATTCCAGCCTAGTTCGGCAAGGGTGGAAACTGGACTTTTAAAGTCAGTTAACTCCCTTGCCTCGGGAAGATGGTTGTGCTTGTGGTTGGGTATAAGAGATTTATTTTCCCCTCTGAGAAGTGTATTACCCTTCAAGGCGGGTTACACAGTATTTGATCAAGATCACGTTGGCCAATCAGACCTCATCATTCTGACATGGAGGTATGATAAACCCAATTCACTCACTCACTCAGACATATGTTGATTTGTATTTCAGGGTTCGACAGTGATGCGACTATCCTAGGGAGATGGTGTGATATGAACTCTCCGCTGCTTAGAAGTACTGGCAACCAAACCTTTGTCTACTCAAAGACGCCAGTCGGTGTCCAATTCAAATTTGATGTTTGGTATTGCACAAATGAATTTTCCATGGGGAATATGAGCAATGTGTCTGTTGGCACTGATAACGGTATGTATACTGGTGCGCGTTTATATTTAGTAGAAAGACATTATCATATTTACATACTCTTCCATGCTTCTTTGTCATTAAAAGCATGGACGCGGTATAAAATCAATATTCTCTGGTGGCAGTTGTGACGCAGCCATCTAATGCGCTGCAATCGAAGCACATAGTTGTGTCCCTAAGGCGGAATTATATGATCAAGGGTTCGAATCCCAGATGCGCCCTGGTTTGAGTTTTGTGTCAGATGAGGTGAGGTGAAATGGGGTTTAACGTCGCGTCCAAGATTATTGCACTTATATAGCGACGTGCCTACACGTGTATGTGTGTGTGTGTGTGTGTGTGTGGCTGCTTGTACTAGTCCGGACTGATGCCGATTTATAGTGCTAGCACACTGAGATACCATGCCGCAGTTTAATATGAATACCCCACTCAGACACTGTTACTGACTCCGAGCCGACCAGTCCTTCTTTTAGCCCCTTAATGCCGAGCGTCAGACAGGGTAACAACAAGTACCATCTTTTAACGTATTTTGGTATGACGCGGCCGGGGATCGAACCCCGGACCTTCCGCTCTCCGGGCGGACGCTCTAAAATTAGACCACGGAGGCGGTCGTTTTGTGTCAGAACCTTACCCGTTTTTTTACCACAGAGGTAACCGACATGTATTTCATCGTGGTTTAACATCTTACACTACTTAATGAATAGAATCACATGAAATTGCAGATTATGCTCATATATGTATTTTAATGAACTTTATAGTGACATCTTCACAAACCAGTAAATAGTGAACACTTGATTATTATTTAATGCTAAGGTGCTACTTGTTTTCAGCGTCGTCGCTATCAACAGGGGTTATACTAGGAATTGCCGCTTGTTTATTGATAGCAGTGGCTATTTTTTCTGTGATAACAAGGCACGTTGTCCGTAAAACGTGCTGGAACCGCCCCCAAAACACAGGACAACAAACGCCATCAGTTTCATCAGGCGTGGAGAGTAACCCCCCTGATTACTGGTCAGTAGTTGTATCCCCTTCAAGGGAGGTCGTGGCATTTCACCCCAGGGAAAACCCCCCTGCCTACTGGGACGTCGTGACAATGAGTGAGGAGAATACCGGTTCACCACTGCATGAAGACCACAGAGCAATATCTATACAAGAACGCCACAGAACTATACCTGTGCAAGGGGACCAGAGTGCAATACCTGTGCAAGAGGACCAGAGTGCAATATCAGTGCCAGAGGACCACAGTGTGATATTACAACAGAATCACTATGTAATACCAAGAGAGGACTGCAATGAAACACCACTGTCCCAGGACAATATTGAAACACCATTTTCAGGGGACCATGGTGAAACGCCATTGGCACTTGACCATAGTGAAACAGCATTGGCACTTGGCCATAGTGAAACAGCATAGTCAGAGCGAAACGGGGCACTAGCATTGCAAAGATATTAACCAGAGTGAAATACTAGTATAGTACAATACCGTTGCAGGATCAGTGAAATACCGTTAGAAGAGGACAACAATGCAACGCCAATGCAAATTTACAAGAGGATCAGAACCAGACCGATTCAAAGTCGGTACAAAGGGAACTACAGGACGAAGTGGTCGCCGTATGATTCAAGTATAATGAAAATGTATCACAGTCGTTCCTTAGGCACGCCAGAAACATATGATTGTGGGTTCGAACCCCGGTTCGCCACGATTATGTTTCTAAGTTTGTCAGCACCATGCCCGTGCTCGTGGGTTTCACCGAAGTGGTAAACGTCTGAGACCTGCATCACTTCGGGCTTTCCTCCCATATTAAGCTGACACGCCATGATATAACTGGAATACTGTTAAAATCGGCGTTAAACCCAACTGATGATCACTCACTCACTCATTAACTTCAGGGATATTACCTCTTGTCAGGTATACCATTTTACAGGTGTCAGAATAGCTTGTTCTTATGGGATTGTGTATGAAGACTTGATATTTTGTGTTACACCAGCAAAACCAGATGTTGTTTTTATTAAAACTATCAGCATAAATATTTATTATATTTAAAAAACCCAACTTTGTAACAGTGTATTTTTTGTTGTGATGTTGTGAGGTAGTTGGCCGGGAATGCTGCGCTATACTACCAGTGCCATGGTCATGTTTGTCGACCTCGCTCGGATAACTGTAAGGTTAAAATGTCATGCATGTATAATAAAAATTCCTATAGTTTGTTTTTTTTATCTTTGACACTGAGACTCGGTCTGATAGAGAGTATTCTACTAAATGTATCATTTGCTTTTTCATCGATTCAGTTTTATCGAAACAAATATATTCATTTACTCATACATACGTACATGCAGGAGGGACACGCGTAATGTGACAACAATAGGGGACGTAGCATATAACAGTGAAGAGTGTGTGTGTTGTATTTTACGCCGTTTATAGCATTATTCCAGCAATATCACGGCTTCACACAGTGTATCCCTGAATCGAACTCGGTCTACGGCACTACTGGACTGGGCTACCAAGACGCTTCTCATATAAAAGTGACAACTGTGTAGACACTATATTATAACTACAGCATTGTCCGAATCAAGGGTTGTACTTTTGATGGTTATTGAGAACAAACTGCATGTATAATGTTTGGCCTACACCGAGGACAGAATGCATTGAGTAAAATGTTTAGATCCGTAAAAAGCGACAAAACCATTTCCATACTCATAAGAAATATGTGCTAAAAGTAGAGTCCGATTTCCGATTCCGACTATATCATGAGCATGGCTTTATCATCGACTGTCATCTGTGATGATACAAGGTTTTCGCGAAAAGGTGAGCATATCCTGCCCCACCGCCACAAATACACAAAAACATGTTCCTTTTTCACCCTCATAAACACGGGAACATATTATTTTACAAGTCAAAACAGGGAATTGCATCAGACATCACTAATGTAATGTTTTCATTACTTTCATCAAACATAGACCATAAGGGAATAGTTGTGAAACATTCACTCAGAACATATGTATTAACAGCTGACAAGATGAGAAATAAACAGTGCCATTATAATGAGGAATTTCTTCTGAGAAAGCCCCTGTTTACAGAAAAAGATTGACAAATGCTTCTCATTGTAAAGTATCTGTCCCGAGATATGACAAAGAAATAATTGAGCGTCTGTTTATGTTACAAAACAGGTTAAAAATAGTTAAGCTCCCAGACATTAAATAGAAAATGTTGATCTCAATGTCGATGACACACATTGGCCGCTGTCGATGTCATTTTTCAGCTCAATACCAATAAGAGTGGGTGAGTGAGTTTGGTTTAACGCCGGTTTTAACAGTATTCCAGTTATATCGCGGCGTGTCAGCTTAATGTGGGAGGAAAGCCCGAAGGGATGCAGGTCTCAGACGTTTACCACTTGGGTGAAACCCACGAGCACGGGTATGGTGCTGACATACCTAGAAACATAATTGGGGTGAACCGGGATTCGAGCCCACAATCATAGGTTTCTGGCGTGCCCAAAGGACGCAACCCTCCACGGCGAATCGCGGCGCCTTAGACGACTGGGTCACCCGTGCCCCCCAATACCAATAAGATGCAACACGGATCCTGATACCCCTGTTGTCACAGAGGTATGACTTTCATGTGTAGTGAAAGTTGGCATGGGCATTATGGAGATGATTCGTCTGTGATTGACACTTCTTTGAAAGGCATTTATAAGGTGGAGTACTAAGTATGGATAAGAATTTATGGATGAACAACTCCTCTAAAACAATATAATTTACTGTATCGCTAATTTTTTTTTTCTTTTGAGGCAAATATTTTTGTGTGTAATGGTTGTGTCAATAATAAGCAAGGATAAGAATTAATAGATTAATAACTTCTTTATTACAATTAAGAGTGACGTGTCGGTGTAGGTTCAAGATCCAGTAAATTATCTTGTTTTAGAGGCAAAGTAAAAATAATACTTATGGACGGACAACTTCTTTATTACAAATAGGAGCGACGTTACGATGTAGGTTCTAACGCTGTTATCAAGCAAGTGATGTACAGAGTGTGGTTGACAAGCTTATATACAGGTATGGGGCAGTGTTTATACGGTGTCCTCCCAAATGGCCTACTTCCCATTTGGCCTACGCTTTTAGAGGATTTAATTACGGTAAGTAATCGCTTGGTTGATCACTCACTAATTACCCGTCTCCCCCAGAGTGATGTATTGTTTTACGCCGCTTTTAACAATATTCCAGCAATATCCTGCGGGAGACACCAGAAATGGGCTTCACACATTGTACCCATATCGGGAATCGAACCCGGGTGACGAGCGAACGCTTTAACCACTAGGCTACCCGACCGCCCCTTGGGGACTTTGATGAGTTGATGGTACGCAGGGGGAATGTAATAGCCTTGATCACGGTTGATTGGTGGTTGGAGTCTTTTATTGTTGATGGCTTCTTGTAGTTTTCTGATTTTAAAGTCTTTGACTTAGGTATTTATAAATAATTATTGTATGTCATACAAAGTTACATATCCATATATATATATCTTACACAAATAAAATGAAATAAAAATATAGACTACTCAAAAGAAGTTAAGGATCACCTGATTCTTTCATATAACAAAAGTTAATCTCTCATGTCATGACAGATTAACATTACCAATATGAAAGAATCGGGTGATGCTTAACTTCTTTTAAGTAGTATATTTTGATGTTTTTGAAGAACATATGTTGACCTTAGGTTGTACGTCCTATAAACGTTTTCACTGGATATGCTAGATGTCTTTGAAAACATGAAATAGTTTGGTTTCTCCTTTCAGAGAAGTGACACATTCTGTCTCAGACAAAACTAAATGTTGTCCGAATATTGCACGGTCTGCCCCTTCACATCACATCACATGGAGCAGTCAACAAGAAGTATTTGTTACATCACACAATATGAATTAGTGATGCAGAGCATGAAAGTCTAGTCGCATCTAGACATCCGAATAACTATTAAGTTGAAATTGTTTGGAACACAGGGAAACTATAGAAACAGGTCCTTCATTTTGAACTACACTAAAATCTTTAGGAGGTTAATAACACTGCATCTTCATATCAGAGACCGTTTAAATCTGTTGAACCTGAACCTGCATTAGTTAAATTACCCAAACAGTGTACAAGGTATCTAATAATTTGATGTGTACACAAAATGCACAACAGTTTGGTATTTCTGCGATACTCATGTTAAAACTTCAGCCTAGTTTTCTCAATGTGAAAGTAGAATATAATTGATCTGATCTTTGTAAGAGAAATAATTAAATGTGTATATGCTTGGCTTTGGATACACAGCCCACCTCAGTTGAATGTTTGTCAGGGAAGCGCAAACATTAAAAATATTAATTCCTACATTGCAAAAGTCACCAGTTCAGCAGTTGCCTGATGTATATACAAAGTCTTATCAATAAAAAAGACTATTTTCTGGAAACGAATCCTACCTACATTTGAACATTTGAACAAAGTACAATTAATTTGCCTTCGAAGTGCAAAATATATTAGTTAAAAATGGATCGAAAAGCAAACGGCACCTGAACATCACTCTTATGTTTCACATAAATCCGCCGCGTTGCCTTGGAAACGATAAAAACTTCCAAAACTTAAAACAAATAAAATAATAATTCTGAATAGCAAAAGGCACTTTTAACACTTGACTGGTGTGTATATAAAATTTTTCATTATGCTCCTGAAGCGAGTCATGCTTTTTATAAAGGCACCGTTCATCTTATATTAATCGTAGTTAACCAACGCAACGAAGAGACATGGTGTCATTTGATACAATATTGAAAACGAATGTTGATACGCCTCAATAAGCGCCGGGTCAAAGGATCTTCCAAAATAATAACAAGCACGACGCTTATTCGGGGAATTATTGTGAGTTCCGTATGCTGCCTTGAAAAGTCAAACAAAATATAACAGAAACACCTTCATGCCAGTGCTAGAATCATCTCTGTGACAAAATTTAAAAGTTGTTAAATATCAACAATATGCAATACATTCAAACTGTTAAAAGTAATGTCCAACAAATAAGGCTACGTTACACTTTTAAACAAAAAACGTCACAATAATACATATCAAAATCATTACATTGTCAACCTTGCGTTAGAAAAATATATACTAGTAGTCACTGAAGCGTACTTACATGTCCTTGCAAGACATTGTACGGCAACAAATGTCACGCTCTCATTATTGTGAAATGTGTCATATAAATGTTGGAATTGTAAGTGTCTGTAATAATATAAATGGCATTTTTCGCAAATAAACTGCATGTATACATTGTTTGTTATATCAGAAACCTTCAACTACTTGACAGTGCATGGATTTCCCATTCAATTACCATACGTCCCACCGTCCAAACTTATGGCAGCAAAATACTTCAGGCGGCTAGAGAATAAGAGCAATAACGGCAATCAATAATCCGTTCAACAGCTGACTTGTAGCTCCATTGGTAGACTCTGGAACAATGACACATGTAAGGCATATGAAAAAGACATCAATGTGATACATATGTTCATGTATATTATATTATGAAATAAGGCATCGATATGATCCATATGTTAATCAAAACATATGAAGCATGCATCGGTATGATATATATGTACACATATTTAAGGCATCAATATGATCTACATGCACATGTATATGTAAGAAAACATCAATATGATCTACATGCACATGCATATGTAAGAGGACATCAATATGATCTACACGCATATGCATATGTAAGAAAACATCAATATGATCTACATGCACATGCATATGTAAGAAAACATCAATATGATCTACATGCACATGCATATGTAAGAAAACATCCATATGATCTACATGCACATGTATATGTAAGAAAACATCAATATGATCTACATGCACATGTATATGTAAGAAAACATCAATATGATCTACATGCACATGTATATGTAAGAAGACATCAATATGATCTACATGCACATGTATATGTAAGAAAACATCAATATGATCTACATGCACATGTATATGTAAGAAAACATCAATATGATCTACATGCACATGTATATGTCAGGAAACATCAATATGATCTACATGCACATGTATATGTAAGAAAACATCAATATGATCTACATGCACATGCATACGTAAGAAGACATCAATATGATCTACATGCACATGTATATGTAAGAAAACATCAATATGATCTACATGTACATGCATATGATAAAGGTATCGATGTGATATACATGTACAGTTATATGTAAAAATGCATCGACATAAAAAGGCCTGTCTTCACGTTCTTCAAACCTTTAAATGCGGATCAAAAACTTAACTTGACTTGAATTTGAATGTCAAAGGCATTTTGTCATTTCTTTTAAAGGTATGTTCAGTGGCTTCAAACGTCCTCTTGAACATATTGACTTGAAGTGTCAGAGATTTTATACAATTAAAAAACCAAGACCTTAATAGCATATCGTGTTACATCCATATATCCCTATCCCGCATTTTTATCGCTAACAACTGTGTAGATTTCAGTGGGTTTTTTTCAAGGGTGCAAATTGTTATTCATGCCATTGTTTGTTCCAATATAGATAACAACACCTTACAACAACTACACATACCACACATACATATTATATATATCTGGTTGTACAACATGCCAGGGAACATGCCACCACCTATTATTCAGCCAATGGTCACTGAAGTGTACGTAGGTGTTCTTGCTTGCAAGACGATCAGCTGTCTCCCTCTTTATATTGTGGGGAAATGTCTCATACAAATGTTTGAATTCTGAGCGTCTTTAAACATATAACTGATATGTTTCAAAACAGCCTTAATAAATACCACGTATTTTACGTTAAACAAAAACAATAAGAATTTTGAAGACAGACTTCTTCATATACGTACCTGTAGTTGTTCTTGTAGCTGAAGTTGTGCGGGAACTACTATCTCCTACAGTGTACATGATCTTGAAGCCACGCCCTCTAGTGTTACCATCACTGTGGATAGCGATCTCGACCTCTAGACCAGAACTGACATAAGTGTTCTTATCGGTGCCACAGAAACGCCCAAGTTCTTTAGAACCGTCTGCAACTGTGAACAGTTAAACATGCAAAAAGAGTGAGTGCCTATGGTTTTACGCCGCTTCAAGCAACATTCAAGCAACATCACATATGGGACACCAGGAATGGACTTTACATAGTTTACTCATGTGGGGAATCGAACCCCGAGCCTTCTGCGTAACGAGCGAACACGTTATCCTCAAGGCTATCCCCAACAAAGAACAATGTGAATAGTATATGTATATAGGTTTAGTGAATAGTCAAATATCATATTTTGTAATGCACGTAATTCTTTGTGGAAAAGAATTTAATTAATAAGAGTTATTTTGAAGCAGTGTTGACACGAGCATGCTGCGTGAATGTATGTCCTTTTCTTCTTGTATACATTAAACGTCCTCTAGATCTCATCCTGGTGAGGTGAGGTGAGGTGAGGTGAAATTGGGTTTAACGTCTCGTCCAAGATTATTGCACTTATATAGCGACGTGCATTCACGTGTGTGTGTGTTTGTGTGTGGCTGCTTGTACTAATCCAGACTGATGCGGATTTATAGTGCTAGCCCACTGAGATACCATGCCGCAGTTTAACATGAATACCAAGCCAACAGGTCCTTGTGTCAGCCCCTTAATGCCGAGCGCCAGACAGTACCATCTTTCAACGTCTTTTGGTATGACGCGGCAGGGGATCGAACCCCGGACCTTCCGCTCTCCGGGCGGACACTCTACCTCTAGACCACGGAGGCGGTCTATCTCATCCTGGAAATACCGATATTTTTAAACATTACATGAACCATCATACATTGCTGTACCTTCGTTGTTAAGTCCCTCAATGACATTACCACCTACCGTCAATGACCTGTGCGTAGTCGTTTTTGCAGCGTGGCGAGCTTTCAATGTCCGCATCCTCCACAGTTACTGTTATCCGTGTTCCATATACACCTCGTATTGTCCACGAACAGTCTAAGTTACTGGCAAAGAAATTATTCACATGCCTCAAATGTTGAACATAATTATTGCATAACTAATTCTTATCCGGGGTACAACTCTCCAACTACCATTTTTGTCGTAAAAGGAGACTATATTGTTGTCAGGGCAACTAACGGAATCGGGTTGTCAGGCTCGCTGACTTGGTTGATGCATGTCGCCGTATTCTAATTGCGTGGATCGATGCTCATGGTTTCAATCACTGGATTGTCTGGTCCAGACAGTAATTTACAGATCGCCGTCATATAGCTGGAATATTGCTGAGTGCGGCGTTAAACAACAAACAAACAAACACACATTAACTTGTTGTCTATGAAGTGTTCCTAGTCACTAGAGTTTTGCTGCCGATTTCGAGAATACCTGCTTTCGGCAGATTTTTGTGGTTAGATTTTGTCGCTTTTATTTAAACTAATATAACACATGCATGAAATTATTGAATGATTTCGATTACAATTGAATGCAGCTATCATCTAACGCCCGCAAGATAAGAAACGCAGATTACGCTCCCTGCTATACATACAGTCAATCCGACAAGACGGCTTCCTTACACTAATGATGGTACAATTCAACACTAATGATGGGAACCGATTAAATCAGCGCTATTTAGACACATTAATCCGAGAGTTTCACACGAATTTGCAACGAATTACCGAAATCACTCATTAATCAGTCTTTAAATTCTTATCCTTACTTAGTTCTCCTACTTCTAAATGCCTATCAAAGAAGTCAGTCTCGTTAATCCGACACAGTGAACAGCATACTCCGTGGTCATATGCCCGCGCGTACACACTCTGTGTTTTAATGCGAGAGTTTTGTTTTTGTTTGCTGTTTATTGCCGCACCCAGCAATATTCCAGCTATATGACGGCATTCTGTAAATAATCAGGTCTGGACCAGAGAATCCAGTGATTGACATCATGAGCATCGATCCACGCAATTGGGATATGAAGACATGCACCAACAAAGCCAGCGAGCCTGACCACCCGATACCGTCAGTCGCCTCTTGCAAGAAGCATAGGTTGCAGAAGATCAATTCCATCCCGGATCTTGACGGTCCTATATACCAGAAACAAACAACCTACATGTTTTAGTCTGGATTGTCGGTAAATGGATATATTTAATAACTTCTTATTTGGAATCTTAGCCGCGTCAGTTCGCTGGGCAGAGTTTCGTCAGAAATCAATGATCGCGGATTCGAATCCCAGATTCACCCTAGCTCGTGGATTTCACCAAATGGTCAAACGTCTGAGCCATGCATCGCTTCCGGTTTTCCTCCCACATCAAGCTGACACGCCGTGATATATATCTGGAATACTGTTGAAAGCGGCGTTAAATCCAGCTCACTCACTCACTTACTTGGAGTAGAGTCCCGGGTAGCCTGGCGTTGTCAGGTATTTATGACGGGAGGACGCGGTGACAGTTCCATTGCAAGCGTTGAGTTCAAGTTCTGCACATGATATTAATGAAGATGAAACATTATATCTCCACCAGCCACCATCACTGAAGACGGGGCTGTCTTTTGTGTTTCAAATTCTTTATCCTTCAGTGCGACGCTTCGGTTCAGATGTTTGTATATTTATAAAGCAAGTGATATATTAAGTAAATGACAAGGGATATATACGACCAGTATCTGTACCGAACATCGCACTGAAAGAGGGACTGAGTGCGTCTGGTTTTACGCCGCTTTTAGCAATATTCCAGCAATATCACGGCGGGGGACACCAGAGATGGGCTTCAAACATTGTACCCATGTCGGGAATCGAACCTGGGTCTTCGGCGTGACGAGCGAATGCCTTAACCACTAAGCTACCCGACCACCCCGCCACTTAAAGATGTGAGATGAGGTGAAATGGGGTTTAACGTCGCGTCCAAGATTATTGCACTTATATAGCGACGTGCATGCACGAGTGTGTGTGCGGCTGCTTATACTAGTCCGGACTGATGGCGATTTATAGTGCAAGCAATCATGGGTTGCTGAAGACCTATTCTATCCCTATAAGGATGTAATGACCCAATTACTCAATATGTGTAACCACTGCGACAAATGCAACATCACTGAATAAGTGTACACAAATACATTTGCAATCATTGTTCACCTGTTAATGAGAAGTATTCCAGCTGGAATCCTTCATCGACATATCTGCTGTCAGAAGAGAACTTGAGTGTTATGGAAGGACCTGTACTGTCAATCGTTTCTCCTGCCCCGGTACATTTAGTCTTCAGTAAAGGGTCATTCACAGTACTACCTGGTGTCAATAAATTATAGCCACATTAATTGCCATGTTTGAATGTTTATAAGCATTGTTTTTAACAAAGTTCTTCGGAAAGAGAAAATTTATATTCATATATCAGGGTTTAGTTATTAAGTAATATCTTATTATTGATGAAAATATTGTATGGGATTTCATAGTTGGTTGGTTGGTTAGTTTGTTGTTTAACGCCACACTCGGCAATATTCCAGCTATATAACGGTGGTCTCAGTTATAATCGAATCTTGACCAGACAATCCAGGGATTGAAATCATGAGCATCGATCCACGCAATTGGGATCGATGGCATGCATCAACCAAGTCAGCATGCCTGACCACCCGATCTCGTTAGTCGCTTTTACGACAAGCATACTCACCTTTTACGACAAGCATGGGTTGCTGAAGACCTATTCTACCCCGTAATCTTCACGGTATTAAGCTTTCATCCCATATAAAGCTGACACGCCGTGATATGACTGGAATATTGTAAAAAGGCGTCAATACTCAACTCACTCACACACTTTTTCAACATACCATCATAGAAAGCAAGGTAGTCTTTGGCACAACCGAGGCTGGTCTGCATACGGAACTGCAAAGTTTTAATTCGGACTAACCGAGTGGTGTTGGTAGCTGTGATGATCCAGATGTTTGTTTCGTCACTTGAATAAACATAAAGACCGCATAATGATACATGAAAAATGTGTGAGTGCGTCGCAAACAGATGTTCGTACAAGATCTTTGACAAAAGTAACGTACCAAACTTATCCATGCTTATCAGGAAGGTTTTAGTGCTGCTTATTAAATAATCAGTGTTAGCCGAGTGTGTTTTCAGTGCGAAAATATCATGAAAAGGAGTAGTGAGTGAGTGAGTGAGTTTGGTTTTACACCGCTTTTAGCAATATTCAAGCCATATCACGGCGGGGGACGCCAGAAATGGGCTTCACACATTGTACCCATGTCGGGAATCGAACCCGGGTCTTCGGCGTGACGAGCGAACGCTTTAACCACTAGGCTACCCGACAGCCCCCGTATAAGCAGTAAAAAAGTGAGCCTTCGTTTACGACACCGAGACTAATTATCTTTGTATCATATCATATTTATAATGTCACTCTTAAAGGTTTAAGACAATATTTAACATATGTTACTTTAGAATCGAATAGGAATAACATGCTTGGAGCATCGATCCACGCAATTGGGACACGATGACATGCATCAACCAAGTCAGAAAACCTGACCACCCGATCCCGTTAGTCGCCTCTTTCGACAAGCAGAGTCACCTCTTAGGGTCAGCATGGGTTGCTAAAGACCTATTCTACCCCGGATGTTCACGGGTCTATCTGATTATGACACAAAGATCAACGAGTTTGTTCATCGCATCGTTAAGGCTATCCGTTATATCATAAGATAAAATACTGTCGCACGTTGATTTAGACTTCATGTCGTTTAACGATTGTCCTTCACCAGAAACATAAACAATGATATTCAGAATTTTAATCCCGAAAATGACCGCTTCCGTGGTCTGGTCGATAGACCGTCTGCCGGAGAGCGGAAAGTCGGTGGTTCGATCCCCGGCCGCGTCACCCGTTAAAAACATTTGTTATCCTGCCTGTCGCTCGGCATTTAGGTGACTGGTCGGCTCGGAGTCAGTAGACAGTGTTTGAGTGTGGTACCCATATTAAAATGCGGCATGATATCTCAGTTGGTTACCACTATAAAACCGGCATGATCCGGTCTTGTACATGCAGCAACACATACAAGTGTATGCACGTCGCCTTATACATGCAATTATCTTGAACGCAACGTTAAATCCCATTTCTCCACACCTCACTTCATCCCAAATGGCCCGTGAACATACGGGATAGAATAGGTAAAAGGAGACTATGCTTGTAGTAAGAGGCGAGTAACGGGATCGGGCGGTCAGGCTCGCTGACTTGGTTGATGCATGTCATCGTATCCCAATTGCGTGGATCGATGTTCATGATGTCATTCACTGGATTGTCTGGTCCAGACTCGATTACTTACAGACCGCCGTCATATCGCTTGAATATTGCTGAGTGCGGCGTTAAACAACAAACAAACAAACAAACAAACATTCCACATATACCGCTGAATGCTATCTTGGTATCGATATTTCCGGATGTTAAAGACAGTGCAGTCGTACTTAGTGTATGAGTCTGGGAATCCAGGTGATGTTAAGTTCTTGCGGTTGCTGTCTGCTGTTAGTGATGTTACTGTAGGTGGGCGCATTGTGATGACAGCGTTTCCTGAAACAGCCCCAGTAGCTTGCATGATACACAGCCTAGCAGACACACAACTGTATTGTAATAATAGACTCCGCTTTCGGCAGAGATTATGGAAATAGTTTTATAAATGCGTCGCAAAAAATTTGTAGCTTGCATGATACACAGCCCAGCAGACACACAACATGCATTAAAATAATGGACTCTGCTTTCGGCAAAGATTATGGAAATAGTTTCAATTTGCAGAAATTTCAGTTCTAATAACTCGGAAAATAAAATAATTATGTGCCGCTTGTTTTACGTATTACTACTTCTGTACATTTTTCGAATTCCAGTTACAAATACAAACTAAGCATTTTACAAATAACACCGCACTTTCAAAAGAAATATATGATAGTCTCAGACTGTTTAACTGTTTGTTGGGGCGGTCGGGTAGCCAAGTGGTTAAAGCGTTCGCTCGTCACGCCGAAGACCCGGGTTCGATTCCCGACATGGGTAAATGTGTGACGCCCATTTCTGGTGTTCCCCGCCGTGATATTGCTGGAACATTGCTAAAAGCGGCGTAAAACCATACTCACTCACTCACTTTAACTGTTTGTTAACATTACCTGCCACTTGGTAGAAGGCCAGCCGAAAACCTTTATCAACGCTCCTGTCGTCCGTTTGAAATGTGACTGTTAGAGACGACCCCGTACTCTGTAGTGTGGGAGTCATCGAGTCGCAAATGTACTTCAGCAATGGACTGCTGGCCGTTGGCCCTGTTGAGAAAGTGGAATTTATTTTATAATGACTTTGTGTGTTGCCTTTCGCTGTTGTAAATAGATGGCTACAGTTTGAATGCAAGACCAACGATAATGATTTACATCGAACGTTACTGACTGTGTTCGCGTTTTCGTTTGTTTGTTGTTTAACGCCACACTCAGCAATATTCCGGCTATATGATGTCGGTCTGTAAATAATCGTATTTTAACCAGACAATCCAGTGATAGACATCATAAGCATCGATCTACCCAGTTTGGATATGATGATATGCTGTTTATGCATCAACCAAGTCAGCGAGCCTGACCACCCGATCCCGTTAGTCGCCTCTCACAAGCATAGTCGCCTCTTTTGACAAGCATGTGTTGCTGGAGACCAATTCTAACCCGGATCTTCAATTCGGTAATACTATCATGATACATCAACATGTAAAATAGTCACTTCAAATATGGAACACAATATAGGTCCTCCAATTCAAGGAGCATTTTTATACATTTAAGTAGCAGACATATACAAGAATAAATATATCACTGTACAAATTCATCAACGTTATATTCAAAGAATCAATCCCAAAGATGATGTTGTTCCTACCATCATACACGCTGATATAATCTTTAACACAGGGTCCATCTCCAGTCATTTCCATGTCGGAAGTTAAGACCTCAATTCGGACTAGTGATGTCGCTGATTCAGCAGTAATAGTCCATATATAATATTTGTTACTGAAACAAACAAAAAGAATTCATATATAAATGATAAATGTTAAGATTTTGATGAAACAAACTTGTTATAATGGAGCTGCAATAGATATAACCAAACACGTGCCCGGCACTACAGCTAACATGGATATGTAGTCAACGGTTGAAATGTAAAGTTTTAACGAAGACAGACAATTAACAAAGGTTGCCATCAGCATTGGTATTTAAATAGTTTCTGCATAAATACTGAAGTCATAAGTATTTACAAATGCGAAACTAGTAATAAAGACCCCACAATGTTTCTAAATCTGCATGGACAATTCTATAACAATTACAATTAATTATATAAAACAGTTATCGTATACTTAGACAAAGTTTCAACTCGGAGCCTCATATAATTTTAAGAAGAATACGTTTTCTGATGCCATACAAAGTTTCCAATTGTTACACAAAAGTTCACCAAAATCCTAATGTTTTGAACAAATTATGACATCATCAAATGGAAAAACATACATGCCAGTTCAGCTACATCAGTATTTCAGAGAATTCAAACATACATTTTTGTGAGAGCTTAAGACTAGTACATTACATTTTGAGCTGAACTTGCAAAGCAATAGATGCAATATAGCTGCACGTGGCAGAATCGGGTGTCCGCATTGACAAATTGAGAAATTGAGAAATTTCAGCTTCATTTCTCCAATGGTTTCTAAGAAGATGATGTTTACAGAGCATAAGGAGTATTTTGAGAGAATTATGAGCATGGCAAAGACGCAAAGGCCAAATTTTTGTCAATATTTACATTTAAATATCGCAAAGTACGAAACGTGTTTTCTAAGAGCTAATAATACAACAAATTTGATACACTTTTGAAATGATTTTTCAATATGGATGATGATCCTCTTAAGCAAAATTGGTAGAAACAAGTACACAAACTTTCAGCTTCACTGGTCCATCGGTTTCCGGGGAAACACAGTATTTCATTCTGACAGAGTAGTTGCATGGTCAAAATGCAAAGGTCAGATCAAGGCCAAATATAGCGAACTATCGCTATTCGCTGTGCCACACTACTAACTACAAATAACGACATTTCAGTACATTTTGAACACAAATGACTGAGTAATGGCCCTCAAAAGTTATTTTGAATATGGCATCCATGGCGGCCATATAGAAAATCCCATTCGAACTAAAACAAATGGGGGTGTCATCATTGGTGTTAACAAGCAATTGGAGTTGTATTTTACATTATCTGAAGTTTTTGAAATTCCACAATTTAATTAGGAGTTAACCGTACTTGTAATACTGGGTAGGGTAGCCGGGAGACGTGAGGTACTTCCGAGTCGACGTTGCTGTAAGTGCAGTAGCCGTTGGAGCCTGTGTAGTGAAGTAGGAATCTGTAGATGAACAGTAACACACTGATGGTATGTGACAGAATAGTGCACTAGAAAATAACATAAAGCAACCAATTACAAACAGTTTAACAATTAGATCATAAAATAATTCAACAAGCTTGTTGAGTTTTCGCGTGTAGTTGAATGTGTGAACACCGGACCGTTTGGGAGTCATCGAGTCGCAAATGTACTTCAGCAATGGACTGCTGGCTGTTGGCCCTGTTGATAAAGTGGAATTCATTTGTGGACATTGCCTGGATTTCGTTACTTAGTAATGTTTTACAAGAACGAAAAGACATTATTTTCAGAACACCCCAGAAAAAATGTTCCCAAAGAAACATTACAAGTTAAAATGAGGCTCTTGAAAAAACTAGAACGAGAATCATAAAAAAATTAAAATGAACATAGAACTTCGTGAATTTTAGGTGACATCCTTTGTGACACATATGGATGAAGCATCCCATCTGATGCTGATGGTTCGTGTTTCTTACCGTCATGGTCTACGATCATGTACTTCAGTCGAAACCCAGACCCAGAACCAACAGCATTTGTTTTGAAGACAACTTTCATGGCGGAGCCACGCGTTATCAAGGTGCTATTATTGACGCCACATAATGGTCCTAACGGTTCATTGGCATTATCAGCTGCAAAAAGGAATGAATAAATGAAGTTCACGCTACTTCGTGCAGTATTGCTGTTATATAACGGTGTGACAGATTAATATGAAAATCCCAAAGTGATGCATATATTAAACATATACCAGTTTGATGATTGTGACGATCCAGAGAACGGATATCACAATCGGAGTAATTCAGGGATTCGAACCCACGATCATCGGATCCTCGAAGACTAAATAAGGCAACACTGAACAGATAATCATTGCGCCCTCAACCACCGCACCACTCAGGTCATCCCCTTCCTCTAATAATTACATAATATATGCTCTAAAACCCGTGTCACGGAGACGTGCTCCAGAGACAAGGATGTTATTAAACAAAAATAAAGTAGTAATAAAAACGTGGTAATAGGTTCACAGGTTTATTATTACCAGCAAGTTATAGAGTTGAGTTGAGTTGAGTTGTGTTTAACGCCGCTTTTAACAGTATTACATATCACGGCGTGTCAGCTTAATGTGGGAGGAAAGCCCGAAGTGTTGCAGGTCTCAGACGTTTACCACTTCGGTGAAACCCACGAGCACGGGTATGGTGCTGACAAACCTAGAAACATAATCGGGGCGAACCGGGATTCGAGATGGCCATAGGTGGCACTATATAGGGATAAAAAACCGACACTGCCAACGATCACTGATTAATTGAACTAGAACAAATATACAAGCTGATTAGCTAAGCAACTGTGTAACAGTAACACAAAAAGTGTAGCTAAATCAACACTTTGACAAGATAATTGACAAGATTCCCAGACAGCTAAACAAGTCGGCTGCGAACAATCAATACCTGAGAGTTGACTCTAATGAGCGAATAACCTCGGCTGGGTTAAATAGGGGGAATATTAAGTCTCTTGGGCAATATAATTGACGAAAACGCCCGAATATAAAACTAGTCATATAGACTATTAAAGTCACTGTAAAGACCGAGCAAGGAAATTCTTAACTTTCCAAACATTTTGTTTGTTTGTTGTTTAACGCCGCACTCAGCAATATTCCAGCTACATGACTGCAGTCTGTAAAATAATCGAGTCTGGACCAGACAATCCAGTGATTGACATCATGAGCATCGATCCACGCAATTGGGATCGATGACATGTATCAACCAAGTCTGCGAGCCTGACCACCCGATACCGTTAGTCGCCTCTTACAAGCATAGTCGCCTTTTACGGCAAGCATGGGTTGCTGAAGACCTATTCTACCCCGGAATCTTCACGGGTCCTTTCCAAACATACAAGGTGCTTGATCTACAGGGTATCTAGACTCACCATCATTCAATAGGTACTTTAACCAAAAGAGTAACTTGACTCCCAACCGTAAATAGGTACTTGACCTAAACTAGGCAATCGCGGTAAAGTTGGTTATCCACAGATTACTAGAAAAACGGAGTATGAAAAACCCTAGCTTATACGCTTAGCTCAATACAACTGGAGTAAGTCAGTACTAGATTAAAACAGCCTCGTAATTACTACGAATGATCACCAAGTAGCAGGACGACCCGTAAACGATCTAGCGATTCCTGCCGGTGAAGACACATGATTTCGCCAAGGGTAATATACGTGTGCGCGGACCTCGGAGAGAACAACCCTTCCTGGTCAGCCGTGGGAATGCAACATCCCGGTGACGTAACCAAAGCGTGTTTCCTAACATAGGGAAAACACGAATAGCAAACTAACTACAAAACCAATACGGAAGGCGTAAGAACAAATATAAACCGCTGAACATAATCTATCCAACGGTACAACTAACTATCGAGATGGCAATATTGACCATAAATACATGAGAAATATCTACATAAGAATAAGTTTGCATACATATACGAGATAACATATATAAAATACATACAGTGTACATGATAAAAGTATGCGATTTAACCGCTAGAGAATAACATTTCCGGGTCACTAATTCTCTTATAGGAAAGTCAACGGAGTACGGCGACCGCCGGACTTTGCCGAATGGTGCCGGAAGCCGGACTGTAAGAGAAAGGGAAGCGGTGCGGACTCTAGACAGTGACTAGACTGGTTAAACAACCCGGTGACACCCGTAAACCAGGAGGATGTAAAATTAATTCATGGATGTAGTGACATTCAAATAGAGCTTAGATAACTGTTAATATTTCCTAGTATTGAGATATCTTTCTACATGTATGTCGTTTGTGGTTCGCGTTTGGAAAAGAAGTCTATCCAATGAAAACGCGCAACATTGATCTATCCTAATCTTGTTACCTTCATAAACCGTTTCAATAATCTTACATTTCAGAAAAAACACCATGAGAATTAAAAATATTTTAACTTACTGTCGTACAGTTGGACAAAATCGTTCGCACAGTCAGTGTTTTCGTCGAAGGCGTTATAAATTATATTCATGGCAATATGGCGCGGCGCATCTGTTTCCAGGACCCAGGCACAATTCAAGTTACTGCAAAAGTCAAAACAGTTTAATTTAATTAACAACAATTGCAACAAATATAATCTATTAAGGTTGTAATTCAGATTACATGTTGGCAAACGCGTTTCTATAAGTATGTTGGTATAATTGATAAACAAAGTAATATATCAAGGGCGCAATAGCAGCATAGATGCACCCGTCTTTAACTGTCTACATGACGAGTAATGCAGCGTAATTAAAAGGTCATATTAAAAGGCATAATGTCAGCATTAACAGAGACGGTGCAACGTTCATGTCTCATTTCTGATAAGAAACAAACTTTATCCACAATTTCAGTCAAACTGATGAAGATAATTTCCTTTCCTGGAAGTGCGTTGGCAATATTTCAGCCATAATGTGACTTGAACAAGTCATACAATATTTATAAAAACTGTCGACGAAGGACAGTATAATAACTAGCAATATATCACAGAGACTTAAAACTAGTTGTAGAACATTAAAAAATATCTGATTATTGGGGTACGACACGATATAATAATGAGGCTATAGATCGCCAGCAACAAGGTTAAAATCACCATACCAGGGACCGAGGGGACTAACGGCACTTCTGCTACCTGCATGGTTCCCAAGCAGGATTTACACCTTTCCCAAGTTACTGGCGATTGTTGCACGTTTAGCCAGAGGTTAAAACAAATAAATATTCTACGACTAAAACACTGGTAGATATAAATATACTTTGAAAGAGGTGGTCTAACATACCCTCTCAGAGGGACAATAGTTTTACACTTCAACCCCCGTCGAAGGCATAGCCACGCTTTAGAAAGAATACGTTATTACATGTAAGGTTTGATCAATATCCCGAATTGCTATGGTAGAGAATATGTTCAGGGTATTTTTAAATATATGATATTGGTATAAAAATGCCATCGATAGTCTCGGATGACGTCAACATTACCCCAGTACTGGTCATGGTTGTCGTGGTTACTTCGTAAACAATTAACATGCCTATAACGTAGATTTTTAATATTCGGGGATATTAGGCTTAAGTCATATATTGGATAAGTCTGGAATCATCTCATACGTTAAGATAATAGATTACCTGTAGTAGTTGCTGACCGCCACCGTGGTCTAGTGGTAGAGCGTCCGCCCGGAGAGCGGAAAGTTAATGGTTCGATCCCCGACCGCGTCATACCAAAAGACGTTAAAAGATGGTATTTGTTATTACCCTGTCTGGCGCTCGGCATTAAGGGGCTAAAACAAGGACTGGTCGGCTCGGCTCGGAGTCAGTATACTGTATCTGAGTGGGGTATTCATGTTAAACTGCGGCATGGTATCTCAGTGTGCTAGCACTATAAATCGGCATCAGTCCGGACTAGTACAAGCAGCCACACACACACAGACACACATGTGCATGCACGTCGCTATATAAGTGCAATAATCTTGAACGCGACGTTAAACCCCATTTCACCTCACCTGTAGTAGTTGCTGGGGTAGCCAGGAGACAGGATGTACGTTGCATAGTCATCTCTTTGTTTCACCGTCGAGTCGCACATACGATCTGGGTGGAGAAAAAAATATGTTATTGAAAGATGTTTATATCGATGATTTGATATCGTTCAATAATCACCAAATAGCCAATTCACTTCCACTGATTAACCCACCTGAACTTAAAAGGACATAAAGGAGTCCAGTGAGACCACATCCGTTATATAGTTATTTCTATTCCTAAAGATTCAGAGTAACACACTACTCTCAAGACTATATGACAAGAGAGATGATTTCAACTTTCCCTTAATGTCGAGCAATATTCCTGCAGCTCCAGCCCTTGGTGTCAACATTTCACAACTCTTGAAGTACAACCGAGCATGCTCTTTCTACAACGATTTCAAAGTGCGTCATACGACTCTTGCCCAGAAGCTGTTTGATCAAGGTTACAATATTCAAGGCCTCAGAAATGCTTTCCCAAAGTTTTATGGTAGACATGTGGAGGACATTTCCGAATTTGACGCATCAGTGACAAGAATGATGTCCGATGTAATTCCCTATTTTGACATGTCTTCCCGTGTTTCTTCAGATGAACAATTGACTTGCCTTTGCATGTGTTTGTGCCACGGGTGCCACCGGAATATAAACCATGTTTATATTCAAAAGCAAATTTTAAACAATTCCCTGTATCATGTAGACTGAACATGTACATACAAAATGAATCATTTTACTACCATACCAAGAGAAAGTACCATCATTGACATATGGGCTTTCCTTATCCTTCTTATTCGACTGCTTGTAAAAATATGATATCCCACCCCACATCTGGTTAAAATAATATTATATTTTCTGCTTAATATTTGAAGAGAGTGAGTGAGTAAGATGGCTTGAACGATATATGAATAAAGTCTCTATTTGAAATGGCCACAGCGCTCCAGTTTGACAAAAGCCTGTGTTATTTAACGCCGCACTCAGCGATATTCCAGCTGTATGACGGCGGTCTGTAAATAATCGATCTTGGATCAAACAATCCAATGATTGATACAATGAGCAACGACCACGCGGTCAGGGTACATGAACGTTGACACGCGACCAACCCGATCCATTCAATTGCCTCGCACGACAATCATAGTTTTTTTCTGTTGTTTGTAAGTAGCTGAAAAACCCAATCAATAATAATCACAATATTTGCTCCTAAAACTGACCTAAAATCAGCCAACCTCGCTTCACAACACGGGACAGCACCTAGAGCAAGGCATAACACTGCAGACAAAAATACAAAACATTCTGCATCCTAAAGGAAGCCTGGGCATCACTTGCGTCAAATCACCGGCGCCACGTGATTGGCCGTTAACATTTGTACAAGGCGAGCAAATAGCAAGATTTTCGTCTATTTAATGCATGAAAAACTCGACGCTTTTTCGGACACTTTCTGGACGCTAACCAATTAATTGATTTTAATGAATATTCCGTCGTTTGTCAGTACAATGCCCATATTGAAAGCCCCGACGTTTTCGTGTTTGCAGTGACGCTAAAACTAGACGACCAGTCAGATTGCACTGTGCTGTCAGGATTCACACAAGCAGCGATATCACCAGGACTCGTCTCAAAGTGTGGGTGCCGTCGCAAATGCAGACATAAGGAACATAAGGGCGTTTCTCCCCTGTTTTAGAACTCAGGAACAGATATTTTCCAGCTTAGAAAACATTTCAAACAATAGTTTGATTCATTAAACTACAACGAGGGCTCTTTCGAATGAGGTCGCGACTTTGAATGTAGATCTATGCCAAACTCGCTCCCAGACGAGGTATTTTGGCGGGATCTTAATTTCAAACTAACGAAGGGGGGCACGGGTGGCCCAGTCATCTAAGGCGCCGCGATTCGCTGTGCAAAGTTGCGTCCTTTAGGCACGCCAGAAATCTATTATTGTGGGTTCGAATCCCGGTTCGCCCCGATTATGTTTCTAGGTTTGTCAGCACCATACCCGTGCTCGTGGGTTTTCACCGAAGTAGTAAATGTCTAAGACCTGCATCACTTCGGGCTTTCCTCCCACATTAAGCTGACACGCAGTGATATGAGTGGAATACTGTTAAAAGCGGCGTTAAACACAACTCACTCACTCACTCAAACTAACGAAGGAACGTAATGATGTGCGACATTAGTGATAAGAGAGACGAAGAGATGGGTCTGGGTAGCCTACAATTTGAAGCGTTCACTCGTCCCGGATGCTCTTCCCCGCATGGCTTTAATGTGTGAAGCCCATGCTTGATGTTCGCTAGAGGCGTAAAGTGAGTTAGTGAGTATGCTTTTACGCCGCTTTTAGCAATATTCCAGCAATACCACGGCGGGGGACACCAGAAATGGGCTTCACACATTGTACCCATGTCGGGAATCGAACCCGGGTCTTCGGCGTGACGAGCGAACGCTTTAACCACTAGGCTACCCGACCATCCCCTAAAGGCGTAGAACCCGGCTCACTCGCTCACTATATATTGAGTCGTCAGATAGTTCATTCGAAATCTTCATCGTTGGAAAGAGAGCCTTCCTCCCATACTAACGGACGATATTTCGACAGGTCGTTGTAGAAGCTCTACTCAGAATCATACAGCAATGAATGTCAATAATAATAAACGTAAATATGAGTTTCTTATCGGTCATCTAATCAAGTCTGTTGAGAGGACTTCGAAGTAAACTTCAATATGAGCATGGCCGTTTGAATCGATGACAGTCTATCCACTGTGATGTAGTATGATAATGCACATGTACGGAGAAACCCCCATAACCAGGACCCTGTTAGTACGGAATCCCTGCTATCCGGACGAATACTGTAAGAGGGGACCAACGGGATCGGGAGGTCAGGCTCGCTGACTTGGTTGATGCATGTCATTTTGTCCCAATTGTGTAGATCGATGTTCATGATTTCATTCACTGGATTGTCTGGTCCAGGCTCGATTATTTACTGGCATATTGCTGAGTGCGGCGTTAAACAACAAACTGTTGGGAACGTCTGTAACTTTAGCGATATTATAACGCACCTATGGTTTAACACTTATTTAACGCTCCTTAGGCGCACGCTATGAGATAAGTTAAATCCACTGACATACTTATGCATAAATATACTTACTGTTAACAGTTCTGTAACGAATATTAAAGATGTCAGCTGTAAAAGCTCTCAAGTGCGCTCGTGCACTCATAAGCGCCTTGTTTCCCGAACTCTGGAAAACCGTCGAGCTGGAGCCGCACGCGTGAGCTAACAGCTCCGATTCTGTGAATAAAAGATATGATTATCGCAAAGTTTCACAATATTTACATAACTCCATGTCGGCTTAGAGTGGGAGGAAAGACCAAATGACGCAGGGTAAGGAACCAAATTCTACGCTAATGGCCCTAAGGTCTCCGGTACTTAAACTACATGTAGCTACCTGAAATGAATAATTTAGTTTCGATATAAAGGCTTATCATATGTGTGATATGGACTTCAAGATGTAACACACACAAAATGGAAATTTGTCGGCAGAACGTTGAGGTTTTCTTTCAAAGAAATACATGGTCCAGTTGTATACACTGCAGATACTAAGTACAACATGATCAGAAAACATAAAACAGACTACTATGTTTGGTGCAGTGGAATCAGTCTAAGCCGGTTTGTGTGGGGCCATAATTAATAATAAAGTTTAGTCAGGTCTTGATTCATAAGGCTTTAGCCTTCAACATAAGATTTACCGCTTGATCCCACCTATAAAAAGCCAATGCCTTGAAATGCCAAATAAGGCTCATTCAAACGAGATATGTAATAGATACCATTAAATCCAAGCATATATTCCCATAACGAACTACGGTTACAACGAACTGTAATTGGTGGTCCCTTTATAACCGTAGTTTTCTGAACTTCCAAGTGTCTATAGATCTTTTGGGGCTTTAATCCATTATATACGAAAGCTCTTTACCGAATTAAGCAACTGGAATGTGTGAGATGTTATTCCTGATTTGGGAGCGTCAGAAATCAATTCGGCACGTCAGCCTCTGCCTTGGATAGAGATTAAATTTTGACACATTCATTCATGGAGGGTTTTATCGATGGCACATATACAGCTGGAAAATGGTTAAGCACCACTCCTTTTATATAATATATTGGAAATACATCTACATATACATAAATCTCTATTAAAATAAGATACCACCGGTAACTTATGGACAGAACGCTGTATGGACTTGATCATATTACATTATGCGAAGAAGCAGAGTCGTAATTGAAAAGGTAGTCAAATAATTGTTGCTGTGGTATAGTTACGAAATACGTAATTACTTAAACGATTTCAGTTTACGATTTTAGTATGAAAATACACACATTATATGATTGTTAATATTTTAAAAATGGCAGTTATACATAGGAATACGTCTATAGCAGTGCTAATTATTTTGCAGGTCTATACATGTAGTACCCTTGCGTTGAAAGGTCCCACTGTCATGTGCGACGTTATCGGGTAATATGTTTTTTGACGTTTCAATAATAGGTCAAAATATCTTACCGGTAGCAGTCTGTCCGTTATAGAAGGACAGTCTGTCTGCCCAGCAACCCTTGCTTTCAAGAAGGGAAAACAAGTCCATCTCCATGACGATTGCGACATCACTGTTTTCGGCAGAGATAACCCAGTCACACATAAGATAGCTGGAAATACAATAGTGTACATATTAAATCAAATGCGTGCACACCTTTTCAAATATTTTATTTGTTGAATTACTCAGCATTACTGTTATTGTTATTGTTATGATCGTGCACATCATAGTACATAAATACCAATGTTGTACTCCAACCGGCTGAATGGTGTACTGTCTTCATTGAGGCCATAGTGAGTGACTGGGTCAGGTTTTACGCCGCATTAAACGGTGTTTAAGTTATATCACGGCTTGTCAGCTTGATATGCACATTGGAGGAAAGCCTGAAGTGATGCAGGTTTAAGACGTTTAACTCCTCAGTGAAACCGGCGAGCAGGGTTATGTTGCTGACAAACCTGGGTACATAGTCATGGCAAACTGGGATTCGAACCCACGATCATAGGCTCCTTGCACGCTAAAGGGACGCAACTCCGCGACTCAACTCAGGGACAGAGCGAATCCCTCCGCATACAGTTTTTACAACATGACGGCTGATTTTCAAACTTTTTGAAGGTAAATAGAAATAAGGAATATCATTTCGTAAGGAACAACGTTTAGATAAGGGTCAAAACTTGCAACAGATCATGTTGTGTAGAGCAATAGTCACGTAAACTAGTGAAACTAGATATACATATTCGATTCCTTCCATCGCTGGCCGAAATGTTCTGTGGAATTGAGGAGGGGGAATAGTGTAAACCTGTACATATTGACTGAAGGTACACATATCACCAGTGCACATGGCATGCTTCAATATGTACGTACTTCATAGCACCCGTAGACGAGGGGGACCGCAGCGACGCCTCGGTCGGCGTAGCCGTGAGTGTGCCCCCACATTCAGTTACAACTGGAACAAAACATGTCATGATATAAATGTTAATCACCGTGTCGCCGTAAGAAATATTATTGGTGCATATGTTTCAAAAGTCTAAGTGTGTCTCTGGTTTGTTTGTTTGTTTGTTGTTTAATGCCGCACTTCGTAATATTCCAGCCATATGACGGCGGTCTGTAAATAATCGAATCTGGACCAGACAATCAAGTGAATGACATCATGAACATCGATCTATGCAATTGGGATCGATGACATGCATTAACCAAGTCAGCGAGCCTGACCACCCGACCTCGTTAGTCGCCTCTTACGACAATCATGGTCGCCTGTGTTTCTTGTAATAAAGTGACTAATGCGAGGGGCATCGTTTAGATTACTTCATAAGGAGCTCCAACATTTCGGCCCGAAAATACAACAACAAAAGTAGTTTAAACAGAAAGTAATTTAATAACAATGAGAGTGAGTATGGTTTTACGCCGCTTTTAGCAATATTCCAGCAATATCACGGCGGGGGACACCAGAAATGGGCTTCACACATTGTACCCATGTCGGGAATCGAACCCGGTTCTTCGGCGTGACGAGCGAACGCTTTAACCACTAGGCTACCCGACCGCCCCTAGATAACAATGAACGTAGAACCACCAAGATGCTATTTTTTCCTGGTTAGTAAAGCGATGAGTAAGTTTCTTAATGGCGAACAAAACGAAGTGTGTCTCTTACTTTTTGCACTGTAATATCTGAGTCTAAATCCTTTCTTGTTGATAAGGTTGTTTGTCTTGAATTCCACATACAAAGATGTTCCATTGCTTATAAACTGTTCATTTCCGGTACCGCAGAAGGTTGTAAGAACAGCACTGGAACCACTGCTGCCTAAAAAACCCCAAATAATTGCATTATTTTCCCCACGCTCAAAAATAAAATAACAAACACAGTGGCCTGAACTTGACATTGTATATTTGGGTTAGCATGTGACATAGGAGAAATCTAAATATTATTATAATGTCAAATACTTTACACAAAAGGGGTAATAAAATCATGATACTATATCTAGTTTGACCAGAAATTATTGAGAATGTTTCACACTTTTTTGGCCATCAATAATTACCATATTAAGGGGGGGGGGGGGGGGGAACTTCTTCTGACTTGATTCAAGGGAGACAAATCCGCGTGTTATATTTATAAAGTCTGACAGGGATGTCTCCCTTGGTAAACAAGCCGGCAGATATTAGAATAGCACAGGTCATAACGGAGAGAACAGACATCCCAGTATCATCTGTGTACGCGTTTTAAAAATGATTGAGAGTCTAGATAGAATAAAGCACAAACAGGGAGCAGGTAGGCCAAATATATTCACTGTTGATGACAGAAGGTGACTTGGTATATTCGCGTCTAACAACGCATGATCATAGACAAATTTGATCTGAAATGACATGCTTAATAGAGGAACAGTTTATGTTTCTAAAGAAATAATAAGAACGCATTTGCATGCAATGGATTTGCAGAAATCACGAGAAATTCCATCATCACTGCAAAAACCTGAAAAGCAAGAACGACGTTTGAACTGGTGTTTGAAGCATATAAATTTCAATTGGGACAATGTAATGTTCTCAGATGAAAGTTCAGTGTAGCTATAATCAAACTGCATAGAAATATGGACCAAAGGTGCAGAAAGACCAATGTACCAGCGTCCAAAGTACAGTCCTAAATTTCATGTGTTCTGTGTTCGGTGCCACGCCGTTATGCGTATTTGAAGGTAACATGACAAGCACAGTGTACACTGATATTCTACTGGGACACCTCCTTCCATCAGTCCAAGTTGTGTATGGTGACAGGTGAGTATTCCATAAACGCAATGATCCAAAACATAGAGCGAAGCATTCTCAGGAATGGATTAAAGAGCAAGATGTTCCACTCCTTGAATAGTTCGGAGTGAGTGAGTGAGTTAATATTTAAAGTCACATCGGCAATATTTCAGCCATATAGTGACTATATCAAATTAGACAATACATCAATTGAGAATATAAACCTGTCGACAAAGGACAGTAAAAGTACTAGATTATCACAGATGTCGGTTTAAAACTAGTTGAATAGTTCGGACTTGAACACAATTGAAAATATTTGCGGAATCATGAAGGTACATATCAATCAAACAAATTTAAAAATACATGTGATCTGAAGGCAGAGATGGTTAGATATTAGGACAGTATGACTCATGATTTTCTAGCTTCCTTGACAGGCAGTATACCTCGCCGCACGGAATCATGTATTAGGAAAAGAGGTGGTCTGACAAAATATTGAACAGTTTACTGTTTTGTAGCTTTAGGTTACGATTGTAATCTCTTGGTCTATGTCTTTATAAATAAAAAAATTACAATGTTCTTATTCTCAATAGTTTCTGGTCAAACTAATAGTGCATATGACAAAATCGTCTGTACATAATCGATTCCTGACTGGGCACACCAGTGACTGAAAGCATGATCAATCTACCACGTCCTCGGAGAACGATGACACACAATTTATCAGGCACAGACAATACAATATATTTCTCTTAAGGAGAAGACCAACATAATTCGGGGAGCCCCTAGTGCATGTACACTGTTTAAGGTCACGGGGTACAGACACGTTTGCTTTTTGCACATGCTGTTCCCAGGTCTCACGTTTTGGCAAGACCAAAGGAATAGGGCTATGATTTTGCAGTTGTTCGAAATTTGAAGAGCAGCCCTTGAACCCCTTCTTTATAAAAAAATGTTTTAATCATGTTTCGTAAATTTGACAATGAATTATAAATCACCCCGCATAAGAACAAATATTTTCAAAAAACAGTGTTAATGTTTATGTGCCGATATTGTAAAAGGTATCAGAACTACTGTACCGTGGCGCTACTTGTAGCACATTGAGTAAATGTAATGATTGTCTTACCGTCATAAATTGTCAAACTGTCAGCATTGCAGTTGGATGACCCCACTTCAATGTCAGCATCCACGATAGATACAACGACGCGTTCTCCTGACCTGGCTGTCGCTATCGTCCACCAACAATTCGTATTGCTGCAACGGAAAGACCGTCACGACACGTTAATTTACTCCAGAATAATCAATCAGTGAATGTGTGTGGCGCATGGTCCTATATACTGCACACGGTTCAGAAATCAGGCGACGTTAAGCAACGCTGTTCACGGAGAGTAGGTGGAGAGTAGGTTGGGTGAAATGTTTGGCAGCTTGACTCCTGAGAGATTCTAGGGCTTCGGTAGAGCCTCACACTGAACCACATGCTAGATGTTGTGTATGCTAAGGCAAGAGCCTGTGTTTGAAATATGCCTCAGTTGTATCAATATATCAAATAGTGATGATACCAGTTGGTCGAAAAGGTGAGCGTAACTTGCCCGACCTGTGGCACCCGTCACAAACACATGCAAAGGCCATTCAATATCTATGAACAGAATTTCTGTTCATATCCCTTATTGCTTCTGTTTGTACCATAAAAGGCTTACACAATAAAACGTGTATATAACGGAGGACAATGCTTGTTTCAAAACTTGTGACCCAGACTTGAAATGTTCTCCAAGACGTGGAGCACAGTTCCCCTTTAAGAGAACAATTTACTCAATGTATAGTATATGATATGTCAAATGGCACAAAAATAGAAGTGATTGATTTACAGTATAAGTACATGAAGTATATGCTGTATGGCTATACATTCTAAGGCGTTGAAAGAAAGTGAGAAATAAAGATTGTTGCTGATCGATCAATCGTTGTTATGTTTAAAAACATATATTCAATCGAGAAATGTATTGCTATAAAAAAGGATGACAAAAGTAACTTTAACAAAAAATGGTCACCTTTATTCTCAGCATTTGATTCATAGCTCTCTGTTGATACATGATATGTTTGAGTCTGACTGTGTTGCAACCGTTTTGGTTTGAAATTGGACAATGTTTGTTTCCAACCCTTTAATTTTCTAAAAAGTGTATTGTGCCATTCTATGCAATCCGAAATATGTCTTTGACGGAATACTGTATTAATCTACAACTCTGGGAACAATAAAATCGTTTAAAATTTAAAAAAAAAAAATCGTTGTCACCTTCCATAACCAGTTGGATATCCAGCAGATTCAAGATACTTCTCGTACATCTCTGCCTGAAGAGTCTCATTACAAGCCCCTGGTGAAGAAAACACATTTAAGTCAACATAATCATCGACCAGACCAACAGGATCTTCAAAAAAGACCTGAGATATATATGTTTGTAAGATACTGATATATACTGCCAGGTAAAGAAGGTGTACACTTGAAAACTGAATTTGTATCGTAGACATTTTGACGGGGTATATGTTTTATAAGGGCGTCTTTATATGTTTAAACATTCCCTGAGTTAAGTAAATAGCTATCACAATATTCACAGTGTAGTCAATACGAATAAGATAACAGCACCCGAACCCGTTAGTCGCCTTTTACGACAAGCATAGTCGCCTTTTACGACAAGCATGGGTTGCTGAAGACCTATTCACCATCAAACATGGGTGTATACTTTCTTTTGCCTGATGGTTTATATAAAATACACGGGATATTATCTCTGTTATTTGTCGAGAACACCCGGTACAAATTTGGGTGAAATATTTACAGCTCAGGTGAAACAATACCACAGACGTAATGGATCTATGTACTTTCCAGAAATCTTTCCCAAACCATCATAAGTATTTCTTTTGTTTGTATTTTTCGAATGCTCAGTTCATTTGAAATACATGTACTAACAAAATGTGCGTGTATTCACAGTGTAGTCAATACGAATCAGATAACAGCAGCTTGACTATTATTACCATGGCCAACAACACAGATTAATGAATGGGCCATTTTGTTTTTGGCCGGTTGGCCACTGGATCGTGACCTTGTGGATGAAGTGCGGGACACTGCAGGCTGACCATGTATGTGCTCATGCGGCGCGTGGACGTCGGACCGTGATGTCCCCCCTATATATATGCCTAGGGATAAATGGACGACCCAGGGACGGGAGCGAGTGAGGTTGGACGACCCAGTCCCGGGAGCTGTGGAGTGGAGACCATGATTATTATGTAGCGGGATAATGCTAAAGAATAAATAACGTGGACCCACAGACGGACTTATGTCTCAATACAGAAATATCCGGTAGAGCACCAACGTCTACCTCGGATATATGACCATTTTTTTTTATCAAAACGTAACTAGGCTGAAAACATTCGCCGAAGCACTGCAAACGTATGGTAAAAAAAACAACTGTTACACACGTATCATATACACCTCCATCGAATAAACATTTCGTGTTTGTTTCACCATCAAACATGGGTGTATACTTTCTTTTGCCTGGGGGTTTATATAAAATAGACGGGATATTATCTCTGTTATTTGCGAGGTTATTTATTCATAAACCTCCCTGTGGGTGAACACCCGGTACAAATTTGGGTGAAGCAATACCACAGACGCAATGGATCTATGTACTTTCCCAAACTATCATAAGTATTTCTTTTAGTTGTATTTTTGTATAAGAACCCCCACGCCTCACCCTTAACCTACATGTCTGAACTAAAATATGCATGTTTGGACACTGCGTGCGATTTCGGACACTAAGAATAGGCTCCTTAACCAAATTCACCTCGCCACGATCTATACGCATTGTCAGGTGGAGCACATTTTGTTGCTGATGAAGTACTGTGAGGGAGGGATATATTTTAGGGGGTGGGTTGTTGGTTAATTATTGCGGTAATGAGGGAAGGGTCACCGAATTTTCTTGGAGGTTCATAAAACACACACACACACACACACACACACACACACACACACACCTTTAATAACTGACTGGTCCCTAAAGTAAACAGCTTATGGAGGCGTGTACCTGCCTGTACAGTTTATATGAAATCGTGTAATCTGCATGATGTCCATCGCTAGATTGGTCCAGACTCGATTATTTACAGACGGTCATCAAACAGCTACCAGGGATAACTACTGAGTTTAAAGAGACGAAGAAAACGTGCAATCTGCTTCGAATGTGAATGGTGGAGTTTGGCAGTGTATAGTTCGTGTGCTTCACCTGTGCTTTACGACACACCGTGAACAGGGTCCAGTACTTTGTCGGGATCGACAGTACGTTCGTTAAAGTACTGTCACTCGTCCTCTAATTATTACAGAACAAAGTTCTCCTTTTTGACTTGAGCCACGTCCAGGTAGTCCTGGCTTACTCGCTTCCCGAGCTCTTTTCACTGTGTAGAGTATTGTAATGATAAGGACACGTCAACACGAACACCAACTAAATATAGACATTCAACTGAACGTACCGGCGTCGTGAAACCCCCACAGCACCAGGACCAGCAACACTGAGAGACACTGCCTGCTAAACACTCCACCCAACATCTTAGTACGTCTGCCCATGGTGTACATCCATGTTAAACACAGTGAGAACAGGTTGTCATCGGAGAGGGTTTGGAAAGCCTTGCGAAAGACCCGTTGACCCAAATTCCATTGATGGATGTCGCATGACGACAGTGTTGTGAAATATCCTACCAATCGCATTAACGGTTATCTTGTAGGGTTGAATCGACCCGGTCGATTAACGTACGAGGTTCAGCATGACATAAGATACAAAGCTGCCATGATGGGGCTCGGGTGTTTTTTTTTGTAAATATACTGCTGGAAATGAATAAGGGAGCACTCAGTTTTAGACATAGTAAAATGATATGCTGTCATGGGTTACCAGCCTTGTCTACCAAATACGCGATGGAAACACGTCGTTATTCGTTTTAGTTTTCATAATCCTAATTATTTTTTGGTTGTTACGACAAAAAGTGTCTGGCATTAACTGCATCATTGCTGCCTCCGAGATGGTCCATTTAACTACCTGTAAGTCGTTCATAGAATTACACTGAGTGAGTGAGCGAGTGAACGTTTCAACATTCAAAATGTATCACGGGGGTTTGTAAATAATCGAGGTTCTTGCAAAATAGAGACTGTATCTATCCACACCAGTGGGGATGGGGGAACGTGTCGCGTTTTCAATGTCATTTCACTTATATTGCGTAAGGTTAATATGCATCTATACGCGTTATCAATTATTTGAAAGCGGAAAGGGTGTCAAGTGTAGTTGTTTTTCCAGTGAGTATCTGACAATGATTGTTCATGGAAAAGGGTGTCTTATAACAAGCATTTACAGTGCTGTAGAACAAGTCTCAGAGAGCCGCAATGGGATCCGACAATGACATCTTCCCGAGGCAAGAGCGTCCACTGGTCTTTTTTATCAAAGTAGAATCTAGGCTTCGATATAGTCTAGTGGACACGTTTCTCTCGGGCAGATGCGACAGTAAAGGTGATACCTACATCACGTGATCGGATAGGCTGTAGGGTAACATGATCTCGTTGTACGTGGAGTTGTCGTCAAGGTAACACGACATACAAAACGCAAAAATCGACTCATCGGTCGAATGTGACACTGTTTATTAAACATACAGATACAATACATATTGCGTAATAATATACCATGCAGAGGGGACTATGTTTGGGTATTTGCTAATCTGTAAAAGATACTAGAGATGAGTGGTCATCTTAAATTCGAGGGGAATACGTTTCTTAACAAAAAAAATAGATGGGGCCCACTAAGTGTTTAGAGTGGGCCAGGGGAAGCAGCTGGTCAAGGGTTCTGCCAACTGGGTTCCTCATGTGTCCAAGCTAATATCATTCGTGACCAACTCGTGTTATTACGGGACAAGCCAAATAGCGACTCGTGCCCCTCTCATGACCATTTTGTGCGACCGGGTTCCGTCTTAGCGCAAACGGGCATACCTAAAACAATTGTCAACTCGTTGCGTAATGGTTCACATATATTTCCCCATATATTATATAATATTTCAGATGGAATTTAAAGCACATCGGGACGTGCGGAATTATACAGTGTGATTGAACACACTTAACTGTGTCTTGGGTATATTTTTAGACGCAGGACATGTAAAATCAAAAATTATTTCTGAGGGATTCTTTGATGAAGAACTTGAAATCATACGCGCATTCTGATTGGTTTGTCGTATTTTCGCACATAACATTCATCGATAGGGGGACGAGTCTTCTTGCAGGTTACGGAAAGGGGCGAGTGGTGACGAATGAGCTAATATTACCAATAATGTATAGAGGTTATCACGCGAGAGTGTGTTCGGGTCACAAGTACCATGTGTTATGAATGATTATTGTAGTAAGAACGTCTTGGTGAGCTAAATACATATTTTGTGTTTATTCTTAACACGGGATATTTATCATCCCCAAACTCACAAACGTTATAACCCCTTTATCATATAATATTATTCTTAAATTCTATTGTAACAAAAACGATACTGAGTGAGTGAGTTGGATTTAACGCCGTTTTAAACATTATTTCAGTTATATCGCGGCGTGTCAGCTTTATGTGGGAGAAAAGCCCCAAGTGATGCAGGTCTCAGACGTTTACCACTTCGGTGCAACCCACGAACACGGTTATGGTGCTGACAACCTAAGAACATAATCGGGGCGAACCGGGATTCGAACCCACAATCATACTAGGTTTCTGGCGTGCCCACGTGACGCAACGCCTAAGACGACTGGGCCACCCGTGCCCCCAAAATACGATAGTGAGTGAGTGAGTTAAGATTTAACGTCACATCGGCAGTATTTCAGCCATATCGTGACGAGAAGTACATTAATAATACACATATTTATACGAAATAAAAACCTGTCAACGAAGGACAGTAAAATAACTAGATGTATCACAGATTATATCTAAAACTAGTAGGTAGCCATAAAAATATAACATCATACGAAACAATACAAGATAAAAATGAGCTATAGATCGCCAGCCACTGAAGAGAGATCACCATGCTAGGGTCCATGGGGACTTACAGTACTTTTGCTACCTGCATGGACCCAAGCCGGATCGAAAACACGATACTGAGGGCAGATTGAATTTTCCTTAGACATATAATGACTACTTGAGTGACTAGTATTTAAGCCTGGTTCCCTGGGTATGCTGCGCTGGGTTACACTGACCCAGACAATGACTGCACAATGGCCGCCTCCACCAGACGAACAAACATGGCGGACGCGACATGTATTTACTATAGAAAAACGCTAGAACGGGTGGTTAAATTTTTTTCTTAGGATTTTCATGATCGCTCTTGCAATGTATACGTCACGAGAATAACGTCCATTGTTACTTTTAGTGAAGGAAAACATTATTTAAGTTGTTTCGAGACTCGAAAGTGGTCGTCACATCGGTGAAATGTAAACAATGACACACACCCCATTTTCAACAGTGATATGTGCGTTAATATTTCGTGTCAGCTCACTGTTGTCACGAAATCGTATACATAACACATGGAATTAAAGGACCACGTCAATGAAATACCGTTAGCATCTTTATTTTAGCAAATTTGATAACGCAAATGTCGCCGATTATGCCCCGTTTTCATGTTTTTCCGGTGGTGCGTAGTAGGCTATGACGCTCAGTGGGTAAACAAACAGATAGGACACCCTCCCTCTCTCTACTCACAGCTCTCCGCACCTCAGAAGGCGATACAATATAGACTCTGTCAAAGGGGACAGGAACACGAGTCAATAGCTGTTGAACAAAAAGACCCGCCGTGGGTACGGTACTCCGGTATAGAATATAGATCAGATACATTATGCATGGGCCAAGAGACGATTAAATAGATCGGGTGCCCAGGCTCGATTGCTCTGCATATACTTACGGCGTGGGACGTTGTTGTATTTAAGAAATAAACGACGAGTGAAGGTGTTTATGTGTAGGATAGGGGGCACGGGTGGCCCAGTCGTCTAAGGCGCCGCGATTCGCTGTACAGAGTTGCGTCCCTTGGGCACGCCAGAAACCTATGATTGTGGGTTCGAATCCCGGTTCGCCCCGATTATGTTTCTAGGTTTGTCAGCACCATACCTGTGCTCCTGGGTTTCACCGAAGTGGTAAACGTCTGAGACCTGCATCACTTCGGCCCCTCTGTATTATCCCGAGGATGAGGGTTTTAAATATCATAAATACCCGAGGGTTAGTGTTTTATCTAATTTTTAAACCGAAAAAAACAACAAATCAAAAACAACATTTGTCAACATTTTTATGTTTCAAACATACTTTCCATCAACCCGAGGAAACGGGCGTTAACTATCTGTTGCTGGCTTGAAATCGACATTCTTAAAAACATTGTGATTTATCAGCACGTTTGTAATGGTGTGGTACGCACACTCAATGGGCTACTATATACGAAGGTTACGTGTTCGATACGCGCGAATATAAAGAAAAGATTTGTTATTTGAATTTTATATTTCATGACATTGTGTTAACATGCAAAATATATTTCAAGCCAGAAACATTCATATCTTACAATATAAACGGAAGTTGTATTACTAAAATCCCAGCGATATTATACATCCCTGTTTATGAGATTTAACTTGTCTTGAGAACAATAGGATGACGTCACTGGAGGTTTATAATGTATGATACACAACGACCACGAATCGTTTATTTCTTATATGAGACATGAACATTCTGTACAGCCTGTCAGCCTCTTTAAGGATGAAGATAAAATGACAAGATTTAAAAATACTTTCACTTTTTTGTTCACCATTCAACACAAACCAAGGCGTAGATTGTCCATTTAATCGAACTATTTGTACATTGTACATTGTGTTATATACTCTTCAAAAAAAGAAAGGTAGAAAAAACAACAACATTTATACGAGGAACCGTATAAGGTATTGAGCCCAAAGTTTTGTGGATAGAACACTTGGTTATTGTAGTCATCTCAGTTATCGGTACATAGAAAAGTCCAAGGTGAAGGTCAGCTTCAATCAATAACGCGTGTTTCCTCCATTGGAATCAATAGCGGTCTGACATCTCCTGCCCATAGAAGAGACGGCTATGCGAATCACATCCCGGGGAATGGTAGCCCACCCGGCCTGCAACGCCAAAGTCAACTGTTGCAACGTCGTGGGTTGTGGTTGACGTCGGCGTTGCCGTCTATCCAATCCATCCCACAGGTGCTCTATCAGATTCAAATCCGGGAATCTGGTGGGCCAGGGGAGAATATCAACCTTGTTGTTGTGTAGACAGGCTCTTGTGATCCGTGCTGTATGCGGTCGAGCGTTGTCCTGCTATAATACACTGTTGCCGTTGGCTGCAATTGGAGGACGTGTGGTAGGAGAATTTCGTGGATGTATCGTTGAGTCGTAAGATTGACCTGGATATGGACCAAACCAGTCCTGCCATGATGAAAGATAGCCGCCCACGTCATAACGCTACCCCCACCAAACCTGTCCACCCCCTGTACGCAGTTTCAGGCGTAACGTTCTCCCCGACGTCTGTAGACCCGTGCTCTTCCATCCCCTCGACGGAGGAGAAATCTTGATTCCTCACTCAACCAGACATCTCACCATCGTAGTTGAAGCCATACCCCGTGTTGACGACGACAATGCAGTTGACGATGTTCTCGACTCGATATGACGCGTCGAACAGGACGTCTTGCTCGTAGACCTGCTGCTCTTAAACGGTTTCGCACGGTCTGCTCGGAGATTCTGCGCAGTGCGGGTATTTGGGATGCGGTTGAGGTGGCTGTGGTCGTCCGATCCGAGATCCTTTCATGTAGGTGGCGCAGATGGATGTAGCGATCTTGGGAGGGGGTTGTTTCTCTAGGTCCCGACCTTGGTCGATCACGCGTTTACCCATGCTGTTGAAACCGTCCCAAAAGCACTGTGATGGTGCTGAGCACTGCATTGAAAACCTTGGCTACAGCGGATCGGGATTCCCATGCCTGCAAGCGGCTTATGACGTTGTTTCTTTGCACATCTGTTAATCTTGGCATGTTGTTGAACTGTCACCGTTCGATTGACGCAGATGCCAGTCAAAAACCCTGAACTTCAATACCGTTCATAGTGCTGCTGCAGTAGCAGTTCATTGCGTCACTGGTTAGAAAGAAGATGGTTTGTTCTGATACGTTTATTGTATTCAACACTCCTGTATTACCCGAATATATAAATTACTTTTTTAAGTTTGAAATCCTTATACAAGTCACTCATTTGTAGGATGACAGTTTGTATTGATATTTTTAGTGAACTGTACACCCAAGTATCAGTCAGATGCGACCCCGGCTGCCACAGCCTTGTCTCATCTGTTGAATCAACGTTCGTTGCACAACTATTGTGAACTTATATAATAAACATTGTGGCACTTGACCATAAGCGTCTAAAGCAATTTCTTAAGTTTGACTGTCTGGATTGACGCTTGTCGGCAACATAACATTGACTAGTACTCCATAGTCAATGGCCGGCTGTGGGGGATGATGGATATATAAAATGCCGGGCAAAAGAAAGCATACACTTGAAAATTGGATTTGACCAATAAATCACATACGTTATAAAAACGCTACTAGGCTGACAACAGTCACACACAAAATGTAAACTTAATTTCCAAAACACAACAATGATACCCGTATCAAATACCAGCACCATCGAATAACCATTTCTTGCTTGTTTCATTTTTAGCCACCGTCAAGTCTTTTATCCGTCAATTTATTATGTATATTCTACTAATTGCTGTCCTCGATTATTAGTTAATGACAATTTATAATTGACACTATCACTGTAGCTACAACCTTGTGTCTTCAGCTGGGCTCTCTGTTGTAGTGCTGTTCGTTGTACCGCTATCGGGAACACTATTGTCACATGTTGATACCTGAAATTCAATGTTATTCTTTATGACTTCATCGTAAGATGGCGGAAGGTCAAACATAGCTGCATTGTAGAATTCCCCTGTGTTCTCTGGCTGGATTGAAACTTGTTGCTGACTGTACGCTACAGTATAGTTAGGGGTTGGGACAGAGAGTTGCCCGACTGATCCCATCACATGTGCAGGTCTTCTTCTCACATCTCTTTGAGCCCTTTGTGATAACTTTCGCTTCTTATATGACCTTCCACAAAGAATAACTATAGCAAGCAGGAACCCGCCTCCAGCCAAGCCTCCCCAAAGTGCAGCATCATTGACATTGCCAGTTTCCTCATCTGAAGCAAATTAAGTATTATTCGAGTATTGAAGTATTGAGTATTGTGGTCCGAAACAACACTAAAAGAATGGAGATGAAATCAAGATACCCACACCACACCCAAACAACACTTCAAGAATGGAGTTGAAAACAAGAAACCCACACCACACCCAAACGACACTTAAAGAATGGAGTTGAAAACAAGATACTTACACCACACCCAAACGACACTTCAAGAATGGAGTTGAAAACAAGATACCCACACCACACCCAACCAACACTTCAAGAATGGAGTTGAAAACAAGATATCCACACCACACCCAAACAACACTTCAAGAATGGAGTTGAAAACAAGATACCCACACCAGACCCAACCAACACTAAAAGAATTGAGTTGAAATCAAGATACCCACACCACACCCAAACAACACTGACTTTAAAAATGGAGCGGAATCAAGATACCCACACCACACCCACACAACACTTTAAGAATGGAGTTGAAAACAAGATATCCACACCACACCCAACCAACACTTTAAGAATGGAGTTGAAATCAAGATACCCACACCAGACCCAACCAACACTAAAAGAATTGAGTTGAAATCGAGGTACTTACACCACACCCAACCAACACTTTAAGAATGGAGTTGAAATCAAGATACCCACACCACACCCAAACAACACTAAAAGAATGGATTTGAAAACAAGATACCTACACCACATCCAACCAACACTGACTTTAAAAATGGAGCGGAATCAAGATACCCACACCACACCCACACAACACTTTAAGAATGGAGTTGAAAACAAGATATCCACACCACACCCAACCAACACTTTAAGAATGGAGTTGAAATCAAGATACCCACACCAGACCCAACCAACACTAAAAGAATTGAGTTGAAATCGAGGTACTTACACCACACCCAACCAACACTTTAAGAATGGAGTTGAAATCAAGATACCCACACCACACCCAAACAACACTTAAAGAATGGATTTGAAAACAAGATACCTACACCACATCCAACCAACACTTTAAGAATGGAGTTGAAATCAAGATACCCACACCACACCCAACCAAAACTTAATGAATGGAGTTGAAATCAAAATACCTACACCACACCCAAACAACACTTAAAGAATGGATTTGAAAACAAGATACCTACACCACATCCATCCAACACTTAAAAATGGAGTTGAAATCAAGATACCCACACCACACCCAACCAACACTTAAAGAATGGAGTTTCTCATTATACTGTTCGTGTATGAGCGATATACACAAATTTTGTCATCTATGTGTACACGAGAATGAACTCATTGTTTGACTACCAAATATGGTTGTACTACATGAATAACATTCATGTTGAATGCTGAATGGTATCGCTGGGATATTATGTACTACTTATCCTGCAACAACTTAACATGAAGAACAACTTTGTATCATGGTTACAATGGAACATTTAGAACTAATGTGTATCATGGTAACAATGTAACAATTACAACTACTCTGTACCATGGTAACAATGCAACATTTGGAACTACTCTGTAACATTTCCAATTGTTTGGCAATACATGTAGCTTACAATTACGAAACCAAATTCTTCTTACCTTCTTTGTTCTTTAGATTCGAGTAGTATGATATTTGAAAACCACTCTTGGTGTAAGATTCGTCAGTATGAAAGAGAACTGTCATGGACCCGGAAGAACTTTTCTTTGTCGGGGTAAACATTCCACACCAGCGTCCTAGAGATTGTTCAAATGTGTTCCTTCCTGTATCGTACATATCAAAATATTAACAGTAACCAAACCGAACATTTCCTGAACTGTATTTGGTGAAACAAATGGTACCAACTGATTCAGATATCACAATATGCGTAGTCTAAGAATGGGAGTTACTTGAGCTAGAGTTCAAATCACACAAGAAAGTATACATATAATCATTCCTTACGAACACGCGAGTATTAAAATGAGTTAACTGGTAATTTATATTTTACATGTCAAGAAGAGCCCAAACAAAACGACCGCCTCCGTGGTCTAGTGGTAGAGCGTCCGCCCGGAGAGCGGAAGGTCCGGAGTTCGATATACCCCGGCCGCGTCATACCAAAAAGATGTTAAAAGGTGGTACTTGTTGTTACCCTGTCTGGCGCTCGGCATTAAGGGGCTAAAACAAGGACTGGTCGGCTCGGAGTAAGTATACTGTGAGTGGGGTATTCATGTTAAACTGCGGCATGGTATCTCAGTGTGCTGGCACTATAAATCGGCATCAGTCCGGACTAGTACACGCAGCCACACAAACACACACACGTACAGCTGTACATGCACGTCGCTATATAAGTGCAATAATCTTGGACGCGACGTTAAACCCCATTTCACCTCACCTCACCCGAACAAAACTGTAGATGTCAATACGCTGTTGGCGCCAGAAAACATTTCAAGACTGTGACATTTAAAATTGTAGCATGCTGTCATCTGTCTGATGTATCGCATGTGCCTCGTGCATTTTAGTGTTTTCTTAAAACAAGAAAGGTGGTTCCCATTCCACAGTTATGGCGTTACAGAATAAATACTAAATGCATTTAAGCATGTCGACAGTCCACTGGCCATTTTTCAGTGACTGAGTTGGGCTTTATTCCTTTTGGCTATTATTATACCTGCAATATAATGCGTACTAGAACTGGAAGTCACACATTGCACCATTTTGGGAATCGAACAAGGGTCTTTGGCATGGCGGCCGCACTACCCCGCTGCTGGCAATGAAGACTCACGACTTATTGGCACGTGCCGTGGACATTGCGTATCATAGACACGTGATAAAGGAAAGAGCGATAGAAATACAAGGAATGTCGATTCGAAGAAGCGGTAAACACTTTGTATTTGAAAAGTCAAGATAATATGATGTATATACATCTATATAGAGTCAGATCTATGATTTACCATGGGCGGATACAGGTGTGTGTGTGTGTGTGTGTGTGTGTGTGTGTGTGTGTGTGTGTGTGTGTGTGTGTGTGTGTGTGTGTGTGTGTGTCTGTGTGTGTGTGTGTGTGTGTGTGTGTGTGTGTGCACCCCCCTTTTTATTTCGAACAAAATCTTTATTTCTGTACGAATTACCACCAAAGACAATAAATAGATCTTAGTTGTGCACCCCCCTTTTCAAAAAGGCTGTATCCGCCTCTGTTTACTAATATATATTTCAGTGTGAAAGAGTTTTCTGAAGTTGAGAAAATTGATATTTTCATTGCAGTAAACATAACACTTGATATTTCTCTGCAGTGAACATAACAATTTGACGGAACTTGTTATACTAGAGTTACCTACCCTTAACTTGTCTCCCTTTGTCGTAAGTGACTAGTCCGTACACAAACTGTTGACGTTCTTTTTACGTTAGGTCCACATTGACAAGGCAAAATAATGTCAGACGGTCGTTTATGGAGTAACAATCACTTTTTGCCGTTTGTTATCCTCTCTAAAATGTTTACTTATAAACTTTAAATTTCTCATTTAACTTGCCAATCGAAACCCTTCGTTTCGCAAAATGCCATTTTTTATTACTCGACCAGCCTGCATTCTTTCGCTTCCAACAGCGGTCTCCAAGTTTACAAGCATATTTTGGGTTAAAGTTGATTTTGTATATAATCATATGTTAATGTATGATAAAGAGTTTTCGTGACCCTTAATATATAAGCCGCAAATACTAGGGGTGGTGAACCGTCCCTTAGTGTCAGGTAGGGAGAATTTACATTTCCCGGACATTATTACGGGGTGAGTAAGCCTGGGGCCTGGTGCTTATGTGCTTATATTCTAGTCTTTTAACGGCGGGGAACACCATGAACGCAAATCACACATTGAAACCATGTGGGGATTGAAACCAGGTCCTCCCCCCCCCAACCCTCTTACTGAAATGACACATTCTCAGAGTTGGTTTTAACAAGTACAGTTCACAGTGTAAAGAAATAAATGAACACTTATCACAACACAAATAAACTTTTTTAAGAAAAAGAGGCAGCTATTGCGCTACCAAGTAAACTATTTAGCAACTTTTACGGTCGGACTGACGTACGTACCATCAAACGCCTCAAGGTAGTCTTTCAAGCAGCCAGCCGAATTTTCAATATCAGAATTCACAACTTCCAAAGTAATGAAATAGTTAGAGTAATATGTTGAAATGACCCATATGCAGTCGGCATTGCTGAAAAAGAGGAATAGTGTTGATATATAAACTTATTTGTGGGAATCATTACTGTTACTCCCGTATAGTAAACGAAATTGTTTTATGCAATGCAATTTGTACCAAAATGCTTCTGAATTTCGAAACGTCATGTTTAACTTTACTGGTATGTTCAACATGTTAAGAAATAATTGATAAATACAATGCATGCATTATGCATTTTATGAATGAATGCAAATCTTTCGCAGTGAACTTACTTTGGATAATGAAAGGGATACCGAGGCGATGTGAAATCGTTACTGGAAGACTCAGCACTCAGTGTTGACTTCCCACAAACTGGAACAAAAGAAGAATCAAATATCCAGACGTACACACGTACATCGTGTATCATCATCTTGTTGCTAACTTGTCATCACTCACTAACTTACAGGATTATATGATTATCAGATTATAGGATGAAACGTATTAATTAATCTCCTGGGTGCCGTTGTACAAAACAACCTTTACTAAGGTTGAACTTAGTTACTAAGGTTAATCTTAAGGTAACCTTATCAAAAAGTTACGCCCGTTGCACAAAACTACCTTAGGACATCCTTAACGTAGACAGGATACTGAGCGGCAACCTTAACTAAGGTTGAACTCTTTAGTGTGGGAGACTCAATTATGTCCGTAGTTACGGTTGAGAGTTATCTCCCCTGCTCGCATCTGCAGACGACTAATATTGCTAATTCAATGAAGTATCAACCTTAGCGTGGCTAAGGTTGGGTCTGACCAACCTTACAATTTTCACCTTAACTAAGGCTACCTTAGCGTAAGGTAGTTTCATGCAACATGGGGTCAACCTTAGTAATGTGGAAGTAGTCCGTCAGTGTTTACGTCATTTCAAGAACACGGTCTCGTGGAGAACGTATAAACGTCAAATTGTGTTCGTTCATACACTTATGAACGTCAATTCCGCGGTCAGGTGACCGACCTCTCGCCCAATTGAAAAGCCGTATATCGTGTTAACTTCAAACTAAAAAATAATATTAATTTCTTTCAAACAGATGTACAGCCTTTTGGGGGAAGGAAAATACACACAGCATTTGGTCAAAAAAGATACACATTATCAGGTAGATTAATAACACTCTTGGGTCGACACTGGTACTTTTTAATATGAGAAATGACGGCACATAGTGCAGAGACACTCACCTTTGTAATAACCACCAGTAGCAGCCAACTTGAATCCCGTACCGGAGGACCCGAAACTCCCAGAGTAGAATCGTATTCTCATTTTGCTCCCTGAACTTATGTAGTTTTGGTAGTTATTTTCACAGAACGAACCTACTTCCCCCGAATCTAAATACAAATTGAAAACAATAGTAACATACTATTTTTTCACGGATACTCAGAGAAATATCATAATATAACCATTTGACAACTACGACACGGAATTCAGAAATACTAGAATGAGTGAGTGAGTGAGTATGGTTTTACGCCGCTTTTAGCAATATTCCAGCAATATCATGGCGGGGGACACCACAAATGGGCTTCACCAGAAATACTAGAATAGGTTACCCTTACTAAAAGCATTGTGTTAAAAGTGAGGTGAGGTGATATGGGGTTTAACGTCGCGTCCAAGATTATTGCACTTATATAGCGACGTGCATGCACGTGTATGTGTGTGTGTGGCTGCTTGTACTAGTCCGGACTGATGCCGATTTATAGTGCTAGCACACTGAGATACCATGCCGCAGTTTAACATGAATACCCCACTCAGACACAGTATACTGACTCCGAGCCGACCAGTCCTTGTTTTAGCCCCTTAATGCCGAGCGCCAGACAGGGTAACAACAAGTACCATCTTTTATCGTCTTTTGGTATGACGCGGCTGGGGATCGAACCCCGGACCTTCCGCTCTCCGGGCGGACGCTCTACCATTAGACCACGGAGGCGGTCTGTGTTAAAAGTGTATCTTATAATAACATATAATACGAATAAGAAAAGCATGGAAATTATTACACAAAACTACAATTAAGTGTATTTAAAGTTTGATATAGAATCGCTATATAACTCACATCAGAAACATATATGATTTCTAAGGTTAATATACAGGCTTTTTGATGATTACGACTACTTCATACAGTTCTTACCGTCATAAAGAGCAATGTAATCCCGAGTACAGTATGATTGCAAATTGCTTTCCATTACCATCAATTTGATGTTGGAGCCATATTCTGTTGTTAAGTCCCACAAACAATTTAGATTCCTGAAATTTGAAAAAAATGGCCTTGGATTAACTAAACAATCTACAATTCTACAGTAAAACAATTGCACCTACTAGAGTCTGTGAATTGAGTTCAACGTCGCTTTTGAACATAATTTCAGTTATATCACGGCGTGTCAGCTTGATGTGGCATCAGAGCTTGAAGTGATGTAGGTCTCAGACATTTACTACTTTGGTGAAACCGATGAGAACGGTCCTGACAAACCTAGAGACATAATCAAGGCGATACTGGGATTCGAACCTTCGATCATAAGCCTTTGGCACGCCTAAGTGACAGCGAATTACGACTGCTAATTTAAACAAGCCGTGCGCCAGACCGAGGTAACGATACTTGTACTTGAGCATTATTAGTGCCACGAATGTCCAATTGCAATTTTTTATCAGTACATTGCATAGATATGTTTCTGTTCGCATCTGTCATCTCCTACACTCAATTTAGCTGTGGTACACTGGATGTGCAATTCGTGCGAATAAATTGCGTCTCAGTAATGGTTTCTCCGCATGGTGAAACTTAAAAGTCGACAGACCAAATACGAAGATGAATATATGACTATATGATGAACATATGGATAACAACTTCAGTTAATCTTTATAACGACGTTTTAGAGCTACTTCTTGCCCCTTCATCAGGTGAATACTGACTATCATCATCATCATCATCATCATCATCATCATCATTATGTTAACAGGTGTTGTGGCTAGTAAGGGTAGAGTAACGAGTTAAGATAATTACTATATTAGATGTGTGTATAGCCTAATGGGGCTTAAATTATTTGTAACAGTTAAGCTGTTGTTAATGTAAAAAGGGAGCTACTAAATAAAGAAGAAAAGGATTAAGCTTCAAGTTAAATCTTAAAAAGTAAAAACGCAAGGTAAGGGTGTTGGTGGTGGCAGTGAGCGTGTATGGCTGTGGAGCGTGGGGCATCTTCCTGAGGAAAGGGATAGAAGTCCAGTTTCATCCCTTGCGGAACTAGGCTGAAAGTCTAGAGTTACATTTTGGCTGGACTTACGAGTCTATGCATGATCCATTCAAAATCGCGTAACGAACTAGACATCCGGTTCGTAAACAACACGGATTTCGACGTGCAGATTCCGTCGACTACAGGATTTGCAAAGCGTGTGTGTCGCCAACTGGCCGTCGACAGACATTTTCCAAATCTTTTCATGTTTCTTTTCAAGGTGTTAAGTGATTAAATGCACTGGACAGTGTAAGCCCCTTTTGTTTTACAACAAGAGATATCTTGACTACCGCTCAGGTCGACTAGACTGGGCGCCGTCATTTCTTCTTTGAAGCATATGCAAGGGATATGAAAGGTGGAATCTGAAAAGTCCATAGGAGGGACATCGAAGGGACATAACTCGCAATAGCCACTGGTGAAGCAACGACAGAGCCACGAAATTCAAGCCTAGTTCGGAAAGAGTTGCAATTGGACTTGTATTGTCAGTTAACGGCCTTGTCAGGGGAAGATGTACGTGGGGTGATTGACATTGACATTGATGATTGAGCTGGTTAAGAGAGTTTACTTTTTGGTTTGGTTTGTTGTTTAACGACGAATTCAGCAATATTCCAGCTATATGACGGCGGTCTGTAAATAATCGAGTCTGGACCAGACAATTAATCCAGTGATTAATATCCTGAGCTTACTGATTCAGTAGCTGTCTGGATATATGCGACGTCGTAGAAGACACTCTATTCAAGAATTTCTATCCCGATCCTAAATGTTAAAATTGTTGATGTTTAGTGTTGGCTGGTATCACAATTTGTTTGGGACAGACTAAAACTATGGGCTTAAAAGAAGTGACATAATATTTTTATATTGAGTTGGCTGTGAGTGATATAGTTGTGTTTGATAGTTTTGATAGAAAGAACATGATTAAGATCCTCAGGGGAGTCGCAGTGATTGCCTTTACCATTTAGGTGTCTGTTTTGTTTAAATAGAGAATAATTTGGTTGTGTATGGCCTCTGATAATTCTGGGAAATTGCTTTATCTAAATTGGTCAAAATGTTTTAGTCCCGGTCATTTGCTGTATAAATGATGTATATATGCTTATAACGAACTACGGTTATTACGAACTACGGTTATTACCAACTAACAGTAGTGGTCCCTTTAATTTCGTTATAACCGTAGTTTACTGTATATCAACGTATTTATTGAGGGATGTTAATACTGATGGATGGCATTTTTGATTAAGTCGGGTAGGGTTTTGAATATTTGTTTTGAATGTGTTTTATGGAGAGCCTGAAATTATAAGAAAGTTTGTTTGATTTTAATCTTTTGCTCGAACGAGTGCTGCTGAGACGACCAGTACCTCTGTTGTGTTTAAGAGGGTGTAGTTTTTTTATGATGGTAGTTTGTAGTGATTAATATGGGTTGGTCAACATGGATACCTATGCCTGTGCTTTTGTTTTTGTTTTGGGATGCATCAGTGTATATGTGGTTATGTGTTGGCTAGTTTGATTTGATGTTTTTGGATACTAGTGTTGTTATGTTGGGTTGGGCTTGTAGTATGTTGTGTAATGAAGTGTCTATTTCAGATGGTGGTTTATCATATATGTCTTGGCACAAGATAATTTTGATCCTGAGGATCAACACGGCGCAAAGAAATTTTGTAGCATACCTACCTGTCCTGTCATAAAGCACACTGTCATAAAGCACACAGAAGCTAAAACAAGTATTTAATTGCGTGTGGTACCTTCAGAATCAGGAATGAGAATATGACACATTTCAGTAAAAAAAATATTCATGTAATATTAAAGTAGAAAACAAACATATTATGGAAACAAATCAAGTAATATGTTTCACCACAATGATTTCCTGAAACATTTGTTATTGTTTTCAAGGAACATGAGGTATTAAGTTGACACAAACATAGTGTTATACACGATACTGTTGACATCTGTAAATAGTGGTAAACCATTGGTCTACAGTGGTAAAGTTATTAATATCTTTTCATAATTAATCTTTTCAAAGTAATAGGTACAGTGTTGTAATATCAGTTATAATAAAGTAAATCTGCACATGGAGACATGCAGGTATTGTACGGACAGGGCGTGGCTCCCTGGCATGATTGTTGCCGAATAATAAAACATGTTCCGTGTAATAATTTACAGGTAGGAATGTCTTAACAATTATTTTTATAATTATTTATGTATTTCGTGTGTACGCATATCATTATACATGTGTGAGACAAAGATAAAGTTTCGTTTAAAAGTTTGCCTCCATCTTTCAAACGATTATTCGTCTCAACTGCCGATGCCCCATTAATTTTCATTTACAAAATGGCGCGGCGTCTGGCTCCGTGCAATGAATCAACCAAGAATGAATGTCGGGTGTCCATATTAGGTGTTAGTCGAATCTCAAAGGCATTGCGCTTCTTTTTGGAAAGTAATTTCTTCGTTATGTTGGTGAAATTTGGGTGTAACATTTGTCATAAAGGAGTTGTTGAATATCAAGACACTGTTTTACAGTCACTGTGTTAATTGACAGGGTATTATGTGATTTATCTGTTATGTTTCTGTCAGTTATGTATGGAATTTAGAATGACATTGTTCTTTAATGGGGTTTTTTCCTAGTTTTTGAATAAGGCCATTGTGCCTATCATGTCAAAATCCTTGCTGAAAACTATGAATATAGCCAGAGTGTATTGTTTTTGTGCTTGCGCTGTTCTGATGTCTTGTTCTAGATGTAGAACATGGTTAAAAGTTTGTCTGTTGTGTTTTAAGCCGCTTTAGTCGGGGGTGATTAGATTATTTTGAGAAATTTCAAACTTGAGCCTGCTATTTATTGTAGATTCCATCATTTTACAAATGTGGGAAGTGTGAGAGGTGGGGCGGTTGGAGTAATAGAAAAGTGGACAGCAATATTTTTTGCATTTGCTTTATCTTTATTTGTGGAAAAGCTCTTCGTGTTTGGATAAATAGTCTGGAGTTTTGTTTGCTAATATTTAAGGTATTACAAAAGGTTTACCAGTGTTTTATTGCGGCCATAATAATCTGTATTGTATTTTTTCTGAATTGTTTCTGTCGCTACATGGCTGAAATAATGCCGATGCGACGTTAGAGTTTAACTAACTAACTGATTCTCTGTGCAGAGTTGCGTCCCTTGGGCACGCAAGAAACCTATGAATGTGGGTTCGAATCTCGGTTCGCCCCAATTATGTTTCTAGGTTTGTCAGCACCATACCCCTGCTCGTGGGTTTCACCGAAGAGGTAAACGTCTGAGACCTGCATCACTTCGGGCTTTCCTCCCACATTAAGCTGACACGCCGCGATATAACTGGAATACTGTTAAAAGCGGCGTAAAACCCAACCCACTCACTCACTCACTAACTAACTGATTTGTTTCTGAATGTATACTACCTTCATGTGCTTACTCAGTATTCACATGGTGAAGAAGCAAGAGGGAGCTCTCAAACGTTGTTACAAAGAATAAAAGAAGTTGTTATCCAGAAAAAGTGTCATGTATTCATGTTCTTCCAACTTCTAAATGCATACCAAAGACTTCAAATGCGAAGATCGTCTTAGATATCACAAGTCTACTAATGCAATTGACGTCTCAGTGCGCTTACAATTCGTTAGCCGTATATGACGGTTGGTATGTTGTTCCTGATATCAGTTAACTTGTGAACCAGTACAGAACGAGTATTTAATCGTGGCATTCACGCTTTACATCAGTGACGTAGGTCGTCCGTTGATCTAAACCAGTGAGCACAACGTGGTACTGTTAGACCAAGAACTAACATTATGAGAATGTATGTCGAACCAAGGATCCTGGAAGGACTAAGGGACACAACTCTACACATTGGAGCAAGCCTCCTCTACATGTAGTAATACTCAATATAAGATAGCTACGTGATAAATCGATAAGAACAATGAAGAACGAAGCATGGTATATTTCACGATTAAAACATTCTTCTATCATGACGTCATTTCTCGAGTTTCGAAAACGAACGTGCAACTTGATGACGTCATATATTGGACGACGATATTTTTTAGAGGGAAGTGTTTAGAAAGTTGCACCCCAAAGACGCAGCTGGGCTACGCAAATAAACGCAGTGGCCGAACGATCACATCCAAAAGTGGCAGAGATATGACAATCGGTATTAGGAGAAAAGGGTACCGCTGATCGACGTGAGGATTGTGAGAATATGCGGGAAATATCAAACTTAACCCACCTGTTCGTAAAATGGACTTGTCCGACATTTCCGATGTCGGATTGTATTCAGGAGGTCACCATTATTAATATTTGGGTAATAAAGCTTGTACATTTTATCAACTTCCTTAAAGAAGCTGTAAATGATATTGATACATGTACAGTAAACTACGGTTATAACGAACACGGTTATAACGAACTGACGGATATAACGAACTTACTTTTTTGGTCCCGACTATTTGCTGTAGTTATGCTGTATATATGCTTATAACGAACTACGGTTATAACGAACTAAAATTAGTAGTCCCTTTGAGTTCGTTATAACCGTACTTTACTGTATCTCATGTAAGAATAACGACTCGTGGTCGTTCTTTATCGTACAATAAAACAATACAGGGAGAATAAACCATGAGGGGCGCAGCCCGAGTTTTATTGTACGATAAACGACCACGAGTCGTTTAGTTCTTAAATTCATTCACTCCAAACATAAGAGAAACTACCTTGGATAACGAACAGGATACATTGGCGAATAGATCATCGTTTGCGATCGCGTTACAGTGACGTTGGTGGCACACACATAGGGTACTGTAAATAGAATGGGCGTGGATATGAAAGTTGCATACAGCTCCCGACAATCATCTACGTGAATATGGTGCACAGATGCATGTTTATACTGAGTTATTATTTACTGTGAAACATTAACAGTTATTATAGAACAACTAATTCTTCACGTGTCAATTTTGAAACTATACACCGGTGAACTGAATTGATACCTGCTTTGGCAAATACCTTAAACGACGTTCCATTAAAGAACGAATATCAACCTGTTCTTAATTACACAGGTATCTGTTATTTTGTTATCAAAACGTATATCAGTAAAGACCTCTACTTGACAGATTTTAACTACTTTCGAAACGCTTTAGGTGCAGCTCACATATCGTCATTAAAACAGGTAGAGAAGTGTAAACGAAAACAGAATTTGCAAGTTTTGTAGTTCGTGAAGTATAGAATACTAATATAACGTGTTTACACCTTACTTGACGTATAAGTACAACGTGCGAAAATGGATATTCACAATGGATATTCTTTTATCCTTATACTCATACATTAAACTTTAAGTTATTAATGACAACTGACCACAATGTACATGCAATAATAATGAATCATATGTTTTATGAACACAAGCAATTTACAAACTCCCAGAAAAGCAGACTTTGAATTGGTCGTACAATGTAAGGGTCGATTTGATGCATGTCATCGTATCTCAACTGCGTATTTCGATGCTCATGATGTCAATCACTGGATTGTCTGGGTTGTGGATTGTTTACAGACCGCCATCATATAGCTGAAATATTGCTGAGTGTGGCATTAAACAACAAACAAACAAACCAGAAACACACTTAGACGTTTGAAACATATGCACCAATAACATTTCTTACGGCGATATTTATCTTAACATAACATGTTAAACAACAAACAAACACAAATGACAAAACTGTTTGTAATCATTTCACATCTTCAGATGGCAATCCAAGGGTGACTTTCTACAAGCATGTTTATATTTGTTTATATGTAAAATGAAATAAGATACTCACTTTCTGTCATTGAATACTTCAGCCGGAAACCACTTTCAGCGAGACTTGGATCAGTTGTGAACCGAAGTAACATGGCATTTCCTGTACTTTGAAACGTCGGGGCTCTGTCACCACACCAGGTTTCAAGAAGAGAACTTTGAACTGTAGCACCTGAAACAACAATTAGTGAGTGAGTGAGTGAGTTGGGTTTAACGCCGCTTTTAAAAGTATTCCAGTTATATCGCGGCGTGTCAGCATAATATGGTAGGAAAGCCCGAAGTGATGCAGGTCTCAGACTTTTACCTCTTCGGTGAAACCCACGAGCACGGGTATGGTGCTGACAAACCTAAAAACATATTCGGGGCGACAAACGGGATCGGGTGGACAGGCTCGTTGACTTGGTTGATGCATGTTATCGTATCCCAATTGCGTGGATTGATGCTCATGTATTGTCTGGTCCAGACCCGATTATCTACATACTGCCGTCATATATCTGGAATATTGCTGCGTACGGCGTTAAACAATATAATAACCCATAAACACCAACATTAATCATGAAACTTTTCGCCGGTTTCATATATCCGCGAGATATTATAGTTGAAAGAAGCATCATGAAGCGGCGAAAATGTTCGCTAAAAGGGTATCCCGGCCCCTGCCCCAACGGCAACACCTGCGCGCCAGTCACACAATTTACATAAAAAGGTAACCAGAAGTGTTTGTTGCCTGACGCCGCACGGGAGTACCCCTGCAATACGAGAGCGGACTGTAAACATTCATGACCTAACTAGCGGTGACAGGGAACTATGTTCCTTCAGTAGCGCAGTTCAGTGAACGAGTGAGGATTACAGTCACAACACGTGCTTCGGGTCAATGTGGGAAGAAAGCTCGAAATCACATTGTTTACTCTGTTGGTAACACCACTTGGTGCGGACCAAGTTCGTAATCGGCATGACGCTGGGATTTGAACCGACAATCAACGGATCCTAGCGATACGTAGGGCTGCAGAGCAAATGTCACAGAGCAAAGGTCTTCAACTTCGGATATATTCGGTTCTTTTAGGTGTAGTAAAGCGCGCCATGTTGCAAACCTTTCAGTTCATGTATACGGGGTAACCGTGTCTGATTAAAAACCACGCACCACATTCGTGAATGAATGAGTGAATGTTGCTTTATGCCGCATCAGCAATACACGGTGATGCAAAATTAATATGTTAATCATCAATCAAATGTTTCACATTTCAAAAAAATCATTTTACGTATACATGTCGCCCACCGTCGTATGCCTCGACTTTGTCAAAAGGACATCCGGTAGAGTATTCCACCTCTGAAGCCACGACTTGCACATGTATCATCTTCCCACGGGGCGCTGTGATGTACCAGACACATTCCAGATTCCTGGAAACCCAATCAATTTCAACATAATAAATACACACCATAGAATATACATGAACGCACACACACGTGCACGCACGCACGCACACACACACACGTTTAAAGAAGGACGCCTATTTATTTAAAATAATGTAAATCAATAACTGACATTTCTGTCAGCGGGAAAATGACTCGTTCCTGCATATTCGGCTCGTGAAGGATAAGAACCCATCTATTTACATTACATGTACATCCGTGTAGGAATGCATTAATATTGCAACACATTATAATTATACATATTAATAGCACATTAAAATATTATCGAGTACTAATAAATCAGAGACAATATATATATATATATATATATATATATATATATATATATATTGTCTCTGATTTATTAGTATATATATATTGTCTCTGATTTATTAGTACTCAATAATATTTTAATGTGCTATTAATATGTATAATTAAAATGTATATATATATCGTTAGATATATACGTACGGCAAATATGGGTAAGGATAACCTGGCGATGAAATGTACTGCTCTGTTCCTGTCGCTGTCAGATATGTGTCATTGCAGGGTCTCGTAAGAACAGGATAGCTTGTGGCTAAAGTACAAGAGATACAGTGATACAAGGGTTTAGAGTTACAGAGTTGGAACCGTGTTATATACATACGGAACTTGCATTTTCTGCTATTTGCTGTTCATAGACATAGAGTCATGTACAGTGACTGTCATATACAATTATATAGTCACGTATTTGGTATGTTGGTTGTTGGTTGGTTGGTTTGTTGTTTAACGCCGCACTCAGCAATATTCCAGCTATATGACGGCGGTCTGTAAATAATCGAGTCTGGACAAGACAACCCAGTGATCGATATAATGAGCATCGATCCACGCAATTGGGATCGACGACAATCATCAACCAAGTCAGCGAGCCTGACCACCCGATCCCGTTAGTCGCCTTTTACGACAAGCATAGTCGCCTCTTACGACAAGCATAGTCGCCTATTTGGTATGTAGTCAAACCGGGTGGTGGAACTGACTTGCTGTTCAAACGTAGAGGTGGACCAGTAAGTTTTTTTTGTCTGTGAGTGACCTCGGTTCGAATAGTATTTCCGTTGTATTGTTTGTTTGTTTGTTGTTTAACGCCGCACTACGATATTCCCGGTATATGAAAGTATAAAAATCGAATCTGGGCAAAACAATACAGTGATTGACATCATGAGCATCGATCCACGCCATGGGGATACGATGACATGCATCAACCAAGTCAGCTAGCCTGACCACCCGATCCCGTTAGTCGCCTCTTTCGACAAGCACAGTCGCCTTTTGGAGTAAGCATGGGTTGCTGAAGACCTATTCTAACCGGATCTTCACGGGTCTGATGATACCGGGATGGACACAGTTCGTAGGGGTTTACTACTTTCATGAAACTAGTGGGGAATACCAAAAAAACAGAAGTCATCACAGTATTTCGGTGAATCCAAATCAAACCGGGATCTTTGGCGTGAACGCATGACTTAGTGACAACACGTAAAAATGAACCCTTTATCAAAAAGCACAATTGACAACATATGTACTTTGACGAAGCAGCACAAAGCTGAAGAATATACAAGGCTTGGAGATACTCACTTGGTGCTGCCACCTGTTGGTATGAGATGCGGAAGGCAGGTCCGAGTTCGTCAGGGCCAGAATGGAGCGTAATCCCCATCGGGAAGCTGACTAGCGCATGAACCGTAATGTTGGTTGGATGTGCATAATTGCATAATACAATTTCTTGAGATGAAAAAGCTGAAAGAATACAAGACAAAGTTGAAATATAACCATGTGCATTCTTGTGTTTGTTTATTTGTTGTTTAACGCCGCACTCAGTATTATTCCAGCCATATGACGTCGGTATGTGAATAATCGAGTCTGGAACAGACAATCGGTGATTGACATCATGAGCAGCGATCCACGCAATTGGGATACGATTACATGCATCAATCAAGTCAGCGAGCCTGACCACCCGATCCCGTTTGGCGCCTCTTGCGACAAGCATGGGTTGCTGAAGACCTATTCTACCCCGGATCTTCATGGGTCGCATTCTTGTTTATCCATGTGTAACTGTATTGGTTTAACTTATAATTCCCTTGCTCATTTACTTACTGTCACGTAATTTCAAAACACCAGTGGAAGAACAATTCTCGAGATCATTTTCAAGTTGAACAGTTACTTGAATCCTCATATTGCGATCTTTAGAAAAAATTCCCCAGTTGCAGGTGACGTTACTGCAGAGAAAACAATATACTGTTAAGCCGCGTTATCTCGAATGTTTCGGGGGCATAGTGGTTAAAGCGTTCGCTCGTCACGCCGAAGACCAGGGTTCGATTTCTCCCATGAAAAAGGCTTAATTCGGAGGCATAAAATGAAGATTTGGGACATGAAATTAAATCAGAACATTATCAAGACACACAGGCGCCCTAATTATAATCTTCTTATAACATGATAAAAAATAGGGGCTAGTGAATAAATAAGTTTGAAGTGAGGTTTTCATGTTTTACAATTTATGGTATTACCTCATATTTGTGAGTGGCCATAATGGCCATGTGACCATTACAACAGTGCATCACGATACAAAATGCCATAGGCGATCAGCGAAAAATCCAAATCCATGTTCCTGTAAGGTATTGATCTTATAATCGAGTCTGACGAGGCTCAATACTGTGTCATGTCCACCAATGATTTGTTCTCATTATTCATATTACCTTTCATAAGAATCCGGGTAACCAGGAGAATACAAATAAGACAAGGTGTCGGAAGCCATTAATGACACGTTGCAGGCCGTTGCTGAAATCGACAAAATTTCTGTGCATTTAGTTGACAAACATTCTACAAACTACAAAATATAAAACGTCAATGTCAGAGAATGCCCGGTCTCCGAAACAGAAGGCAAAAGATAAAAATAGCGGCGTAAAGTTCGCGAAGAAATTCAGCATGTCCTGCCCTACCGGCAACACTTGAGCGCAAGTCACACATTTTCAGTTAAAAGTAACTTGTTACCTGACGCCGCACGACAGTACCCCTGTCATGCGAGAGCAGCCTGTAAACAAACCACAACAATAAGTGATGTATGGACCAAAATTCCAGTGAAACGATAGAATATTTACTGATTATGCTGAAACTAAAAACGATATGATTGAATAACGTCTGCTGTGTACAAATGCAGAAATTCTGCTGCAAACTTTTACCTTTGTATCTGACATAACTGTAAAAATGAGATGATGATGATGATGATGATGATGATGATAAAAATGAAACTCGGTGACTCCAGTTCACCAGCGAAAACTTCGACCTTCATCTTCGAAACAGATTCTATTGGGCATAAGAGTCCAAATAATGTGAAAACGATATGAACTGAACGCTGAACATTAGACAGTGATGACACCAAGTGTCCGCGAAAAGGGTAAGCACCTCCTGACCTACCGGTAGCTCCCGCTGTTCACATAATGAAATGTTTGGAGCGAGACATTAAAACTACCCCCACGGGGTTGAAAAACGAACATATTTCTTAAGCGTTTCTCTTTACTTATAACCAGCAGAATCTCTGCCCTTGCACACAGCAGACAAAACTCAAAATTAACACACCGTTTATCAGATTCAGATTCAGATACAGTTTATTCAGAATTCCAGGCCTTCTGACCCATAGTGCACACATATATCTAACACTTATTAGTGCATCTTAATATCATCTATGATAGAAAGAACTTTGTACATTGTTTTGGACAACTTAAGCATTTTTGAAATTTAAAGATGTACATAAGTTTGTGAAGCAAATATAGAATTCGAATTATCTGTATATTCTTGCAAGTACAAATAACGTTCTGCTGCATAACATGGGCAATAAAATAATTCATGACTTTCACCTTCTATTACAAGAGAAAGTTTGACACAAGACATCAAGAAGGATATTTTCATCATACACATTATTATCTAAAGGAATATACACTGCTGACTCATCCTCAATGTAATATAAATTATTTCCAGTTCTGGCATTTATATCACCACATACAACAACGTTCCTATCAGGTTATGCTCTTTTAAGTGTAAATACCTTATCTACAAATTCATCAATGAATTTGTGACATGTTATTTAATTCTGGTTTCAGATATTACTTTCAATACATGGCGAGGTACGTATAATACATAAAGTATCAAACCAGCTGCAGTCGTTATAAATCTGACACAACAAATGGCATACCGTTTATAGTTCCAACATAAGGAGTGTTTGTATGTCGCCGTCGTATGGCAGGTGTACGACTGTGTGGCGTCAGGCAACAAATAAACACTCTTTATGCACATTGTATAAGTGGCAAGGCACACCTGGGAATCACTGTCCTTCATATTCAATTATTAAGAAATGGACTGTTGGCTGCTGGCGGACAGACGTAATACAGAAGATGACCCTAGAACTGGTCGACCTGTTACAATTCAGACCGTAAAGATCCGGGTTTGAATAAGTTTTCAGCATACCATCGCCGTAAAAGGCGATTAACGGGATAGGGTAGTCAGGCTCGCTGACATGGTTTGATGCATGTCATCGTATCCCAATTGCGTGGATCGATGCTCATGATGATCAATGGATTGTCTGGCCCCGACTTGATTATTTACAGACCGCTGTCATATAGCTGGAATATTGCTGAGCGCGGCGTTAAACAACAAACAAACAGACAAATGTTACAATTCAGCATACCAGTGACACTATTGGTATCAGTTTTAGGCAAGTACAGTCAACTCAACTCACACACTCCACATTAGCAAGCTGTCCACAAGATCGGTACCAAATCAGAAGCTGACCAAACTGAGAATATCCAGGGACAGAGCTAGCAGTGGAAAGTCGAAAGAGGCGACTGAATGGATCGAATGATCAGGCTATGTGACAAGTTTGATTGCATATCGTATTCCAATTGCGTTGTGCTTAAGACAACAAGGAAACATCTTAGTGTACGTACCTGGCACAGCTCTATACGTTAGTCGAAACCCCTCGCCCACCAGTTCATTGTCAGTTTCGAAACGCAGGCTTATCGTATTCCTGGGGCTCTGAACTTGAAACGTGTGCGTCATATTCGAACAAATGTTTTTAATCAATTGCTCATCTGAAAGGTTGAACAGTGGCAGGTAGAAGTTAAGCATGTAAGTTCTGACAAGCCTTTAAAGTATACTTGTGGTCAATCATTTTTTTTAACTGTCACTTCTAAAAAAAATGTGAGGTATTTATGGTGAATGTGTGCTATTCTCGTGTTCATCAATATTATCATGTACTGTATTGAACACGGGTCGATGGCCATGAAAACGAAGAATAAAATGCTTTGATTCGATGACAAGATAGTATGGGAGGTCGTCATTTCGATTACAGTAGTAGCGGCTTTTTGTGTAGACTCTAACATTGTTATCAAGCATCTGATAAACATATTAAGAATGAAAGCATAAAAATATATTGGCAATGAGGTATCATTTATCGGTAAAATAACAAATTTAGCTACAAAGACCTAAGATTTTACTTTCGTAGTAGTATTGTGTCTAGGTAAATATGTGATTTATGATTTGCCATACTTACTATACGTATCATTTTGGAGAAATATTTTCAAAATGTCGCTTGACTGTTGTAGCCGCACAGATCTGACATCTATTAAAATGGTGTCGGACATGTTCAGGGATTGTATTATCCACTCACATGTTTCAAGGCTGGAACAAACAACTGTTTTAAAGTATTTCGATAATAACGTTTGTACATAATCAACATTTAACAACATCCATTAACAGTTTGTTTTAAGTCTCTCTTAAAATCAAACCTCGTCATTCTGGAAACTTTCTCTTTCCACCACTTCCACCAAATTTAAGAACATGTTAAAACCTTTGAAATTGTTATTAATTTGAACAGAAATCTTCATTTGTTCAAGAACAAGCATTTCTGTCTTTTTCTCCGAATCAACATCAGCATGTTTTGCTTAACACAAACATGATAAATTGTGTAAAAAGTTTAGTCTTTGGGTATTTCCCGAAGTGTTTTTCACTAATTTTGACAATAAGCCCTTTGCACTTATTATATCCTTCCTTATGCCCTTGTTTTCATATAAGGTCAAACGGTGTAAGCAAAAGAAGGAAGAAAATTAAAACACGTTTGTGATTGTTTGGTCCCGCGGCTGAAGGTTATAATTACGAGACCCCTTTTGTACTCACTTGAAATAGCTTCGGGGAAACCCTGGTGAAATTAGCTCGTTGGTTGTAGAATTAGCCACAAGAATACCTCCGCAGGATTTATTAACTGAATGCATAAATGATTACATACATGTGAGTGAGTGAGTGAAATTTACTAATGAAATTATAGTTCAATTAATAAACTGACATACGAATTTACACATTATCATATATTAGATTAGTAGATATCATTATGTATTATTATTATTATTATTATATAATGACACACATAAGCTCCTTTTTAATATGTGTTTGTCAATACAAACTTACCTTTTTCTGATGAGAAATCAAAGGCGTAAATTTCATCGTTTCTAAAATACTCAAAGTGCGTATCAATAAACATGGTATCCCCCGAACTGATTAGATGTTTATCGCTAAGTGATTGACACACAGCAGCAAGTCTTGGACTCGTTGTCCCTGGACCTGGAAAACAAAAGTAATCCTGTAATATGTGATGAATTTCGTATTACCTGAAATTTATAACAAAAGACTATGTATATGCACACACACACACACACACACGCACGCACGCACGCACGCACGCACGCACGCATGCATGCATACATACATACACACATGTCATATCCTGACGTCATCCGGCATTGCATTGGTGGTGGAGAGAGAGATGGTAGAGCAAGGCTGGAAAGACAACGTCGCAGTCCCCTCTGTGTCTTCTTCAGTTTTTGTCGGATATGTTGTTGATTAGAAATAAGCTCGGTGTGTCATTATGTTTTGGATTGTTCCACGTTTTCGCATTAAGTGGTCAACGTCTAGAACCACGTCCCATTTTCTCTTACGGCGATATCTGTCTGACACGCCGTGCCATAATGAATACACTTCAAAGCGGCGTTAGTGAGTTTGGTTTTACGCCGCTTTTAGCACATCTTCCCGAGGCAAGAGAGTTAACTGACTTTAAAAGTCCAGTTTCCACCCTTGCCGAACTAGACTGGAATTACTGGACTCGATCGTAGCGCCACCAGTGGCTATTAACAGTTATGTCCCTTCTAAGCCCACTTGCATTTGCTTCACCCAAAATGGTGGCGCCCAGTCAGGACGATCTGAACGATAATCAAGATCTATACTGTGATAAAACGGGTCTTACATCGCGAAATGCATCGAATCACGTGAGCACCCTGATTAAAAACATGAAAAGATTTGAAAAATAGCTGCTGACAACAAGTTGGCGGTGCACATGCTTCGCAAATTCTGCAATCGATCGAAATCTGCACGACAGTTTACAAACCGGATTTTGATTTCGGTGCGCGATTTTGATTGGACTATGCATAGACTCGTTAGTCCAGCCAAAATGTAACTCCATAATTCCTGCCTAGTTCGGCAAGGGTGGAAACTGGACTTTTATAGTCAGTTAACTCTCTTGCCTCGGGAAGATGCTTTTAGCAATATTCCAGCAATGTCACGGCGGGGGACACTTGACATGGGATTCACACATTGTACCCGTGTGGGGAATCGAACCCGGGTCTTCGGCGTGACGAGCGAACACTTTCACCTCTAGGCTACCCCACTGCCCCCCAAAAGCGGCGTTAAGCACAATCTCACCCACGTGAGTAGATCCATGTCTAATCCGTGTGCCCAATACGACCGACATCTATTGCGTGATCAAAGATTCGTTCTGTACTGGTTCACAAGTTAACTGATACCAGGAGGAAATCATACTCACCGTCATATACGGTTAACGAATTGTAAGCGCAGTGAGAAGGAAAGTGCATTCCCAGTCTTCTTATAGCGAAGACGATGTTCATGTCTGGTCTGTCGGCTTTTAAGTTCCACCAAGCGGAAAAATCAATACTGAAACGTAATGTATCGGCACGATTACGCAAAATGTGAATTGCACATCACATCATCCTCTATATCTCCAGGGTTCGCATTTCCGTAAACATCGCTATCTCAGCTTAACCGCCCTTCAGTTTCAAAGGCCAATTTGAAGAATTAGAACGCTACTCAGTCTAACGGACCAATCAGAACGAGAGTTACAAACAAGCCTCAATTTTGTGTTGGCGATATCAACAACATGGCGAACATTCCAATTGATTGCGATAGAGTTTGGGAAACATTCAACATTAGAAAACTGACTGACACAGCAAAAGAGAGCCTTCCATAATCTTTTTGATTGAAAGGATGTCTTCATGTCCAATAAAAGTGACGGTGGCTTTGGTTTCTAGGCAATACGAGTTACCTCCCTTTCCCATTTCCTTTTTTTTCCTTTTGCGATGCTTGATTGGTCGGTAAAGGGTTAATGAAAATGAAGGGCGGGTAATTTCAGATCGCGAGAACCACGGGAATGGAGGTGTACCGAACTGCGAGCCCTTGAGATATAGAAGATACATCAAACACAGCTAAATTGAAGGTAGGAGATGCCAGATGCGAACTAAAGCATCTCTATACAGTTACTGCAATTAACCACTCGTAGCACCAAGTATGCTCAAGCACATGTACCGTTACCATGATTTGGAGCACGGATTGACCTGTCGACTAAGGCCAATGTTTAGTTACTTGCAAAAAACTTCTGATGTAGGTTCGAGGCCCAAATTCGCCGTGATTTTCTGGATTTGTGAGAACCATACCCGTGTTCGTTGGTTTAACCAAGATGGTAAACGTCCAATGCCTACATCAATCTGTGTTTTCGTCCCACATAAAGCTGACATACCGTGATATGACTAATTTCAACACTATGCTCACCGGTTTTTACCTTTATACAACTTCATAAACGCAAATAACTCAGTTCTCATCCAGCCTAGTATATCTCTATTCTGTTATGTTGAATACCATAGACCTGTTCGTCACCAAAGCTTCGTTTCGGAAGTGACGTCACATCACCCTATCTCTAAGATAGCACAGAATTTCTCTCGCTCGGGAGACTAATTTGTTTAGACGACCATTTTCAGCGTACTGCTGTTCGAAACGGGCTTTCCGTCAGAGAATGGATCAAGGGTATTTATCATGATAGAATGAACGGCTTCCTCGTCAGCAAGCGAGGATTGATAAGGACCAACAAAGTTACAGTATATAATATTTTGGATGCAAAAGCGTACATTTGTACGTACCGATCATAGAGATGAGTAAACACAGGTGACACAACGTGTGTTGCTGTTTCGTTTATCAACAACGTTGTGTTGAATACTGCTCCTGGAAGAAAAACAATTACAAATTTTTATGCTTTAATATTAGTGTTGACTATAAAGACCACTTTGAGAGATTAACAATTAGAGATGATAATTTTTCATATTAGTGTTGACTATAAATACCACTATAGTGTCAACTATAAAGACCACAATAAAGGATAACAACCAGAGATGATAATTCTTTAATATTAGTGTTGACTATAAAGACCACTTTTAGAGATTAACATTTAGAGATGATAATGTTTTAATATAAGTGTTGACTATAAAGACCACTATAATGTCAACTATAAAGACCACAATAAAGGATAACAATCAGAGATGATAATGCTTTAACATTAGTGTTAACTATAAAGACCACTTTTAGAGATTAACAATTAGAAATGATAACGTTTTAATATTAGTGTTGACTATAAAGACCACTATAGTGTTAACTATAAAGACCACAATAAAGGATAACAACCATAGATGATGATGTTTTGATATTAGTTGGAGCGGTCGGGTAGCCTAGTGGTTAAAGCGTTCCCTCGTCACGCCGAAGACCCGGGTTCGATTCCCAAAATGGATACAATGTGTCGTCCTCCGCCGTGATATTGCTGGAATATTGCTAAAAGCGGCGTAAAACCACACTCACTCACTTTAATATTTGTGTTAACTGTAAAGACCACTATAAGGGATAACACCCACAGATGATTATGATTTAATATTAGTGTTAACTATCAAGACCAATATAATGTTAACTATAGAGACCACTATAAGGGATAACAACCAGAGATGATAATGCTTTAATATTAGTGTCTACTGTAAAGACCATTATAAGGAATAATAATCAGAGATGATAATGGTTTTATGTCAGTGTTCACATTGACTGAAACGGTTACATAAATACATATTTTCATTGCCGTACGTTTCCTTCTGTATCGATGTAAAATGCAATTATTATATCACAGGAAGAACTATTTAGTTTGGTTTCGTCGGCATTTAAAGTCGAAGTATCATGTATGGGTCCATGCAGTGAGTCTACGTGTTTCGGTGTTACCCATAAAATTTCCGATTCCCGTGATGGGATTCGAACCACGGACCTTCCGATCCGAGGTCGGACGCCTTGTCCACATGACCAAAGAGGTTAACCCCTTCAGCAAGCTGACAAGGTAAGGATGTCATCTGTGGGATGACTCCACGCCCTGCTACATACTCCCCCGTCATCCGAAGGCACGTCCCGGGGCGCATACTAAGGCTTATTTTGCTCAAATTTAATATGAACGTGCTCAGCCCCACGTTGGGCGCCAATGTAGCGGCCATAAAATTTCCGAGTCCCGTGATGGGATTCGAACCATGGACCTTCCGATCCGAGGTCGGACGCCTTGTCCACATGACCAAAGAGGTTAACCTCGTCAGCAAGCTGACAAGGTAAGTATGTCATCTGTGGGATGACTAGACGCCCTGCTTCACAAGGTTATACCAGTATTCGAAAATGATAAACTAGGAAGAGCTACGTAACAGTAGTCAGCTGATGAAAGGTAAGAGAAGTAGTAAACACTAAAGATAAGTTGTTGTTAATACCACAACATACTTGTGTTTAAATAAGTGGGCTGAAGGTTGAAGTCATAAAAACGATCGTCGTTCAAAATTCAAATGTTACCAAAAGGTAATTAATGCTTGTCTTCTTTTAACAATTTATGGTCAACAGCCTCGTAATTTGCATTTCTTATTAGATATATACACCTACAGTAGCTTGAAAAGGAAACTTTCTTTCTTAAGTCTATTTGAGGATCTTTTGACCCACATTCGTATTCAAACGACATAAAGTGACACTGCTTTGTGTTGACATTAGTATGTTGTGTACACAGTGACAATTACACTCTCCAAAAATAGAAACGCACAGGTAGTATGTAGTTCATACTGACTACACAAAAAAATCCGGTATATAAATTGGATATACATTATTGGAAAATGTTGGTGGCCTGATATTCGACAAAAGGTGCGTCAAAACGCAGCCATTGTCGTTTGCAATGTCTTAAACGGCATTGTTTTCGCACTTGTAAAAATATGATGGAGGAAAACAGTAAAGCAAAATGCACGTGCAGGTCATGACATTCGTAATTCCTTGTAGTGGCTATAAAAAGGCAAGCCAATAATTTGTCATTCAATTGTCCAATTTATTTAAGCCGAGACTCAGCACTGCCGATTGATCGGAACATCGCTACAGGACGTATCCATAGAGGGGAATCGCAGTCTTCTGTTGCACGCCACTTCAACGTCCATCATAGCACCATTTGCCGCCTTTGGGACCGATACACACAGTTAAATTCCACTGCAGACCGTCTGAGAGACCGCCTCCGTGGTCTAGTGGTAGAGCGTTCGCCCGGAGAGCGGAAGGTCCGGGGTTCGTTCCCCGGCCGCGTCATGCCAAAAGACGATAAAAGATGGTACCTGTTTGTTTCCCTGTCTGACGCTCGGCATTAAGGGGTTAAAGCAAGGACTGGTCGGCTTGGAGTCAGTATATTGTGTCGAGTGGGGTATTCATGTTAAACCGCGGCATGGTATCTCAGTGAGCTAGCACTTTAAAGCGGCATCAGTCCGGACTAGTACAAGAAGCCACACAGACACACATGTACGTGCATGCACGTCGCCATATAAGTGGACGCGACGTAAAACCCAATTTCACCCAACCCCACCGTCCGAGAACAGGCCGACCAAGAGTTACCACCCCATGCACAGGATCGCTACATTCGACTGTTCCACCTACGTCATCGCAATGCCAAACAGCTACGGAGACTGCAGGACGCATCCCGGGTTTGAGGAGGATATCGGACCAGACTGTCAGGAATCATCTTCGCGAGGCTGGAATCCGACCGTGAAGACCAGTTATCGTCCCTATTTTGCAATAGATCCATCGACAACGACGCTTGCTTTGGTGCCATACCTTACAGCCTTGGAATTTGAGAAACTGGAGACGAGTGTGGTTTTTCAATGAATCACGTTTTCTTCTTCACCGACGAGACGGAAGACAACGTGTTTATAGTCGTCGAAATGAGCGTTTTGCCCCACATTGTGTACGTGATTTCGACAAATTCGGTGGCGGTATTGTCATGGTGTGGGGGGGCCATATCCTACACCACGAGATCTGACTTGGTTGTGGTTCAGGGAAATGTGACAGCAAATCGCTACATGAATTAAATTCTTCAACCTCATCTTCTTCCAGTCATTGATCGCCAGAGGGAGCTGTTTCAACAGGACAACGCCCCACCGGACACAGCTCGTGTCACGGTAGACTACCTTCATAATGCCAACGAGTTCAGCGCTGCCTTGTGGCCTTATGTAACGTGACAATGAACAGTTTTCAATGCCTTTGTACAACGACTACATGTGACTATCGATCTCCAAAACCTCATATCTATGATATTAAAATAAATATATCGACTTTATTAGGTGTAATAAATTTACTGAAAATCTACCTGTGCGTTTCTTTTTTGGAGGAGTGTATGTCTTCAAGAGTTATGCAAAAAATACGCACATAGCTTTCTTGTGCATTTCAATGTACTATGACTCATCTATAGTAAATAACAATCATCATCATATATGGTGATGTTAATACGTGATAGGGGAGTAGTCACTAGTGTCATTTATGATAAACTGTACCTGTACTTCCACAAACACATATAGCTGAGCTAGTGTTTACAATATCATGTCGGGGGGTCAGGATTGTGTGAGAAGTCGTTTAAATCGTTGAATGAAGATTCAATCAATGCCCTACCTGCAGTGTTGTTGAATTCGGCGTAGATATTGCTCATCAACGACAACGTTGAGATCAGCGTAAGTATCAACATTGTGTAGCCAGTTTGCTCGTCAGAACTCAACGTAGACCCCAACGTGCCCCAGTTAAAGAACCATAGCTCGGTTGTCACGTCTTTGTGTGACGTCACTGATAACGTGATATTTTCTCTTATCAGAGACGATATTGTGCAACTGAAGGTATGCATGCTACGTTGGCCCGCCTACAAGCTATAGATAGCACACCTCATTCATAACTTGGAGTTAGTATGCTTCGTGGTAAGAACTGTTGTTTGTTATTGACTAAGGGGCCTTTGGGGGCCGAGCATTTAATATTCTGGCGCTGTTGATGGGTCATGAAAAAGGATACGGGTCATAATTGATCTTCAGCAAGCCTTTATCGTAAGAGGCGACTAACGGGACCGGGTGGTCAGGCTCGCTGACTTGGTTGATGCATATCATCGTATCCAAATTGCGTAGATTTATGCTAATGATGTTAATCACTGGATTGTGTAATCTAGCCTCGATTGTGTACATACAATCGTCATATTGCTGGAATATTGCCGAGTGAAAAGAATTTTTCCAGAAAATATGTTTGTGTCAAACAGAAAGAAAAACTGGACTTGCCGGATGAACTGAACAAAATTGTGTTGTGAATAAACAGTTGTTCGGCGTCTCCTCTTTTGTATGTTTTGAAGCACGAAAAAAACACAAATCAATTCTGTCTCTCTGTTGTTGTTTGTTACGATATGATAAATGCAAATTCTATCCCCGGTCGTCGGTGTGTGTGTGTGTGTGTGTGTGTGTGTGTGTGTGTGTGTGTGTGTGTGTGTGTGTGTGTGTGTGTGTGTGTAGGTGTGTGTGTGTAGGTGTGTGTGTGTAGGTGTGTGTGTAGGTGTGTGTGTAGGTGTGTGTGTGTGTGTGTTCCCTGGTTTAGACATACTGCGACACAATCACAGCTAGTGCACACACGGAATGGGCTATTTTCATCTCTTCTTCTTTAACCAGATTACTGAGGTTCCCCGCCGTTCAAACAAATAGTTTTTTCTATGAAATGTTGATACGTAACGCTTTATTTTCATGTAGATTCCGACTGTAGAAAGAAATGATAATTGATTTACAGATGATTCATCTCGCGTTCTTTTTAATATGGGAAATATCTACCTGGTCTTAGTTAATTATTAGTTTATTACCGATTAACCTGGACGAGGTTGATATCTCCCATATTAAAAAAAAATCGTGATGAATTCTACTTATCATTTCCACTTTATTGTTTCCCTTTTAAAAATAAATGAATCAAAATTAACATCAGAAATTGTTATGTAAATATCGTACGTAGTGATACCATTGCCGTGTGATGTTACTATGAACCAAAATATCATCTGTAAAGACCTTTTTGGCATAGTCATTCACAGAGATCAACAACAAAAAGAAATAAATAGCAACGCTTGTAATATATTTATTTGTTTTTGATTTGAGAAAGTTACATGGGGATTAGTAAAAGTTTGAAAGATGTAAACAAACTTTTAAAAGAAACTTGATCTTTCTCTCACATATGTATAATTAAATGCGCACATACTAAATACATAAATCATTATGATAACATGTTTAAAATATTCCTAACTTTAAATTATGACACTGAACCAGTTTATGTGAGACGGGCACAATCATCTAACGGAGGCATGCTATGCCCTAGACTGGTTTGCCTGACTAAGGGCGCTTTCGCTTCTCGCTTGTAGCTCTGTCTGACCTTTTCCCTATAGTATGGAATACTGTAAGGGACATTCTCGCGATCTCGCATTCTCGCGATCTCGACCTTTGGAAACGAGGTAAATATGCCCAAAACACGAGAATGCGAGATCGCGAGAACGCGAGATTTGGCCAAAATCTCGCGTTCTCGCGATCTCGCATTCTCGTGTTTTTGGTACATAGCATTTTTTGTCAAAAGTCGACAACGCGAGAATGCGACATTTGGACATGATGCAAAATCTCGCAATCTCGCAATCTCGCCTTGTCAAATTAGGCCACAAAATAACGAAATCGCGAGAACGCGAGAATGCGACATTTCATTTTCTCGCGATCTCGCGATCTCGCGTTCTCGTGTTCTCGCGTTTTAGACGCTGTCCGTGCGCATGCGTAATATCATAAGGTCAAGCGCATGCGCACGTTAGTAGTCCTTTTGTCATGCTTCTTTCATGCTCTTCATTCTCCAAGTAGTATTTAGCAAACTTATGACTTGAGCTTGAAAATGCTATGTAATTTACATACACAAAGTCTGAGTCATCTCCCGTTGTTACAGTTTCCTATGTACTTTATAATAAAACCCTAAACATGCTCAATATAATTTAACAAAAGAAATTGTGTACATGAATGTCCAATGATGGTGAAAACATAAATGTGTCCGAAAGCTGGAAACATAACTATTACCGTCAGTGAGTGAGTGAGTAATATTGCTTAAAGCCGCATCAGCAGTATTGCAGTTATTCGCGGCTACACTGTCAGTTACAGAAATAATCACAAGCCAGTGAGTTTCTCAATGAGGCAATTTTATACACGGCTAGAATATTCATTAAAATAAAATTCTCACAGACCAATTTGTAGCATTCGGATAAAATGATATTGTCCGATGTTGGTTTTTTTGGGTTTTTTATACGATACCATATTCGCTACTTTAATTAATAGATTTTCATCCGCTCCCGCCTGACAACAAAACATCCTGCCTTACATTATGCTAATGCCCTCAAATTCCTAGAAATAGAAGTATCGTTAATATGAGTGTTCCTACTTTCTTTACCTGATAAAATACTCCGTACACGTAGCCCCAGTGAGCACACATGATGCATGCGAATCGCATCCGCCGACAGCAATTGTACACATATGCCTAAAGTAGGTCGATAAGAACAAATTAAAAACGTTAAAAATAAAATGCCTCCTGTCTCCCATGTTTTTTAAAAAATCAATCAAACTGTAACTATTAATTTTATTGCGGCCTTAACATTCAAATGACAGGCATGCTTATACTGGAAAAGTACCCCCAATATCCAGCCTGGGGGACCAGCATGACTCTGAATAAGTGAGTGAGTTTGGCTTAACACTGCTTTGAACAGTGTGTATATTTTAGTTATATCCCGGCTTGTCGGTTTAAAGGGGCACTAATCTTCTCGGCTGTCTAACACTGCCAGCTGGGGCTCACCATCTGCCGATTTGCTCACTGACGCAACTGAGCGTGACAAGAGACTGGACTACCGTGTTCAAGAACACTGATTGGTTACCTGTAATCTCTGAATCTCAGACAAAGGGCGCCTGTTAATTAATTTCTTTAGCCTAAACAAACGGACAAAAATAACGATGGAAGCTCATCGGATGTCGTTATTTGGAAATACCCCAGATGGTTATAAACTGAGGGCCAAAAGAAACGTTACCAACATTAACTGATTTGCCACTTTGAAACAAAGATGCCAACCTGTTCAAAAACAGTAAAGAACACATTTCACGAATACAGCCTTCATGTTCTCTGTCGTTCTTTGCACGTGCTTTGCGGATTTTGGGAAATATTGGGTTTTTTCAGCAATTTTTTAAAACAATCTTCCCCAAATTATCGTGCAATTTCCGGGTATAAATTACGCAGGGATCTGTTCCCTATCAATGGTTGCGATGATTAACACCAACGAACATGCCAAGACTGACCGCTGTCCAGAAGGAGAGAGCCATAGGTATGCTGCAGATTGGAGCGACACAGAGAGCGGTTGCCATTAACATGAACTGCTCCAAGATGACCATTGCCAGACTGGTCTCACGTCTCCGACAGACTGGCAGAACCGCAGACAGACCACGGAGTGGCAGACCATAGGTCACGACCCCGCAGGATGACCGCTTTTTACGGGTACGTCATCTGAGGAACAGATTTCTTACTGTGACGTCATCAGATGCCAACAGCTTAGGACATCCGGCCAGCAGACAAACAGTGACCAGACGACTACGACATTATGGTCTCCGGGCTTATCGCCCTTTCAAAGGCATGACCTTGACCCGTCAACATCGACGTGCCAGATTGACGTGGTGCAGACAACTCAGCGATGGCAACAAAGGGAATGGCGGCGAGTGCTGTTTAGTGACGAGAGCAGGTTCCAACTCTTCAAACCTGATGGGCGGACGCGAGTGTATCGACGACGTGGTGAACGTACGGCTCCTTGTTGTGTCCAGGAGGTGGAACCTTACGGGGGCGGAAGTGTGATGGTCTGGGGCGACATTTGCGGAGACGAGAAAACGGAACTTGTCATCATCGAAGGCAATCTGACAGCACAACGCTACATTGACAATATCTTCCTTTCACCCAGCGTCAACAACGGACGGTGTTCCAACAAGATAACGCCACACCCCATAAAGCCCGTATTACTAGAGACTTCCTCAACGCCAACAACGTGACTGTCCTGCCGTGGCCAGCTCGAACACCAGATCTGTCACCCACAGAACATCTCTGGGACCAGCTGGGCCGTCGTCTTCGGAAACGTCAACATCCTCCCTTCACGATCGTTGCCCTCCGTGAGGAATGGAATCGGAAACCTGCAGTCGATGTGAGGACGCTTGTCTACTCAGTGCGACGCCTCATTCGAAGATGCATTGCCGCTCATTAAGGTCATATCCCGTATTGAACGGTCTGGGCCGTCGTCACATTAAAGTTGTAACCAATGTTGTTGATCGAATACTGGACGAATGACCCCTTGTCAAGAAATGTCCCTGTTGGAGGTCAAGGACTTTGTTGTTGAATTAGTAAATACGCAATTTACTGTTCTGAATTATGTATTTCTACAATACAATTGTTATTGCTGCTTCAATTTGTTTTGGTCATATTTTATCCTAGAAATATCGTTGGTAACGTTTCTTTTGGCTGTCAGTTTATTTTTATAGTATCCGATCAGTGAAAGCATTTTCGGATTTTGGATTGCGCGGATAATACGATTGCTATCTCTTGTTGTCATCCACGTTTTGGGGCATAACCCTACACCTGTGTCTTTGTTGCCATTCACTAGAAGCTCAGTTAATGAACCTATTACAGGTATAGTTAGTGGTAGCACTACTCAGATTACCTGACAACGGTTCCCATTTGGCATGTCTTGTGTCTGGGGCAATTATTTCATCTGAATCCAGGTTTGAAGTGAGGTGAAATGTATGTTATGTAATATTCACATGGCAGCCCAGCAAGAGGAGTGATCAGTTCATTTACTTTTTTGTACACGGATCATTCCTCGCCATCAAAAGTTCCACAGAAAATGCGTTT